CGCGGCAAGGAACGCCGATCACGCCTGAATGAGTCGCATGTGTAACTTGTAGGGCTGAGGGGGTTGGAGTTTGTAAGAGAATTGGCTGGTAACGTTGGGGTAGACAGAAATATCGAGACAGCTACAGATGCACTGTCACCATTGAACAGGCACGAATCAATTGTTTTTAGGGCTATTATGACTCAATTGAACCTGATGCATGCCATTGATGAGTCTCGCATGCTCTAATTATGCCAATGGTATACTCGTTGAATGCAAATGCTTCCTGATCCTCGGCCCAATGGAAGAGGCTGATCATGCAATTTCCTTCACGATATCTACATTGAAGCAGCAGCAGCTTTTCCATGAACTCACGCCCTTTTATTAACAAGCCAACGCGCAATCCTGATTTATAAACAAATACCCATATCACGTCTCACAAAACCCCCATTCACAGTAATTTGTCCATCCCCCTCCAATCATGTTCCCCACAACCGTCCGGCCGAGAATCCAGATGCCGGGAAAGATCTGCTCCATCGGAGGATGAACCCCGCGGGCCGCAAACATTCCCGCCTCAACCCCGACCACAGCATCACCAATACAAAAGGTCCATCACATCCTTCACCATCCCTCGCCATGGCCAGCAACTTATGTTCTCGTCAAAATGGCCGCCGACACTTCAGATAGCGTCTGTCCCACGCTCCGCGATGAGCCCCTCTCTGATGAAAAGCCCAATGATGACGCTGCCTCAACACCAAGCCAAGGCGATGAAGAAAACCAGGATTGCACAACAGACGATCCCGGTGAACCTCCAGATGGCGGCTTACAAGCATGGCTGCAAGTCGTGACAGGCCATCTCGTCGCTTTTAACTCATGGGGATACCTCATCAGCTTCGGCATCTTCCAGCCCCACTACGAAGCCGAATTTTCACTTCCACCATCAACAATCTCTTGGATCGGTAGCTTAGAAGTCTGTCTTATTTTCTTCATCGGCACATTCTCCGGTCGAGCTTTCGACGCAGGATACTACCGTACGGCTCTCGCAGTAGGCCTCTTTCTCCAAATATTAGCCATCTTCATGACCAGCATCGCATCATCGTACTGGCAAGTCCTTCTCGCACAGGGCATCTGCCAAGGTTTAGGGAACGGCATTATTTTCGCACCGACGATAGCAAACATGTCGACGTATTTTACTAGCAAAAAGACTATCGCTATATCTGCTGGTGCATGCGGTGCTGGAACGGGAGGAATTGTGTTTCCGCTGATTGCGCAGCAACTTCTCCCCAAAATCGGGTTTCGCTGGACTGTGAGAGTCATGGGATTGGTAGTTGCTGTGTCGTCAATGATTATCATGATCATTGCGAAAACAAGACTCAAGGCGAGAAAGGCTGGGCCGCTTGTTGAATGGGCTGCGTTCAAGGAGCCAGCGTATGTTCTCTTTGCGGCCGCAATGTTCTTTACCTTGTGGCCGACCTGGATCTCCTACAACTATGTAAGTCTTGTCTCAATAGACCTCTGTGACAAGTGCTAATGATGTCAGGCTCGTCAATACACAACCGACAAACTCTCCGGCTCAGCATCAGACTCATTCCTAATCCTCATCGTCATCAACGCAGTCGGTATCCCAGGTCGAATGATATCCGCCTTTCTCGCCGACCGACTCTTCGGCGCAATCCCCGTCTTCATACCCACAATCTTCGCTGCCTCACTATGTCTCTACCTCTGGTCACAGGTCTCCTCGCTCACAGGAATGTTCATCTGGGTGAGCATATTTGGCTACTTCGGCGCTGCGATACAGAGTCTGTTCCCATCATGCTGTGCGAGCTTGACACCGGATCTGAGCAAAGCCGGAACGCGAATTGGAATGATCTTCTCGATTATTAGCTTTGCTGCGTTGACGGGATCGCCTTTGGCTGGGAAGTTGATGCAAGCTACGGGCGGGAGTTATTTAGCGGCGCAGATTTGGGGAGGGTCGAGTATGATTCTGGGAATGGGATTGCTGTATGCTGCGAAAAGAGCTGAGGCACCTCGCGCGGTCAATCATCTCGAAAGACAGGACTAGCCTTCTATGCCAGGATCACCATGTTATATAGAATTACTTTGCTATGCTCTATGTTTTCCCTTATAGCTAGACACTATAGATTTCTTATATAATCTCACTAAGTCTGAAGACTTACTCTCAACTAGTTTACGTAGGGGCTGAAAGTACTTTATGCTTGCATGTGGAATAACATTAAAGTTAATAATTGACTAGACTGGGGAAAACATCAACACTGCAAAAAACCCCAAGGTTTCTCGAAATACCAAACTGACAGCACCACAAACCTAACTATAATCAGTGGTATTTACTGATAGCAGTCAAATATGTCTGCCCGGACTCAGAAAGCTGTTTGCCATTATTCTTAGTCGGCAACCAGGCCTGACCGAGACCACCACCGTCGGTGTAACCATAAGCCATGACGTGCTCATTCTTCTCAAACAGATCAACGACATCCTTAATCCACTGGTTGATCTGGCCTTGATCCGAACAAGGAGTGAAGTTGTTCTGATCATAGACACATGCGAATTCAGTGACCCAGATGGGCTTTTTGTATGTATTCCAGTAATAGTCGATACCGGCCTGGACACCGGTCATGTCAGGTTTGTAGATATGTATAGCGGTGAAGTCCCAGGACTTGGCGAGACCCGAGGTCTTGAACTGTTTGAGCCACTTTTCATCTTTCTGCATACACATCGCGGGACTACCGAGGAGAGCGCCCTTGTTGCCGTGGGGAACTATCATCTGTTTCCATAGATTGACAGCGTCAGAAACTCCCAAGTTGGCTGAGGTATCCTGGCCTGTGCAATCTGGTTCATTGAAACCGAGAAGATACTGAGGTGTGCTCGCGAGTTTCTGGAAACTAGCAAAGCGCTTGGCGTCTTCTTGTCCGTTGTGGCCGCCGCCCCAAAGCATTGAGACACTGACGACTCCAGGGACTGATGTCGGAGACGGGGCCCAGTCGTACCACCAGCCCAGGTGATCCTTCCAGAAGGGCACGGCACGGCCGCCCGCAGAACCAGCTTTCTTTCCACCAGGGATGAAAGGAGCTGCTCGTGAGTTGATAGAGTTCTCGATCGTGGGGGTTGCCCTGGCGTTGGCAATCGATGCCAGCGCTACAGCGCTGTAAAGAACGTTGGTGAAGAACATCGTCGAATTTCCAGATAGTAAGGACGGTTTCAAGCATAAGTAAAGAGTGATTGACGTTGATTTAGTGAATGAGAGACTTGGTAGAAGGAGTGATATACCTCTTAATACTTGGAGACAGCTTTGCGGGAATCGCCAACATGCACACAAAATAGGATCACAACAAGGTTCTTGATCCCATAAACCCTAACCGTCTCACTTGTATTTCTCTCAACGTCAGCTTGCTACCATTGTCCAAAGTTCCTATCGGCGACCCCGAAACAATACTGACATGTAATTTGAACTAGACGAGCCCGATTGCACAATTGAGTATTCTATGAATGACTTAGTGTTCCACTCTAGAGCTGTCTTACGGCTGCGGCAACTGATCGAGTTATTGCCTTGGATCTGCATTGGAGTATCTGGTAGACGAAAACAGGACATACAGAGTAGAATTCCCTTTCTTCGTTGCCACACTCCAATATTCGCAAAAAGTTAACACTACAAAACTTGGTGTAACTCGAGCATATCATGTCAACATCTCAAGTCAAGCAGCTTCTGTAGCTGAAAGCTTCCACTCACCGTTACATGAGCCTAGTATTAGAACCAAACTTAATAGTTTAGAATGCATGGTTCCGAAGTGTCGGTAATGATAATTAGCACTAGGATCGTTCCGACTTGCGGGCAACTTTATTCAGTTTGCCGATTTGACCATTTATACGGAGTACTGTTAAGGGCGCGCGTTTAACAACTAACTATTCCTAGGCCCAAGCTTTGACTGGCTGACATAGTCCAGGAACCTAGTACAAACTATGGAGTAGTGAAAACACGATCGTCCTCGCGCTTAGCTGTTCCCAAACAAGCGCGGTTAACAACCTGATTGCATGCTAGGATGCTGTTTCATCTACTCTGTATTGGGCAGCAGATTAAAGGCTTGCCTCGGCTTGGAACACCTTGCCAGGCTATCATATTACGATTTCCAGTGATACCCCTAATCCTAGCTTCATCCTCCCAAAAGTACCACGCTAAGAAGTAAAGCATTCATATAGATAACAGCAGAAGCCTACAAGCCTACTAGACTAACAGTATCACCATACTAGCAACATACTCCCGTTACCCTAGGGGGCAGATATAATATTATACTAAGCTGGCACGTGTTACTAAACTATAGTCAGTAGGTAATAACACTTGACGAGTCTAATGTTGAGATCCCCGTTCAAAAGTGTATCCAGGTTGTGAGTTGTCGTGAAAAGGGCCGAGGGCAGAGTCTGTATTCCACGCTACCTCGGCCAAAAACTATGGCCCTGGGAGTGCCTGGAAAATAACCCAGCTCCAGATTGAGCGCCGACTTGATACCCAACTAAGTACCATGCATTCCTTCAGCATGGTAGCAGTTACAGCCTAGAAACGGAAGACTACAGCGATGGAGTTGACCCTGATCGGTATTTATCCCGTATCACAGCTCATGATTGAGATCCACTCGTCCATAGCTGGAGGCCTCTGTCCCTTGAAACGGAATCCAATCTTTGATCGCAAAATGTAAGAAATTTAAAGATACTAGCTGTCGAGTACAACTCCCTTTGGATCTGGGATAGCAGAAGCGAAAACCACATGATCGCATAGAGAGGTTACCTCCTTCAATGGCCTTTATTATTAGTATGCACTTGGACTTGGCTTGATCTGGTGTGCCAAATGCCAGATTTGCCAATATGCAACTGCAGTCATAGACTTGAGAACGAATTCTAACTACTGTGGATTCGACACAGAGGACTAAATTCACTTCTAACGCTATCTACTGACATGAATGTGACTCCAAACTCCCATAGTTTAATCTGTTCATGACTCCCAAAACGCCCTTCTAGTTCGCTTCTCTTCGAAGCCAAGGAACAATTCCCCCTCTGCTCAACGTCTTCTCAACTAATGCTGCAGTAACCTCATCCAACCCTGCAGCTTTCGAACGCTCTAACCACTCTTCAACACTAATCGTCTCAATCTTGCCGTGTTCCGCTTCAAGGTACGACGGTAGATCCCCCACAGAGATCTTCTCCGTGCCGCAGTGATGCTTGTACGCTACTCTATCCTGAGTCTCGTAGATGGACCTAGCAATGCCCGCAGCCACAACGTCCACGGGAACAAAGTCAAAGCAACCACTCCACGAACCCAAGTCAGGGACTGATGCTGTCTTAACAGCGTAATGGAAGATGTTTTGCATAAGATCTGCTTTGGGGACATCCGGACCCGTGATATTGGATGGACGATGTATCCAGACCGGAAGGTCGTATTGGCTGGCATACTTCTCTAGTATAACTTCCGAAGCCCACTTCGAAGCAATGTAGCCAAGTGAGCCATCGGTAGGAGGTATAGAGTCTGCAACGGAAACCTCATCAAGGCCGTCTTGGCCAGTGAGTTGCACGACACCACCGGTTGAGACGAAGTGCATTGGAATCCTTCGCGTAATCGCCATTCGTGCTAGCTCCTTTGACGAGGATACATTCGGTCGCTGCAAGGACTGATATGTCTTGAGGAAAGAAACACCAGCGCCGTTATGAATGATTCGGTCGACTGTATTGGCAAGCTGATCAAATTGCTCTTCAGACAGACCGAGTCGTGGCATGGACAGATCTCCCGGGTAGCACGCGACTCGCGGAGATGAAAACGCTGGATCGCTCGTGTTGGAGGAAGACCGGACAGCAAGACAGTGGACCTTGGATACCCGCTTATCCTCGAGCAAAGTCTTGAGGATCGACACACCCAAGAATCCAGTTGCACCAGTGAGAGCGACTTGAAGACCATTTGCTGTCTCGGAAGGGTGTGGCTCTTGGGCTCCCACAATGCCCAAGTCAGCTTCAATGCGAGTCTCTTCATCCCAATCAATTAGCATTGTAGTAGCTCCTTGAGTCGTAGAGCCATCGATCTTCGCAGCCATCTCTCCAAGAGTACTCGCTTGGAAGAGATCAAAGACAGAGACGGTAACTCCGAGTTCGCGTGTGATGTACTCTCTCAAACTGACGATACGAAGGGAGTTGCCCCCTGCAGAGAAGAAGTCTGTGTCTGGGCCAATAGCCGCATCTACAAACGGCAGGGCCTTGAGCCACCCTAGCTTGAGCCTCTCTTGCGTCTCAGTGAGGGGCTTATCGATGATATCCTCATCATGAGGAAGAGGGAGAGCGTCAAGAGCATGTTGATCCAGCTTGCCAGAAGCGTTCATGGGCAACTGATCAATGGAGACGATTCTCGCGGGTACCATGTATCGAGGGAGGGATAGCTCCCTCAGAAGCTGCTTCAGATAGCCTTTCTCGTCTGATGGACGGTTGGAATGGGAAAGGATGACGAAAGCAACAAGGTATGCGCTGTCCCCTTCACCACGAAGCGAAACAGCGGCTTCGGGGATTTTACCATCGGAGGCCCTGACGATAGTGCTGGCAATATCTTCGAGCTCAATTCTGAAACCTCGAAGCTTGATCTGAGAGTCACCGGCGATACGTCCAAGAAAACAGAGACGCCCGTCTGACATAAACCTGGCCTTGTCACCTGTACGGTACATTCGAGTCCATCCGCGAGCGACATCTTCCGGTGGTGCGAAAGGATCAGGAAGGAACTTGGTTTCTGTCAGATCCTGTCTGTTGAGGTATCCAATGGCGACACCGGCACCTCCGATCACCAGTTCGCCAGCGAGTCCTGGACGAACAGGCTGCATGTTCTCATCCAGGATGTAGCAGGAGTAATTAGGCAAAGTACGCCCGATGCTTGGATTGTGAGTGTCGTGTAGAGTATTATCGAGCTCATTAGAACCACAGGTGGCGATGATAGTGATCTCGGTAGGACCGTAACCATTGCAAAGCTCAAGGTTCCTCAAGCCGAGACTCTTGAACTCACGGGTAACACGGGCTGTCATTGCTTCTCCAGCGAGAGACGCATGTTCCCAGTCGACGCATTGTCTCAAGTATTCATAGCCATGATGAATGACCGATAATGTAAGTGTAGGCGTCATGAAAGTGTGGGTGACTTTCTCATCCAGCATTAACTGCGCAAGTTGCATAGGGTCCTTGCGAGTCTCGCTGGATGCAACGATCAGAGTTCCCCCGAGCATGATGGCGAGAGTCATCTGGGTAAGCGACATATCGAAACCAAGAGGTGCCTGTTGAAGCATGCGACATTTGTTCAGATTGTTGTAGTGGATGAAACCGTCAAAGTGGTGTACAAGACTAGCATGAGTCAAAGCCACGGCTTTTGGAACACCCGTTGTACCGCTCGTGTAGAAAATGTAGCCCATCCCATCTCCTCTAGCTCGGTTGTCCAGATGATAAGTATTGGAAGGGTCAGCCTTGATAGTGCTCACGTTAATCAACTTGGCGTTCGTCTCTAGTTCGCGGGATGTTGTTGTAGTTGAGTCATCAATGAGAAGTACATCAGGTTGGCAATCGTCAACCATCAGTTGAAGACGCTTGATCGGGTTCTGGGTATCGAGAGGTACGTATACACCGCCGATTTCAGCAATGGCCATCAGAGTGGGAAGGATGTACATGCTGGGCTCGCAGTATACGCCCACTCGTGAATCCTGCTTAGCCCCTGCTTCAACAAGAGTCATAGCAATCTGGTTGACCAAAGCCTTCAGCTGACACCAGGTGAGAGCTTGTCCCTTATCTGTGACGAGGGCAATATCGTCAGGCTGTTTGACAACACATTCCTCGAAGTAGTGGCTCAAAGTCTCCAGGCGAGGAGATGGGATCCTTTCGCCTCGCCCAAGGGTCAATGCTCTGTCAATCTGCTCAGCTGTAGGCTTGCAGATTTGATCTACGGTCCCAGAAGGCTCCGAGGTGAAGAGAGCTAGCTTCTGTACATAATCGTCAAGAACAAAGCTCAACTCGCTTTCAGAATAGAGGTACTCTTGTGTCTTAACGCTGATAGAAGCAGATCCATCATGGTAGGTCTCAATGTCAAAGGTCAGGTCGTAGGGGTTGTTCGCGTCCTTGAATGCCACAAGCTGGGCTTGACAATCCGCCAAGGGGACCTTCTGAGTAGAGCCCATCTTGTAGTTCATGACGACCTGGAAGAGAGGACTGTGGGTTGTGGAGCGAGGAAGCTTCATCTCATCAAGAAGGACGTCGAAGGGCACGTCGGAGTGCGAAAGAGCGCCGTTGGCCTTGGACTTGGCGTTGGCGGCCAACTCCGCTAGAGTCTGTGAGGACGACAGTTTCAGTCGCAGAGGCAAAAGATTGACAAAGAATCCGACAGTATCGATATGTGTAGCATCGTTCTTGTTGGCCTCAGTAATACCAATGCACAGATCATTGACTGAAGCGAGATCAGAAAGGACAACCTGGAGAGTAGCAAGATGAACATGGAATGGAGTGACGTCAAGATGCTTAGCAATAGCCTTGATGCTTCTGCCCTGATCAACAGACAAAGTTCTCTCAAGTGCTCGTGTCGTGTAGTCCGTAAGGGGGATCCGTGTCTTCGTCTCGGCAAAGTCGAAGACGGGTAGTGTCGGTGGAAACTCCTCCAGTTCGGACCTCCAGTAGGCGAGAGTAGAATCCGAGACTTTAGCTTCTTTCTGAGCAATAGCGAAGTCAAGGTAGTCTTGCTGCTTGCTTGAAAGGGTCTGACCAGCGTATGCCATGGCTAGGTCACGAACCATGATCTGAGCGCTGTAGCCATCGAGTGCGATGTGATGAAAGCCGAAGATAAGGTCGAATTCGCCATCAGAGTCTGGGACAATAACAGCTTTGACGACATTGCCGTTCTCCAGGTCATATGACATCTCTTGCATGGCCTTGTACTCGATCTTGGCAGTTGAGTTGTGCTTCTGCTCTAGCCTGAAGCTAGAGTCCTTGAGCACTGCTTGTGTCGGCAGATCAGTGTCGGGATCAATGAAGAACGATGTACGGAGGGACTCATGACGATGGATCACCTGTTGGAAGGCCTTTTCCAGGTCATGCAGTCGGAGAGGACCACTGATGTGATAGTGCATGGTGACGTTGTATGTGCTGTGGTCCCGGAGGAACTGTTGAAGGAACCACAGGCGTTCTTGAGCGAAGGACAAAGGGCCGGAGCGATCAGTCTTTGACTGAATAGATGCCTCCTCGTCAAAACCAGCGTCGCTGGTAACTTGGGTTGAGTTTGGGCTGTTGCGAATGGTGAAGGGTTCGTTCTCAGTGGGCGAGGCTGAAGACATCGCCGTTGACGTCTCAACAACATTGAGAGTTTTGATGGCCTGGAAGAGTTATATTCAGGACTAGGAGCAGGAAAGGAATACAGAATCCATCATACCTGTTTGGTGACTTCCGTCTTGGGCTCGGTGTCTCCGGAAATAGTTGGTAAGTGAGAGACGACAGTGGAGCAAAGCTCAGTGATAGACGCAGTGTTAAGGATCTCTAACACAGGAGTATCAACATCAAGTTCCTTGAGAAACCACGATCTGATCTCCGCAGCAACCAGCGAGTCCACACCTAGGCCGAGCAGCGACTGTGACGTTTTGACAGAGCCGGCCTCAGCTTGCAGTAAGCGCTCAAGCTTGGTGCAAAACTCCTCTTCCACAACGGTGAGGATCTCGGCAGTTCCCTTAGCTTCCGATAGACGCTGAGAGATGGAGACCCTAGTGGTTGATGTACGCTCTTGGTGTTCCTCCTCGAGCGTATGGTGACAAAATCGCATGTTATCGCGCCAAAAGTACTTTTGGGCCTCAGGTTCCAAGCTGAAACGGTTGAGACCAGTGATGAGCTCGGGAGCATGAGTTGAGCTGGGCTGACCGACGAGAATTGCCTGAGAAAACATGTTGAGAAGATCAGTCTCAGAAATGGCCATGTAGTTGGAGCTACGCAAGGTAGCCTCATACGCTCCCGTAGAAGAGACGTAACCAACGCCGAGAACCATGCCAATGTGCATGACTGAAGCAGCAAGGCCCTTTGCACGTCGCTGTTCAGCAATGGCACTCATGAAAAGGTTCGAGGCAGCGTAGTTGGCTTGACCACGGTTACCGACAACACTGGCCAAAGAAGAGAACATGATGAAGAAGTCAAGTTTCTGGTCCAGGAGAAGTTCGTGGAGGTTCTGGGTACCCTTGACCTTGGGTCCAAAGACCTTGGTGAAGTCGTTGACCTTGAGCTCAGTGAATGTTCGGTCAGACAAGAGCAAGGCAGCATTGGCAGCACCACAGACTGGCGGCATCTCCTTGACGACCTGGTCATAGGCTTGCGATAAAGCCGCCTTGTCACCGACATCAGCCTGGTAGAGATTGACTTGAGCGCCTTGAATGCGAAGTTCTTTGAGCCACACTTGATCAATGGCAGCCACGTTGCGAGTGGTCAAGGCAAGATGGCGAACGCCGCAGGAGACCATCCATCTACAGAGCGCTTTGCCGAGACCTCCAGTGCAGCCAATAAGAAGATACGTCTTGTCGGAGCGGAAGAGTCGACTGCCATCAAGAGGCTGCACAACCGCAGGGATTGCTGTGTCAGCAGAGAACTCGACTACAGTGGCATACTCCTTGATCGATGCTCGCATATTGGGAAGATCAGAGAGCTTAACAACAGGTCCATCTCCACGAAGCTCAAGGGTCGACCGACTGGCGTCCCGAACACCGTGGATGATAGGATCCTTGACACCCTGAGAGGCGTTACCGAGGATGTCTTGCAGCTGGTGGAACTTGCAATGAGGGGGAAGACATCGGCGCAGAGGGGAATCGACAATGCTGTAGTCCTTGCCCGAGAGGTCAATAACGGCCTTCGTATGTTGAGGCATGATGCGATTGACAAGGCGCTCTGGCGCAAGAGCGTGGATGAACAGTACGTCAGTAGACCTTTCCCTGCTGCTCTCCGACGTAGTCAAGATGACATTGAGATCAAGCTCTGCCGCTTTCCACTGAAGAGCTGCACCCAAAAACTCATCTGGCTCATGGATAAGAACAGTGGCCCCAGCTTCAACGTCGCTCAAGAGTCTATCAGCGGTGATTGCAAGGGCTGTTTTACGCAGTAGGTGAGCAGCATCAATCTCGCTAGACGATAGATCCCAGACAAAGAATGGAGGCACAGAGACCCTGGACCTGTTCACCTCAGATATGGCGAGTACTCTGGTCTGAGAGTCTGTGTAGCCATAGCATAGATAGCCCGAAGATTTGGCGCCGACTGGGAAGGGAAATAGTAGAGAATGGGTGACCGTGATGTCGACAGGAGGCGAGGAGACGGACACGGGAATACAAGGAATGGGTTCGACGATAACAAACTGATTGGATCGCTGCTGGATCTCGATGACGTCCCCGTAGAGAGTCTTTGGAGATTGTATTGTCATCTTACTGGCATTGAGCTGGTTGTTGAGCGCCTCGTCGGACTTGACCCGAGGAATGAACCACCTGTCCTCTCTGAGAACTAACTCAGCTTCAATTGACCAAACCAAATCGTCAGATTTGAGTGATGCTCGATACATAAGCTGGAGGAATGCCTCAACCAGAAGAGATGCGGTCATTGGACCGACCTGGCCCTCGATGTCAACGTGCTGCAGATGAATGTGAGGGTACTCGGAAGCCAAGCTGCGACACATTCCTATGGACATGTTTGCAAATGGCTCATCCCTTTGGCAGCCTCTGGAGACACAGAGAACTTGTCGAGATTCGTTGATGAGCTTTTGTACACCTCGAAGCTTGTCATCTGTCAAGTCCTTGAGGATTGGTTCATCGAGATCCTCCAGAACTAAGGCTGACCGGGCCTGGATGTTGGATGAAGCCAACTCCTCAAAGCTACCAACATGGTGAACGATAGGTTGAGACGCACCATGGCTCATCTGGTGAATGATGGCCATGGCATCTTTGCCAATTTCTCGGCAGTGCCCACCAACGATGACTATGGATTGAGATAAGAGCCAGTCACTAGATGCAAGTCGTGGCTGTCTCAAAATCTCTATCCTGTCATCAACAGCTTGTGACAGCATGACCGAAGTCATGTACTTCTCAGCATCAACAAAGTCATTCACCGTCTTGTCAACACCAGAGAATCCAGTCTGCTTCAGCAGTGCGTCCCACTGAGATACAGGGATCGTGGGTCCATAGCGGCGTCCATCATCACCCCCGAGCCACCAACCCGAAAGACCGGACATCATGAGTTTTACACGGACGATGTCGCTGGTAACTTCGAGGAGCAGTAGCTGGCCTCCGGGTTTGAGTAGCTTGCGGGTATTTTGCATAGTGACAGCAAGAGATTTGGTGGCATGAAGGACATTGGAAGCGATGATGAAGTCATAGTGACCCTCAGGGAACCCTTGCTCAGTTGGGTCACTCTCGATGTTGAGCGGTTTGAAGATCATCTTGTCAGCCCAGCGATCGAAAGCCTCTGCAGCAGCCTCAAAGAAGCCAGTCGAGATATCAGTGAAAGTATAGGTCTCGAAGGTCGTTCCCAGCGACTCCATGATACCCTTGGTCGCACCGCCAGTTCCGGCGCCGATCTCAAGAATGTTCATACGGGGGTATCGATGAGCGATCTGCTTGGAAATCCTCCCGAGGTAGACGTTTGCTCTCTCGAAACCCAGGCCGAACTTGTAGATGCGGTTTAGCATGTCATCCTTGACCATGTGCTCTAGCATAGTAGTCTGCTTGCGCACGACTGCGGGAAGGTTCTCTCCCACGGCTTGGATAAGCTGCAGGTCGATGCGCCCAGGGAACCTGGCAGACTGTTGCATAAGCCAGTCCCTCGAGTCGTTGGACCACTCAATCCTGATGGTGGGATGTTGACCAGACTGGATCAAGGGGAAGAGATGGTCGATCCACTCAAAGATGCGCTGATAATGCCAGTCGAAGCCCGGAACTTCGTCGCGACCAACAGCGTTGTTGAGTTCCCGAAGATAAAAGTACGAAAGGCGCTCACAGAGATCAACAAGTTCAAGATCAGATGCAGTATCTTGGTCTTGGGTATCTGACTGCGCAATGCCACTCGCAATGTCAACCTCCCACTCAGTCTTTGTGTACAGCTCCTTAGCGTTGCTAGGTCCAGGCCGAAGGAGAGATGTGCACGTCAATCCCTGGAGCTGTAACACAGGCTGGCCATGGGAAGATTGGAAAATGTCCATATCGGCGGTGAGCTCACGCTCGTTGGTGTTGGTCAAGAAAGAGTCAATCACCAGGTCTTCGCCATGGCGGAGGTGGCTGGTGTTGACAATACGAAGGCTTCGGAAGAAGGTAGGGACAAAAGGAGCTTGGAGGCTTCCATCATCGGGCCAACAGTAAGCAGCAAAGATTGACTGGAAGGCGGCATCCAAAAGAGCTGGGTGAATCATTGCCGGAAAGTCAGGGACAACTTGACGGGCGTGTGCGGTTGCTAGACCCAACTGACGATCAATGCTCTGAAGATGCTTGAACTCGCCCGTGTACTCAAGTCCAATATTGGCCAGAGCGCTGTAGAATCTCTCCACGTCAACGGATGTAAGTGAAGCAACTGGCTTCCTCCGCGAGGGCAGACGGGCAGCGTCATCCAAGGAGCCAAACTCCACCCGGAGTTGCCCCTTCGCGTTACATTTCCAGCTATCATTCCGTCCACTCATCGGCGTAGACAATGTCCAATTGGCCATGGCGAAAGCCGGCTCATTTCTCTCAACCTGAAGAGTGAAAACAGTCTCCAGAGATTGAGAGCCTTCAGTTAACTGGATGGCACTCAGGATATAGACATCAGACAGCTCAATGAGCTGGATCTCCTTGGTCGCATCGATAGCTCGTGCGGCCTCCATGGCCATAACTAAGTATCCAGCTGCTGGATACACAACTTGCCCTTCGACTTTGTGGCCTTCCAGCCAAGGAACATCATCAAGTCGGAGATAGTTGATCCATCGCATGCTGTCAGCGGTATCCTCAACAGAGCGGGTGCCTAGTAGGGGATGAGGAGGCTGACTGCGCTGCCGGTAGTTCAATGACTTTCGGGATTCCCTCCAGAAGGACTGTGTATGATCCCATGCGTACGGCGGAAGTCCATCTGCCATAGCTGTGATTGATGGGGAGAAGGCTTGGGTATACGCAGTAAAGTCGACAGCAGACTTGCCCAGGTGCGACCAGAGGAAGCCAAGTGAGTCACTCAGGGCCTCAACGTCGTGAACATTTCTGGTCACTGTACCCTGATACGGCAATGGAGATCCAGTGGCGCGCTTATATGTCTGGTTGAAAGGACCCTTGAGGGCTGGGTGAGGGCCGACTTCCAGAGCCACATGACAGGGCGGGCTAACCTCCGCGACGAGCTCCGAGGCCACCGAGAAGAGAACTGGGTTCACCATGTTCTCAACCCAATACTCGTCACAGAGTGCATCACCATGCAGAGAGGCGGTGATGCGTTCCCCCAAGACGCTGGAGTACCACTCCACAGAATCGTCGCCAGGCAGAGACTTCACTCCAGCAGCTTGGAGCTTCTCAAGGTATGGCTGCGCACAGGGATTCATGTGATGGGAGTGGTAGGCAGTGTCAACCTTGAGAATACGAGCAAATGTACCTTGCGCGTCCAATAAGGCCTTGGCCTCCTCAATGCTGGCCTTGTCACCAGAGAGAGTAGTGCTAGCGGGGGCATTACTGGCAGCCACATCGACACGGCCAACGAAGTTTTCCTCACAGAAGGTAGAGGCTTCCTCATATGAGAGACCAACTGCCATCATGGATCCCTTCTCCCCATTCTCTCCACCAGCGAGCTTGGCACAGACACCCCGAAGGTATGCTACTCGAATAGCATCAGTCGCGGATAGGAAGCCAGCAGTGTAAGCAGCTGTGATTTCTCCTGAAGAATGGCCAATAACACACTCAAATGTTATACCAGCCTTGCGCAGTAACTCAACTACTATTATCTGGACCGCAGTGCAGAGTGGTTGTGAAATAGCTGCTTCGCTAAGTCGAGACGAGTCCTTGTCAGCCATAATTTGCTCAGTGAGCGTCCAGGTAGGAGGCTCTGCTAAGCTCTCCAATGACTCTTCCAAGGATGCCATCACGGCACGAGCAAAAGGAGAGGCTTTGAGGACCTCTCGTCCCATGGTAGGCCATTGCGCGCCTTGACCAGTGAAGACACCCAAGATACGAGGAGGCTGACCCGGTGGGACAGTCTGGCTGATGAAAGGCAGTACAGCATTCTCAGCTGTGGCGTCTCTCAACTTCTGCTCAAGACTCTGCAGGTCATGGCCAGAGAAGTAGGTCTGAAGGGGAAGTTGTGATCGCCTCTGTGCCAGTGTGAAGATGATCCTGTCGATCTCCCCTTTGTCGTTATGCTCAATTGCCCCTGCAAACTGTGCAATTTGCTTGCGTAATGAGAGATCTGAGTTGGCAGAGAGGACAAGCGGGGTGGAAATAATGCCGTCAGGCGAACTGGCCTCCGTGTGAGGGTTGTCGAATTGCTCGATGATGGCGTGGACATTGGTTCCACCGAACCCAAAGGAATTGACGCTTGCACGTCTGGGAGATCCAGGAGCCAGCTTCGGCCACGGTTTAGACTCAGTGGGGAGCCTCAAGTTGGAGACGTAAGGCTTGAGGGCCGGGTTTAGATTCTCGAAGAGCTGGTTGGGAGGAATGATTCCTCTTTTGACAGCCTCGAGAGCCTTTATCAGACCGGCAAGACCAGCGCATCCTTCGAGATGGCCGATGGCTGTCTTGACTGAGCCTACATACATGGGCTCAGGGACGATATCCCCATCAGTGAAGAAGGCTTCGTGAATAGCACGAGCCTCTAGAGGATCACCGGCGGGTGTACCTGTCCCATGAGCCTCGAAGAATTGACAACGGTCTTTGAAGAAGTCAAGACCGGCATTCTTGTAAGTCTGTTGAATCAAGACCTTCTGTGCCTCTGGACTTGGTAATGTGATACCGTTCGTTCCTGTAAGTGGTTAGCAAGATAATAATCTTAGTTATGAGAATGTTTCAACTTACGTCCGTCAGAATTGACTCCAATCTCCCTAATAACGCCTTGAATATAGTCTCCGTCTGCCAACGCTTGAGATAGAGTTTTCATCATGATGGCTGCTACACCCTCGCCTCTCGCGTATCCGTTGGCAGAGGCATCCCACATCCTACTTCGTCCAGTTGGGGACAGCATGTGCAGCTTGGACTCAGAAATCATCATTTCTGGTCCAAGGATAAGGTTGGCGCCTCCAGCGCAAGCGATCTTGGAAACACCGTTGCGAAGGGCTGTAACAGCATCGTGGACCGCAACAAGACTGGAAGAGCATGCCGTATCAATGGTCATAGAAGGTCCCTTCCAGTCGAACAGATAAGAGATTCTGTTGGAGAGAATACTGCGAGCGGTACCGGTGGCCATATACTTGGGCATATCTTGGGGATCACGCATGAGCATTTCATGATAATCCCCCGTCATGCATCCAACGTATACAGCGGTATCAGACCCCTTGAGATCTTCCATAGGCAGACCAGCTGCCTCTGTTGCCTCATAAACAGCTTCAAGCAAGAGCCGTTGCTGAGGATCCATGGCCTCAGCCTCACGTGGATTAATTTTGAAAAACGAGGCATCAAACACTCGAATATCCTCGGACAAGAGATATGCCTTCTTCACATCGGTGCAGCCATTTTTATCACCATTGGTGCTGTAGAATGCATCTACATTAAACCTGTCGTTGGTAATACGGGACTGAACGTCTCGCTTCTCGCACAGGAGGTCCCAGAGCTTGGAGGGGGTGTTGGCGCCGCCGGGGAAGCGGCAAGAGGTGCCAATGATGGCTATGGGCTCTTTAGGGGGGGATTGATTGTCAGTCATGATTGAAGTAACTGGCCGAATTCGTGTTGAACTTGTTGGTGGTGAATGATGAAGAAGAAAGCGTCTAATGCGATACTGCTCAGGATATCACCGTCGTTGATTTTGGATTTGTCGGTATAAGTGCCATTGCCATGTCACTAATGTTTACATCCACAGCAGTATGTTGTGCTACGTATCTTGGAAAAAGACTTTTGTGGACTTCCTAAATCAGACTTAGACATGGCCCCCATGAACCCATCCTTTGAACTGTCGTAATGGCTGAATGAACTGTGTGCCCGAGCTGATTCAGGGGCGTATAGGAGTGAATTGCGGCCGCAAACTGCCGGAGCTCTCCTCCAGCCCTCCAAGTTCCATCGATTCGGGTCGTATTCCTATCCCATCATGAGGCATTTTCATCGTGTAGGCAAGCCTCTGTCATCGCCTCATCCCCATATCCACCGTACTTCAGGGTTTAAATCCCATCTACATGGAGTCTTAGATGAGATCTAACATATTGAAGGACGGGGGCGTATAGAGGCTTGTTGGGAACGGGCCGGTTTACCCATGTGTGGCCTCATTTGACCACATACCCATGTAGTCTGACATGACTAGTTACCAGCCAAGTAAAACGTGGAGGTGTATGGGGTTGCTTGAAAAAAACATCCGAAACGAACGATTCGGGATCTCCCGGATGGCGCCGCTAGCCGCTTGGCTCAGCCTAAGTTAACTTCCTTCGATGCTTACGAAGTTACGCCATTTCAAGCGGGGGGGTGGCTTTTGCTTTTACTTTGCTCTCTCAAAGAGACAACCCAATTGAGCAAATTATCAGCCCTAGTCAGTTTTCCTTACGACTTTGGAAGTTAGCGTGAGCTAGGTACATCTACACAGCCTTATGAACGTCCATGCCATCCAGTTCATGCTTGAGGCATACATCTCGATGCCCCAAGAAACGTTCCCTCTCTTTTCCTCTCAATCAAGTTCCAATTATTCATCATGCACAAAGTCTTTGCCTCAGATTTCTTCAACTTCGAATTCCTTCGCCTCCTTGGCACTGTTCCCTTCCAAGGAGCAGAGGTTGGCGAGTGTCTGACCACCGCGGGGCGCATCAAAGATGGTGATCCCGAGAGTTGGTATCGCGCCTGGCGTGATCAGGCAGACAAGGCACAAGCTCTAGCAGAAGAAGCTGCTGCTGTCGGCGATAAGACCGGTGCTTGCTGGGCTTATATCCGTGCTGCCAATTATTGGCGGGCCAGCGAGTTTCTGCTGCACTGCACCCCCAATGATCCTCGCATCTTGGCTTCTTCAAAGGCCAGTGTGGATGCCTTCGACAAAGGCTGGGTTCTTCTAGATGCCACCGTCAAGAACTTTGAGATTCCTTACGAGAAGGATTTCAAACTGCCTGGCAGACTCTATCTTCCTGCCCCACATCACAGGCTGCCTGGCAAGATTCCCGTCGTGCTTCAGACTGGAGGCTTCGACTCTACTCAGGAAGAGCTCTACTTCTATGGTGCTGCTGGTGCTCTTCCCCGAGGATATGCCGTCTTTAGTTTTGATGGACCCGGTCAAGGTCTTCCCCTACGTGTTGGGAAACTGAAACTTCGCACTGACTGGGAGTACGTCGTGAGTCAAGTCCTGGACTTTGTCACAGATGGCGTAGCTCCAGTGTATGATCTTGATCTTGAGCGTCTAGCCATCTTTGGAGCCTCCCTCGGCGGCTACCTGTCACTACGTGCGGCAGTCGATCCCCGAATCAAAGCGTGCGTCTCTTGTGACGGACCTCTGGATCTATTCGAGATAACCCGCAGCCGCATGCCACCCTGGTTCATCAACGGCTGGCACTCCGGTTGGGTAAGCGATGGGGTCTTCAACTGGGTAGTAGATGCCCTAACTGCCGTAAACTTTCAGATTGCATGGGAGTTTGGGCACGGCAAATGGGTTTTTGGGGTTGAAACGCCGGCAGATGTGCTACGAGTCATGCAGCAGATCTCACTCAAAGGCGGATACCTGTCAAATATCAAGTGCCCCACGTTGATAACTGGCGCTGCGGATTCGTTCTACTTCACGCCTGATATCAACGCCAACCCCATATTCGAGGGGCTGACGTCTTTGGGACCCGGTGAGAAGCATTTGTGGATTGGCAAGGGGGTTGAAGGTGGAGGGTTGCAAGCCAAGATTGGAGCTTTAGCGGTTGTTCACCATAAGATGTTTACGTGGTTGGATAGTACTTTTGGCATCAAGCGGGATGTATTGTAGCTTACTCTTGCCCGTATTTCGTATTTCATAGTTCGTAAACTACTTTCGGCCTAGACTCTAATGTATTCACTATGTACGTACCTACGGACTTTGGTATTTACGCTTTAGCTTTCAGTCTATTGCGTACCGACAAAGGGGGGGAATTCGGTGAGTAGCGAATGGCGAGCAACTTGGACCGATAGCGTCTCACAAAACTTGAATCGACCGATTGGGAGTGTCGTATATGCAAGTAAGCACCGAAACTTTTGACTGGATTCAGCAGCGCAACGGCAAATGGCAATTTGCGGGAAGTGGGTGAACTGCCGGGCTTCCGTTCACCAGCTCCAGTAACATAAGGCAACACTCCTTGCATCCTGCCAGCCGTATATCCGAATATCAGTATAGGTACCTGCGACGCCCCACCGTCGTCTGTGCGTATTATAGTAAGCACTAACCAAGAAATGCGAAAAACAAGGATGGGAGAAGGTTCGGGATTCAAGGAGATCGTCTAATGCACGCATTGTAGAGTAATGGATGCACATCTCCAAACGCGTCAAACTGCATTACTAAAATGAGGATGCGTTCTTTTCCGATGTGATGATGTCAGATTTCTTACGGTAATTGCTATCAGGCCATCGAAATCCTTCGGCAGCGGACTTCGCCAAACAGCGCAACATCGGAACCGAGGGACTAAGATTTGCCGATGGTTCTCGAGATCCATCAGATGATGCTGATTATCCGTTCTTATGTACCGTCCATCGCTCAATAGACTTCAGAAAACAACAGCGTGAACATCAAATCAACAGACAAAATGACTCCGTTTGGAACTCTTTACACGTATATGCCTAATGCGAGAGTTTTCAAGGTACAGTAATTATGTCTTTATCTGATATTTTCTAATCTGACTAACTCTTTGCTCAGATCCTCGCTGCAGCAAAACTCAACAATATCACACTTGAGATTCCTGCTTATCAACACGGGGTGACCAACAAGTCAGCAGAATTCCTCTCGAAATTCCCAGCTGGAAAAGTCCCAGCATTTGAGGGCCCCGACGGCTTCTGTCTCGTGGAGTCTGACGCTATCGCCCAGTATGTAGCCCAATCAGGCCCTCAAGCAAGTCAGCTGCTTGGCCAAGATGCCATGAGTTCCGCCAAGATCAGACAATGGATTTCTTTCTTTGCTGAAGAGATCTATCCTACTGTCCTTGACCTTGTTATGTGGCGGGTAGGGTTAGGAGCGTTTGATGAAACTACCGAGACAAAGGCACTGGCTCAGCTGGTGTATGGTTTATCGGTACTGGAGAAGCGCCTGAATACTGGTACCTTGCTTGTTGGAGATGAACTGACGCTTGCTGATCTTACTGGTGCTTCTACGCTCTTGTGGGCTTTTATGCACATTATTGATGAGCCTATGAGGCAGCAGTATCCTAATGTTGTCGCTTGGTACTTGAAGGTTGTTCAAAACGAGGAAGTTGAGGAGGTTTTTGGGAAGCCTAATTTCATCGAGAAGAGACGTGTTGGGGCTAATTGATGTTATTCGGCATATTAATCTGGGAATATCTTCAGCCTCCATCGCCATTCCAAGAGTAGTCTTGTGCTGCATCACAGTGTGTTCCAGTAAAACGTGTAAGCAAATAGCCTAGAGTACAGAGAAACATTACTTGGAATACTAAAGATATATATAAAAATAAATCAAAGCAAAAGAAATATCTAGTCAGGTAGAATATACAATAATAATAATCAAGACACTAGATAAAACATAGTCTTCAAGGATTTCATCCCATAAGAAGAGGTGCAAGGCCAAACGAGCGTTCTTCGAAGTTGAGAACAAGATACTTCCTCTTGAGGAATGCTCTACCTAGAAGAACAACCCTTGCGTCTCCATCCTGTGTGCGCCCGTATTTCCAAACATTGACATTGAGATAGCAAACACGCCCAGACATGTCTGTCAGCCTGGTTACATAATCACGTGGAGAAATCGTGTTCTTCCTCCTGCCATCGAGTTGATATACCAGATCGGGATATTCGTCTAAACCGTCACAAGCAACGGTGTACCAATCCTGGTTTGCCGTGTTATATCCCGACGATCCCTGCTGCTGAATGTTCTGGACGATTGCCTTGGATGCAAGTTTGGCACTTTTGATGTGTCTGACCAGGTACTTGTAAGCGTTCAGAGACAGGGGTGCTCCTAGCCCCTCAGATCCTTCGTCCACGACAGCTAGTGGGGGCGTACTCTTAGCAGTCTTGACAGCCTTGAATGGAACAGCATAGTTCTTTGACAGCTTATCAGTCTTGATCCACATTCCTGTCAAGGACGTACTCCAATAGTTGCTGCGAGGTGGCGTTGATGGGTAAAAGGCGTCGCTAAGCCATTCAGGATTCTGTATCTCGTACGACTGGAGCTTTTTGGCGCTGTACATTGTAGTATCCGTACCGCCAAACACTAGCTGCGCATCGCCCCCCTGACAGGTTGCTGCTGACTTGAGTACCTCGCATGTATGCCAACCAACCAGAGGTCCCATCTTGCCGTTCTTCCAGGCTTGAAAGTTGACGGGCTCGGATGTTGCAGTCATGGTCTTTGGTGTGGGTGCTAGGCCAAAGATTCCTCCAAAGGGAATGACAGGAACAACGCTGCCTGGGTAGGGGAAGTCGGAAACCTGCATTAGAGTGTCCTTGTTGCAGATGTCTCCAATGCAAAAGTTGTCTCTTCCATAATCAACGGTAAAGTTTGGCGCGAATGCAGTGACAGGCCACGTTGCCTGTGCAAAGGTAGTATTTGCGAACGTTGTTGAGTCATGTTCGTTGAAGAATGATTGGCCTTGCGCAACGCAGAGCTCAGGGTTGAATTGTCCCAGACAACGTCCCGATCGGACAAAAGGAGCCATCCACGTCATGTCGCTGAGCATGGTGATGTTTTGTGGTGGCGAACCGACTGTAACATTGAACAGGTACCCGTAGACGTCCCAATTGGCTGGAACTGCTACAGAGTTACCGTTACCAGCCGAGCGGTGTTCCAAAGTGACAGCGGCTGCATGACTCGGGCTGAAAGCTCCGAAAATCTGCAGTGCAACGTGCAAAGTTGCAATGGTAAGCATCATTGCAGATCGTTTCGGAAATGGGAACAAATGTCAAAAAGAAGGTTGATATGCCGACAAAGTCTGTATGATCTGACAGATTATATTCTGCAGAGAACAAACATACAGGGACATGATGCACGTTTTATCGGGCTTGTAAGCGGCGTCTGTGGACACGAAGGAATCACTTTTGATATCTGAGGCACAGCGATGAAATTAGCAATATACAATAGCGTGTATGGCGCAGCTACTATCGAATCTTAGTAAAATCCATACAGCTAAAGTCACATTCGGAGACTGCCAACATGGGCTGAGATGTGCCGTCGTATCGCGGTTGGTGTCACAGCCTTACATCGTTTCGCCAAGATGAGGAAACTCGTCTAATCCTTCAGCTCCACTAACGGACTTAGATAGAATCACGTCAATGAACCAACGAGAAACGGTTGTACCCGAGGGAGGGGGGTGCATAAGGTAAAGGAGGGCAGACACTATAACCCTGGTCTAGTCGGACGCTTGGCCAGGGTGGCTTACGAACTGCCATCCGAAAATTGAGTTTCGTGGACATCATTCGATTTAGAATTACTCTGAAACGATTGTACTGAAACTTATTTCCTAATTTGGAGTATGTATTGTGTCGAGCCCAGTGGCTTGGAATCTGCTAGACAGTCAACTTGGTCGGAGCTACGACCAAACATTAGGTAGATGGAAAAGGCAAACAGACTCGACGTTTCCTGACACTGATTCAACTTCCTCTCAGTACTCTTCCAAGTCTCACCACAAATTCTCTCACTTTTCATCTCATCGTTTATTATTAACCCACCAGCAATATGGTTCATCGCCCAAGGCTACTTTGTCTCCATGGAGGCGGTGCCTCTTCACAAATCATGCGCATACAATTCTCCAAGCTAGAGTCCGCACTTCGCAAAACATTCCAGCTCGTCTTCCTGGAAGGCCCTCTAGACAGCGCCCCAGGACCTGGCGTTCTACCCTTCTTTGAGGATTTTGGTCCATACTCCTGCTGGGTCAGCGATGACAGGTCATTATCCCCAGAGGAGAAGAGACAAGAAGAAGCCAACGCAATTGCATACATCAAGACCTTTATGCTTCAATACGGCCCTTTCGCTGGGATCCTTGGGTTTTCACAAGGAGCCCGTGCTGCAGCCAGTATCTTGCTAGAACAGCAGCGCGAGGCTTTTACTCATGACTATTTGTTCGGTGTCTTCTTCTGTGGCACGTTTCCCCCTTTCATTCCTGATGCCCCTGATATCAGCCTGCCAACCATACACATATTGGGACTCACAGACCCTTATCTTCGGGAAAGTGAAGTGTTGTTGGAGCATTGTACACAACAGAGTGTCAGGAGAGTGATCAAGTTCAACGGGGGCCATCACATGCCGACCGGCTCAGACGTCACTCAACAGATTGCTGATGTCATTTCGCTGACATACAGAACATCTCAAAGGAAGAAGGTTTCAAGCATCTGGAAAAAGAAAGTTCCAGACTCTCGACCTCCAGCGCTTGAGATTTGAGATTTAGTACACCGTGCAAAATGGGCAGTTTAGAATAGATCAATAGCATAATAGTGTAGACTCATCCGTTACCAATAAGTCATGTTTGAATAAATTCTTGTTGCCGCCTAGGGTCATGATACTCCATGACTTGCGGGTATATCACTCAAATAACCCTCAATTGCTAATACCAAGACTAGAATTGATCTCTAAGTTAAGCAATTTTGTAGGTTAATTCCTATAAACAGGTACGCTTGACTGTATCTCAGGCTATGGGTTCAATATCGGTTAGGTTCTTATCTAACAATCTTGAAGATATGAACACAAACCAATGCCCCAAAGGTATCATAGCGACGGCCAATAAGAGTCTTATTACAGTAATATAGATCAAAATCAGTTCAAGTGATGAAATTCTATACTTGAATCATGCCATCTCACTTCTCGACCCAAAATACATACATCACCAGAGGCTGTACGGATATTCTTGCCGGCAGTGCAGTCTCTAGCGTGAGATTTTAGGGTTGTAACAGAACCCCAGAACATACCGCTTCGGGCAATTCGTGTCCATGCAAGATCGGTAATTTCGATTGGCCTAAAATTGCCGGTCTGTCAGATCGGAGGCTTTATGTACATACCCTGGACATGGCACGATGTCGGGAGTCCTCGCCGTCTGATCATTCTCTCTAACTGAAAGGATTGCTCTTGCATGCTACTAGCTCAATCCTACAGACCTGAAAAACGCAGGTGAGAAACATGGGTGAGAATCCTGTACAGTCGTGGGGTTGCAGACAAGCTTCCGTATGCGCGTTTGCTTTTGTGGCTCTGGTAATTGAGGAAACTGTACTGAGTACGGGAAATTATACTGGAACCGTCCGACGGAGGCTTTCGCGATGATTGTGCCATGTTTTGACAGGTACGGCGAGTGGAAAAAAGAACAGAATCAGTCATGAGATTAGTTGTCTTTTCTCCCCAATCAATCACTCTTTTGCGAAGCATATTTGCTGCTTGTTTGCTGCGTATTTCATGAGTCCCTGGCAATGATCCAGCCCGACAAAATGGCGTCCGTCAATAATGCAGTGCCACAGCCAGCACCAGAAAAGTCGCCATCCTCTGATCCCCAACCCGAACCAAGCAAGAAAGGCGCCCGATTCTGGCTCATCTTCGTGTCTATCGCCTTGACGACTTTCCTCGCTGCCCTCGACACATCCATCATCTCAACAGCACTACCAACCATCACCGCTGACCTTAGGTCCGAATCTCTCTACGTATGGATCATCGACGCATACCTCCTAGCCTCAACGGCCACCATCCCCATCTTTGCGCAGGCCGCCAACATCTACGGCCGTCGCAGTTTGACCCTCATCGCCGTTTGCATCTTCACGCTCGGTAGTGGTCTATGCGGCGGCGCACATAACACGGCCATGATGGTCGGTGGACGAGCCGTGCAGGGCATAGGCGGAGGAGGCATTCTCACCATGAGTGAGATTGTCGTCTGTGATATGGTCTCCATTCGAGAGCGAGGCATGTACGCTGGCATCATTGGCGGTGTCTGGGCCATCGCCGCTGTGGTTGCGCCCGTCATGGGAGGTGCTTTTGCGCAGAACATCTCGTGGCGATGGATCTTCTACATCAATCTCCCGATCGCCGGTGTTTCTCTGGTCGCATTGGGCTTGTTCCTCAAGCTGGCTCGCCCACCGTCTGGCACCGCCAAGGAGCAGATGAGCAGGATCGATTGGGGCGGCAGCGTTCTCCTCATCGGCTCAGTCACTTCCATCGTTCTGGCACTGAGCTGGGGTGGATCTGAACATCCATGGTCGGGCTGGCAAACCATCGTTCCTCTGGTCATCGGCCTGCTTGCTCTGGTCGCCTTTTTCGCGTACCAAGGCGCTCCGTGGCTCAAAGAACCTACCATGCCTCTCAGGCTATTCAGCAACCGGACATCATCCACATTGCTCATCATCAGCTTCATCCATAGCCTGTTGCTGTACTGGGTTTGCTACTTTCTTCCAGTTTACTTCCAGGCTGTCAAGGAGGCCAGTCCTACACGCTCAGCGGTCATGCTCTTCCCCATTGCCTGTACGAGCGCTCCCGCTGGCGTAGCTGCTGGCATCACCATCACCAAGACGGGAAAGTATCGTGTTTGGCACTTCACTGGATTTGTACTCATGTCAATTGCCTGTGGCCTTTTCACCTTGCTTGATGCCCAATCCTCAACTGGGCGCTGGGTCGGCTTCCAGATCTTGTTTGGTGTCGGCACTGGAACAGTTTTTACTTCGACACTGCCTCCCATCCTCGCCAGTCTGCCTGACTCCGACGTCGCCACTGCAACTGGTGCGTGGACGTTCATCCGCAACTTTGGATCGATCTGGGGTGTTGCCATTCCAGCTGCTGTCTTCAACAACCATGTCAATCATGCTGCTCCCAAGATCTCAGACTCGACGGTTAAAGGCCTTCTTGTTGATGGAGGGGCATACGAGCATGCCACCCAGCACTTCATCAAGAGTCTCTCTCCCAATCCGGAGCTCAAGACCGAAGTTATTCAGGTGTATTTAGAGGGACTCAAGGTTGTTTGGCAGGTGTCTCTCGCATTTTGTCTTTTGGGCTTTATTCTTTGTTTCTTTGTTCGTTCATTGACATTGCGTGACGAGCTCAATACTGAGTTTGGGTTGAAGGAGGAGAAGCCCAACTCGAATAACATGTCGAGTGAGGAGGGCGTTGTGAGAGACTGAACACGCTAAAGACCCTGAAAGAAACTCGTATTGAAGGGCCATGACTTGAGTCTTTTTGTTTCTATAGCGTAATTTTAGTCAATTGCCTATTTCTTTGAATTCTGAATCCTTTTATCTATTAAATCTAATGTCACTACTGCCCTGCGTTGTTAATAAAATTATGTTTACAGTTGTGTATCCCGCGTCTGAGCCCTGCGTGATGACAGGGCCACTACGTCGCTAAAATTGGAGTCGAGTTTGTAATTCTTCAGTGGTTCAAAGCGCTGAACATTCTCCGCTACAGGGCTTATCGCGCTATAAATTCCAGGCGTCCCATCAGTCTCAAACTCCCTCTTCGCCCTACTTGTTCACAACATATCCTTACTCCAAGAGCATCTTTAATTATGAATTTCGATACTTTCTACAATATCATTGCAGGCCAGCCTCGCTATGCTAAGGAAACCACCTCGGGCGTAAACCCGCTCGATCGTTCCCCTCTATGGCCTGCCCCCGTCGCTACCGCAAATGACGTTGAAGAAGCTGTTCGCTCTGCACAAGAAGCATTTCCCGCGTGGTCTCAAAATACCTACAAGCAGCGCACGGAGCTGCTGGAGAAGTTCGCTGATCTCTATCTTGCCCGCGCTAACGAATTCTGCCAATTGATCGCGACTGAGTGCGGAAGAACAGTGAGATGCATATTTTCACCGAAGAGAACAGTTACACGCTGATACAGAAGCTAGGCTGGGAATGCAGCAATAGAAGTGTATTTCGCTGCGCAATGGCTACGATATCCGTGTTTGTTTCAACAGGCCATCTCGGTCGGTGTATACGATGCTGACTGGTACAGCAAAATACGAAATTCCAGAAGAAATTATAGAGGACGACAAGAAAACATCCATCGTTACTCAGGAGCCTCTTGGAGTTGTTGCCGCCATCTGCCCTTGGAACTGTACGGTGTCTCCCTGAACAGTAATGAATTTCTTGTTGACTCTTGACAGTTCCCTTGATGCTCGGTAATACCACTACACTTTACAAAGAGTATCAAGCTAATATCGAGAAGCTTTGGGAAAGATTGCACCTGCTTTGGCTACGGGAAACTGCGTCATCCTCAAACCATCGTGCGTCAACTCGCAGCTATGCTATTCTCCCTATTTCTCACTGACTTGATATAGCCCCTTCACTCCATACTCGAGTTTGAAGCTTGGAGAACTAGCTCAGCAAGTATTCCCTCCGTCAGTTCTTCAGGTACTTCATGGTCACGATGATTTGGGCCCTATGCTGGTCAAGCATCCTCGAATTCAGAAGATCACTTTTACGGGGTCCACTACTACTGGAAAACAGATCCTCAGAGATGCAGCTGATACAATGAAGAGAATTACCCTCGAAACGTAAGTGTATCTGAATGGCAACGTTCACTGCTGACTTGGTGGCACAGCGCTGGCAATAATGCCTCCATTATCCTGCCAGATGTCAACCTCAAAGCTGTTGTTCCCCAATTAGCAGCAGGTCTATGGTTCAACGCTGGTCAAGTCTGCATTGCCACACGCCGCATGTACATCCACCAAAACATCTTCGATGAAGTCGTGGCTCAGCTCGCAGAAGCCTCAAAGGATCTAGCTTCCAGCATTGAACCGATCCAGAACGAGATGCAGCTTGATGGGCTCAAGCGAGCTCTCGCTGACGCAAACGCTGCCGGCTATGAGCTGCTATCGCTGGGTAAGACGGAGGCTGCCGAAGGATTCTTCATTCAGCCCACTATTATCAAGAACCCGCCATTGGATGCACATGTCGTGCAACAGGAAAACTTTGGTACGTGGCCTGAAGTGATGACTCGAGTCATTTTTTTGCATCAACTTACACGCTCCCATAGGCCCCGTCGTGTCATGCATCAAGTTTTCATCCGTCGACGAAGCCATATCTTTGGCCAATAATAGCGACACTGGACTAGCCGCGAGTGTGTGGAGCGGTGACATTTCAGCGGCCAAGCGCGTAGCCGCTAAGCTGGAAGCCGGGAATGTCTACATCAACGGCCCGCCTCAGCCGGATCCTCATGTGCCGTTTGGGGGGCATAAGCAGAGTGGATTGGGTGTTGAGTATGGGCTGCCGGGGTTGTTGGCGTTCTGTCAGACAAAGTCTACGTATGTGTACAAGTGAGATAGAATCACCCCCCAAGATTTGCAGCTAGGGGTACGCTTTTTCAATCTACCCCTGCCTGCACTAGTTAGAATGTTACGCCAGAATGCAACACCTTGATATTTGGTTCCTGGTATGGATGCATTATGCAGCTTTGAAGGATTACGCCGACATGCATCTCTGACCACGGCGCACTGATCAGCTTACTTATTTCATCTAGCCGTTGCAAATCCTACCCATACATGTGCATTCGTAAAAGTCCTTTACCCACATAGCAACCAAGACAGCAGTGCCGCAGGCGTAAATCCTGCCGTAACTTCCATGAATTGCTTAGCATACGCGGTTTTTAGTTTGCATGTAACTTCCTCTAGATGGCTTTGCGTCATACTATGGAGATATGGCCTGACCTGCCCCATGGGCTCATCAATGCAAGTGTCAGTCAAGCCATTATCCGTTCCGGGACCTACCGATGCTGACTGTGAGACGGTGGGCTTCTGTTATCCTCGGGGGTCTTTGCAAAGCCGTCTTGGTGACAAGCTCCAAGTCACTTCACTCAACTGGTTGATGTTGTTCACGGCAGTTTATAGTGTGCCTGCTTCTCCAGTCACTAATTGTAATCCTCATTATCTCTTTGGTTGGAGACCAACATACACTACAACACTTCTTTCGTCATGGAGTCTAAGCCACTTCAATACCTCTCGAGTCTAAAATCAGATTCTTTGGTAAATCAGGTGTCTGAGGTGTTGAAGAGCTTGACAGTCACCAAAGGTTTCGGCGCTTTCATCGTCTTATTTATCATTGTACCAAGAGTTTTTGATGTAAGTCATCATCTTTCCAGGCATTACATCTTGTCCTAACCAAACTAAGTTCCTTCGAAATCTGTTTTCTCCCGTCACATCAATCCCTGGCCCTCTCATCAACAAGTTCAGCCCTTGGCCGCTGGAGATTGCCACATTCAAGGGGAAAAGGTATGTAAGCCGAATCTTGTGTCCCAACATTGGTTCTGACATTTCTCTCAGCCATCGGTTTGCTCGTGCTCTGCATCGCAAATATGGACCTATTGTGGTTCTTGCTCCCGGGATGATATCTATCGGTGACTCTAAGGAAATCAAGCGTATCATCCAGAGCGAGGACTGGGTCAAGTCCGAAGCCATCTACGGGAACTTCAGACAAGATTTCCATCGTCCAACACTACTCGCTTTTACTGAGAAGAAGGCCTACTCTAGGCGCAAGCGCATGCTATCTTCCATGTTTGGTATCCGCTATATCCGTAGTCTGGAGCCTCTCATGAAATCTTGTGTTGATGCTGGTGTTGCCCATCTCAACAAGCTTTGCGACAACCCCTCCAAGAGTACTGTTATTAATCTTCAGCACTTTATCCACGGTTTGGCTATTGACACCATTGGAGTTACTACCTTTGGTGGTAGCTTTCACGTTGTCGAGAATGGAAGTCACCCTCTCCCATCTCGCTTGAAAGCTGGTATGAAGATCTCTGCCGTGATGCAACTCATCGGCTGGATCAAATACATCCCTTTTCTACCCAAGCGAGATCCCTACATCGAGAAGTTTACATTCGACATTGTTGATAAGCGCCGCAGGGAGTCTGGAGCTGTCAAGCATCAAGACCTTCTCCAGCATCTTGTCGATGTCTGTGACGACTCTCCCGGCTCCGAGTTCCGCACCTCGGATGTCCAAGATGAGAGTGTAATTCTGCTGGCCGCAGGAAGTGAGACAACTGCAAACGCAGAACTCTTCACAGTCATCCAGCTTCTGAAGCACCCCGAAAAGATGAAGAAGCTCATTGCAGAGGTTGACAAGTGGTATCCTCCAAGTGAGCCCGACCGGGCTACCGAGTGTGCTTACTCTCAAACTGGCATGACCTATCTCCAAGCCTGCATCGACGAGACTATGCGTCTGATTCCTGGGCAGGCGACTGGAAGTCCGCGCGAGGCATCCAAGCAAGAGGTTCTTCTTGGCTACAAGATTCCCAGAGGGACTACTGTTTTCCCCAACACTCAAGAAGCTCATCTTGATGGCAGCATCTGGGAGCAGCCCGAGAAGTACATACCCGAGAGATGGCTCGAGATCTACTCTCAGAACCAGACCTCCGCCATGCCTTACTGGCCTTTCTCTGCCGGGAGCAGAATCTGTGTAGGAAAGAACTTTGCTTTTCAGGAGATGCATATTTCACTGACAACTCTTCTGCGCAAATTCACTTTCGAATATGTCCCGGGTCAGGATGAAACGACCGTGTTCCGCATTGCGCAGCAACTAGAGGCGGACTCTTACAAGGTTCGGGTGAAGAAGAGGTTTTGAATGCAAAGCAATATCTGTAGTAAAGAAGTCTTAGAGATCCAAGGAGGCTACTGAGTGAGGTATTCATCTTCTTGCGAGTGAGGTCGCGGAGCGATAGACGCTGAGAGAAGATGAGCACTAAACAATGACTATTGTAAGGCGGGAGAACCGACTGATCACGCAGCATGGTCAGATAATGGAGGCTTCCTCTTCTTAGGTGCTTACCATACGTCCATGTAATTCTTGCATCTCATATTCGCTCTGAGGTAGATGTAGCCAATGTTAGTAATCTAATGGAGCTAGTCCGTTTTAACCAGACTTGGGGAGCGTGCAAGTATATAATCCCCGAGCCCCCTCCTTGATTGCGTTCAACGTATAACTTTTCTTCTCACCTTTCTTCCTTCTTATCCACTGTTCAGAATGGCAGACAAGTCACATGTCAACAATGTCCCCATGCAGGGTAACGGTGCTTACAGCTCACATGCCGCCCTTCAACATGAGGCTATGCTCAAAGCCCTGCCGCTTTTCCAGGCTGCGGCTGAGGCCATATCTAAGGCTGATTTTACTCGAATATCTATCGTGGAATACGGATCAGCTCATGGGAATAACTCGTAAGCTATCACCTCGATTCTACGCTCTATGTACTCATAGCCCTCTAGTTTGGAACCTATGGAGGCAATTTTGAAGTCTATCCCTGCTCGATCACTGGAACTACTTTTCAGTGACCGCCCGGAAAATGACTTTTGTACTCTGTCCAAAACCGTCACTACGTGGGCTGATGGACTAGTTGGAAGCCAACTTCAACATCCCTTGTTCATTAGTATGATCCCTCGCAGTTTCTATCAACCCGTCGTTCCACCGCAATCTGCACATCTCGGTTTCTCCCTCGCCGCCCTCCATCATCTCGATCATGTTCCTCAACCCACCGAGGATGGCCAAGATGAGTCCAAGCTTCTCCAGCAGCAAGCCCATCTTGATCTCGCAAACTTTCTGAAGCTTCGCTCTCAAGAAATCGTATCTGGTGGATCCCTCATTCTATCTTTCGTCAGTCAGGCCTCTGCTGGATATGAGAATTATAGCGGACCCGTCGACGCCTGTCGCAACGCCATGATCCAAATGGTTCAGCAGGGCAAGATCCCAGTATCTGTCGCTCAAGCCTTCCGGGTGCCTACCTACAATCGAACTCTGAGCGATGTGGAAAATGTTATGGGCGAGTTCACGCAGACTTGGAAAGTCCACGATGTTTTCGAAGAAGATGTTATGCATCCGGCTTTTCATGATCTCAACATTCAGTCGAACCCCAGTCAGGAGACGAGCCAGAAATATGCAGAAATTGTGATCGATTGGATGATGGCTGTTTGCTCTGGATATTTTACCAAGGCTCTTCAGGTGGGATCTCAAGGGGGTCATACTAAAGAGGAGGAGGAGACTCTGCTTCAAGATTGGATTACTATAACTAAGGAGCTTTTTATTCGTGATCACAAGGACGAGAAAGTTATTTGTTCCTTTGTTTACACCCGACTAGAGAGGCTTTAAGTAAGACGTCTAGATACGGATTCAGTCAACTTAGATCAACGTAGAAGAATCAAATTGAGTTCAGCGGCAGGCTTGATAGTTCCATAAACAAGTGATATCAAGATTTATTAACTAAGGACAACGCACCATGGATCCATGCGGCAATGAAAGCCCAGTCCGGAGACGAGGGGTTCTTCTACTCATCACAATGTGGTGCAGAAAGGGCCTAACCCAGCTTGTTTATCTCTACTTTCCAGTATCAGCATACTTGCTTCTCAGCTTCTCACCCCAGATGCTTACACTATCGTCTGCTTAGGCTGAAAGGCAGCCACCAATGCAGGTTGGGTCACTGAAACTAACGTCTGCCGGCATGTTGGCGACATGGACCCATCCGCCGATCTAATGACTGACGTTTCTCAACATATCTGCTTGTCTGAGAAGTCGGCAGTTAAGATTACTATTGACCTTCAAGGGGGGTATTTCCTAGGCGAGAAGAGGAGCTTGGAAGGATAGGTCGGAAGAACACATAATTCAACCATCCTTTGCGTCGAATCACTCGAGGCCAACAGTGCAGACAATATCTTGTCGGCAGACCACCAGCCTCATAACCCCAATGGGTTCCATTCTCAGGATCGCTTGGACGATATACCTGCAGAGATCCTGATGTCTGAGGGCCGCACCGTCTCAAAGGTCGCTCACAAACCAACCTCCCATGAGCGATGACTTTTTCGAGCCTCCTTTGACGGATGCTGCCGATCAGTGAAAGACGGATATCTTGGATCATTTCATCCAAAGTTCGAAGACGAAACACTATGCTCTGTCTATGATCAAGATAGGGTGACGCCTCCGGCTGTATGGCACCTCCTGCAGGATCGTATCCCCACGCCATAAACGTCGGCTTTGGTCCTCCCTCTGTGTTAGCCATCACTAGATGGTCGATTGAACTGAGTCACGAGGAACTGCAGCCTTAGACGAGCCTTCTGAACCTCGCTGGGAAACCTTATTCCAAAATGTCGACAAGGCTGAAACAAAGAGGGATGTTCTTGAAGTGCGCAAGTATCCCTTCCCCTTCACAATGGCGCATGGTATTATGGTGGCGACAAAGCCGTTTGTCCATGAAGCCTGGGCATTTAGGCAAGATGTGAGACGTGACGGAAGTTTACTTGTTGCTCTATCCAGTTCAGCCAGTGTTAAAATTCACGACAACGTGTTCGCCAACTCGTGTGCTGCCATCCGTATGCGGCATGCGCTCAAAGGCCACTGTGGGTAACCTTGGCTCCGCACTCGAAACAGACGTTTTTTATGTTTGGCTATAGCCAATTCGTTGTTGGCTGTAACTATCCATACATGCGAGCCTCCGGCTTATGTTGGGAACTTACCCATCGTATGCTTCTTGCGCCTGACGAACATATACTTGGGGTTGTGACTACCAGTGCCAATGAGGGGAACATAGAGGACATTTAGAGAGTATCGATGGGGCATAGCAAAGCAATTTTATGTACTGCTGATGATCCTAATGAGTAAATATCAGACTAGATAAAAGTTACAATTTCATAGTATCAGAATATTTATTGTTTTTATGGGCAAAAAATTGAAGCGTCTTCGTCATGTGGTGTTGTGTTGAACTCCGCACAATTGTATGCCCGCTCGATCCCGGCATCCAATGAATGCCTCTAAAATTTCACCACCACCAAATTCCTAAAACCAACATCACCACCTCTCCTCAGCATGTCCGCAACACCATGGATATGCCGAACCTGCACAAGAGCGTTAACACGCTCTCACATGCGCCAATTCGTGCGCTTCGCAACCAATGGTTCGCCCCCCTCTCAATCTTCCTCTCTCCCCGCTAACCATCACAGATGCCTCACCACTGCTCGCACCCGCCCTCCTCCAGCGCGCCCAATCCCTCACAAACGAACACGACGACCTCCAAAAGACCCTCAACAACTCCTTCGACTCCTCCATAGCGAAACGCGTCGGCGAATTATCCCGCGTGGCTGAAGCGCTGAAAGCATGGCAGACCTCTCAAGCCTCCGTCGCCGAGTTAACCTCCATGCTCGATGACCCCGACCAAGACGCCGATCTCGCTGCCATAGCCCGCGATGAACTCTCCTCCGAGACAGGAAAGCTCGAATCCCTCGCCCGCAGACTCTCCGCCAGCTTAACGCCCCGCCACCCCTTCGCCGATTTCCCATGCATGCTGGAATTCCGCCCTGGGCCAGGCGGTCTTGAAGGACGGTACTTTATGGATACTTTGTTCAAGATGTACAAAGCGCTGTGCATGCGCCGTGGTTATCGCCACACAGTAGTAAAGTACGAATTCGCCGATACCGCAGGAGACTCCTCCTCATCCGCCGGCGAAAACCCCCTCCAAGAAGCCATCCTCGAAGTCCACGACCAAGGCGCATTCGACATCTTCCGTAGCGAAGCAGGCATGCACCGCGTGCAACGCATCCCCAGCACCGAGACAAAAGGCCGCGTGCACACCAGCGCCGTGGCAGTCTGGGTACTCCCCTCGTTCCCCGAGAACGGCGCTGCAAACATCGACTTTGACGATCCGGAGAGTGATTTCTACGTTAATCCGCAGGAGGTCAAGATTGAGACGATGCGGGCGAGAGGTGCGGGGGGGCAACACGTTAATAAGACGGAGTCTGCTATAAGGATGACGCATTTGCCTACGGGTACTACTGTGTCGATGCAGGATCATCGGTCGCAGCAGCGGAATCGGGAGGAGGCGTGGAAATTGCTTCGTTCGCGAATTGCTGATCAGCGACGAGAAGCTCGTGAAGAGGAAGCGTCAAATCTGAGGAACAGCGTGCTCTCCAAGACACAGATCACACGAGGTGACAAGATTCGCACATACAATTACAACCAGGACCGATGTACCGATCATCGCGCAGGCGTTGACGTGCACGACCTACCGAATGTTCTCGAGGGCGGTGAAAAGCTAGATCGAATCATGGATGGCGCAAAAGACTGGCTTGTGAACAAGGATATTGAACTCCTCATGGCCGAAGAAGAAGCCAAAGAGAAGCTCAATGGCAAGAAATAGATGTGTACAACACTGTAGCATAGACATTGTATTACCATGTACAGAACCCGCTGTAGGGAACCCAAACCTGCTGAATAGATGACGATATCCGACGCTTCATATCTTCGTGCCATTATACGTATCAAGAACCGAACCAAACTCCAGCCCGCATCCGATGAGGATACCGCGCTCCCAGCTAACTCCATGCATTTAAGTCCATTTCACATTAATCCCCCAAGGACAACCTTTCCGATACTAGCCACCTCCGTCTTAACATGACTTCGACTCTGCTCCTCGAAATCCCGTACTATGCCCTGCACGATTATCTTGCGCACGCGTGAATCCGCTTTCGTGAAGAGTTCGGCGACAGGTGCAGAACACTCTCTAGGTGAAGGTACCAACGCCAGAAATCTCGTGTAGCAATCGATCAACACATCGCACAGCGTCGCAAACGTCTCAAAGTAATCAGGATCAAACGGTAACGAAGGCGTGAGCAGAAAAGTATACTCTTCTCCGGGTAGGAGATCTGTCTCAGCAGCTGCAAAGTTCATCACTGACGGTGCAGGGCCACCAGCTGCAGGGAGAGAAGCCATCTCGTCGACCATGGGGTGCATGTCAGCTGCTGATGTCGAGCGACGAGATTTACCGCCTGGACGACGGAACATGCTTGGCAGACGCGCGCGGGTGAGCGATGCAGCGGTTGATGATTCGCCGTGGAGTTGTTGGAAGGAGTCGAATTCGGAGAGGAGGGAGTTTAGGCTTCGGAGGAATTCGATCGAGGTTGAGGAGTACAGGTCGATGATTGTCGGGAGGGAGAGGCCGAGGAGGAGATGGTTCGTTGCTTTGCGGCCGAGTTTCCGAGCGTCGAGGGATGGCATGCGAGTGAGGTCCGTCTTTTCGAAGAGATATGTCTTGAACCAATAAATCCGACCTTCATGTCTATATCACCGTTAGCACCCACCCAAATGACTTCGCTCAATGTCAAACATACGCCTTCCGCAGATACTCCAACGTCGCGATGCGCTTATTCGCAAGCTCCGTAACATGATGATGCATTATCCCCGCCTCATTCTGCTGCCACATCCCGGCCGTCCCAACCGCCCCATTCGGCATTATCCCAATCGGCGTATTCGGCACGATGCCCCCATGAAGGGTCGTCGAACCCGTTGCACTGCGACTCAGCATCTGAACCTCCACCGGCGCCGCTGCACTCTCCACACCGTCTGGTCTAGGCGCTACCTTTGCGGCAGCAGAGAGAGCGTAATCCGGCAGCGCAGGAGGCGCCGTAGCATCCGTGACAAAAGCGTTAGGCCCGTTCCCAAACGAACTCCCGCGCCTGCTCGACAGCGATGCCTTGCGCGAGAACGAGGCTTTGCGGTCTTTGGGGAGGATGCTGCTGCTTGTGTTTAGAGGGTCGACGGCGTGGCCGTCGCGCGTGGTAGGGCGGGAGGCGGCGTTGGAGGAGAAGATGGATGTTGAGAAGATGGGCGTGCCCGTGTTGTTTGGGGTTTTGGGAGGCATGTTTTGGAGAGGAATCTGGCCCTGGGGGGTAAGGTATGGTTGCGTTCGTGGTTGAGTCTAGCCGTGCGTTAAAGGAGGGCGAGGGGTGTGTGGTGATCGGCAGTCGAAGGAGCCAACAGCTGTCGTTTTCGCCCAGAGCCGCAAGCGTCGCAGTGAATCCACGCGGGGGTCGTTTGAGCGGTGTTTCGCCTCGCTACGTCTATGGCGCTCAGCGCCGCTTCTTTTTTCGCTTCGATTATCGTTCTCGTGAATCTCAATATCGGATCGTCGTGCGCATCAGTTACTGTCGAGTAAAAAATGGTGGTGATGGGTGTATCGCTGGAAGTTGAACCCCTGGTGCCGAATGTGGATTGGGCGGGAATTGCTTTTGGAATAGAAGGAAAAATAAAAGATCCAGGGCCTTGCGGGCGCATGGGTAAGGGTTCAAAGGGAAGATCCGCTAAACCACCTCCAGCGAAAACCGGAATAAACCACCATTCTTGGCAAGACGCGCATAGAAGGATCGGTTTCGTGATTTTAATTGACAGGAATAAGGGCCGAATTCAAGATGATCGTTTGATCTGTTGTTACAGGTTTAAGCGTGTTACAGCGGAATTGGGGACGTTGTTATGGAGCTATACGCGTAAAGGGTACCGAACTTCACTTTAGACATGGAATGATACTCGGACGGGTGTGCGATACCGTGACAGGCTTAGCAGGCCATTTAGCAGGGAGCGTTTCACTGTTTTCATCGACTTTTAGAACATGCAAGGCAATTACAACATTATCTACGGAGCACAGTACCATCATATAAAATAATTCGTATGTCTGCTTACCCTGTAGGGACAACATCGCATTTATTGCGAAAAAGAGTTCTGTCAGCAATACAGCACTGACAAAGTGCCTAGTAAAGTGAGTATCGTTTGTTCATCCAGTTGTGAGGTATCAAATTATCACGCAAGCCAGTCTCGTATAACGTTGTTGATGGTAACCATTTCTGTTCATTGCTTACTTTTAAAGATGTCGTAGTTAGCCTACCTAGTACGTATCAACAGAGAGGCTGGAAGTTAAAGTGAGAGAGGTTTGTCACTATAAACTTTATGCAACATAATGTTAACTCGTCTCTTTCAGGAATAGAGTTTCTGGCAAGAAAAAAGGTTTACGGTCAGGCAGCCTTTTCACAAAGCAAAAGTTTCAAGGCCTCAATTTAAGCTCAGCTCAGCGCGCTAACACCGTGACGTCTTTGTGAAACTCCAAGACCCCTCACTCACTCATCTCACAGAGCCATCGCAGCCATCTTTATGAGCAACATCGCATGCATATCAAATAACCACACAAAAATGACAACGATCCACATTCTACGCCATGGGCAAGCTCTACACAAGTAAATGACCCTCCATCTCATCCCTCACCCAGCTGACAGCCCAGCGTCGAGAGAGGCTATCCCCACCGTGACCCTCCCCTAACAGACCTAGGCACGACTCAAGCCCGTACCATCCAACAAACCATGAAAACCCAGCCCGATCTAATAATCGTATCACCCATGACACGAACCATACAAACAATGTACATCGTCTTCCGATATCTCCTCCACAGCACAAAAACCCCCGTCCAAGTATGGCCCGACCTGCGCGAAGCCCACGACGCAACCTGCAACAAGGGAGTTTCGCGCAAAGAATTAGCAAACAAGTTTCCAAACCTTGACTTTTCAGCTTGTCCTGAGAAGTGGGACTTTGCGCCGCATACCCCGGATGATGCGACGGTACGAGCCGAGAGAGTGAGGCGACGGTTGAGGGATGTTGCTAGGACTGGGGGCTATAAGAATATCATGGTCGTCACGCATCGAGGCATCGCTGCGTTTTTGGTGCAGGGTGATAGGTTCAGTGTTTGTGGTAAGTGCACACGTACAAAATGTGATTTTAGCTGACGATGTAGAACAACGGTCATATCGCTTCGCCACGAGTGAGGAAGTTGACAAAGCGAGGCATGGAGTTAACGTAGATACTGGCCTCGAGCAAGATTTTGGCCCGACGGTGTTGATTCCAGCTGAGAAGCCGAAAACTCGCCAAGAGCAGCAGCCGAGTTGACGGGTACTATCAATAGATGCAAACTCCTTGTCTGAAAGCAGGCTTGGGCGATCATGAGGGTTGAGAATATAACATCGACTACAGTGCTGACCCCGTCTCACTAAGCAAAAACAAAGATCAACTGGAAAGATTGCTACAAAGAGTCCAGTGGTGGCCACGTCAACATAAGCGGAATACCACCCATCCTTTCGCAATCACCGAGCCCACTTCCATCTCACAATTTGGGGTCCATGACAACTCCAAGTAAGCCGGAACAAACCCATAAAATCCCCTAAACAAAAGCTGATTGGATAAACAAGTCTCAGGGTCGGAGCTATTCAGCAAACTATCGATAGTTTAACTAAAATAAAGAAGCGCTACAGCCAAGCCTCACGAGTATACTTACAGGACCACCAACACCCTCATGTCTGCATCAGTGGCGGTGTAATGCATCCTGCACCTCCACGCTTACAACTATTTACGTTATCCCGTAAGCCAAGCCACTGCAGGGCTGACCAGTAAAAACATGCATCTGCGCTGATTACATTCAACGCGCTGTGGAGATGGGATGAGAAGATGTCAGCACTAGTAGGGCTGAGCTCGGCATCGCGGCAGTTTAAATAATCTCCCATCCAAGACCAAATGAAAAAAAAAAAAAAGTATTCAGTGTTTATTCTCTTCTTTCTTTTATTTCTCAGAGAATCTGGTTTATTAAGAAATCATGGCTTTCGTACGACCGTTGCTGTACGTCGCCCTCGGGCTTCTCATGGTAGTCTCCATCATCGAACTCTCCTTCATCTCCAGCATGGTCGGTTGGTTACACGGCAACGCCAGCGGAACCTTTTCCTTCGAGTACCGCGGTACACGACATAATCTCAAAGGCGAGCCTGCAAACTTGATCGTTGATCAGGGCCACACCAGCAACGGCGCAGCAGGAACAGCATTCGTCCTCATCGGCTGCGGAGGAATCATCGCTTTGATTCTTCGCAACAGACAAAACCCCGGAAAATTCAGTCGATTCTTTTATAACACTTGGCTGGTATTCAACGTACTCAGTTTACTGCTCATCCTCACGGCTCTTATTTATACCTTTGTTGTTACGAATAATCATAACGGACAACGTATCAACCCTGGTGTTGCGGCGGGTCTTGACGATGATGAGAAATATCCCCTTCAGTCGTGGACACCGCAGAATTGGTTCTCTGCATTCTTGAAACTCGACCTCACCAACTCAAATGAGAGAAACGACATCGAACATCACTTGCGTCTCATGCGAGGCTGGCAGTACAACCTTATCCCCTTCTTCATCATCCACCTTGCTGAGACTGGCCTTGCACTCTGGGACGCTATGCTTCGACGAAAAGAACCTGTGCCAGCCTATGCGCCGCCCAAGCACACTGTCTAAGTTAATTCCAAATACGAAAAGGATCGGCATCCTTGCAAGGATGGAACATTGTTTTTATTGGTACATAAACGAAGAAATATGGCATCTTACCTCGGTATAAAATGTATCGAGGGAAATCTTTAATGATATAATAAATAACATAAATAATTAACTCACCTGCTTCATTAGTGATAGAGACCTGTAACTCAAATGTGATTACAAATCCTGTACTCGGTAGGGAGTACACAAAGGGCGTACTAATGAGTCACTAGAGCGCCCAGTGGGGCATTTTCTCAACACCATAAAACCATCTCCAACCTCACGATACTCTCGTCAAATCATCCACAAATTAGATTAAAATGACTTACTCACTGTTCATCGGCAACAAGCGCTATTCCTCTTGGTCAATGCGACCCTGGGTTATCCTCAAAGCCCTCGACATCCCCTTCGACGAGAAACTGAACCTCTTCAAACCTGGTCGTCGTCAACCCGACTTTCTCACTTTTTCACCAACTGGAAAAGTCCCCTGTCTTCATGATGGAGAAACATCAATTGTTATTTGGGACTCGCTAGCTATCTGCGAGTACATCGCAGAGAAATACCCCGCTGCTTGGCCGACCGACGCAGCAGCACGTGCTTTTGCTCGTAGCGCCGCTGCGGAAATGCACTCTAGCTTTGACGCCATTCGCGATGAGTGCTCTATGAACGTTGGCTTGAGGATTGAGCTTGGAACACCGAGTGAAGCGCTGCAGAAGGACATCAACCGCTTCAACGAGCTTTTCAAAGAGGGGTTGGACAAGTTTGGTGGACCGTGGTTGGCGGGTGATAAGTTTACGATTGTGGATGCTATGTATGCTCCTATTGCTTCGAGGGTCAAGACTTTTGGTATTGAGCTGGATGGCGCGGCGAAGGAGTATGCGGATCGGTTATTTGAGCATGAGGCTGTGCAGGCGTGGATTCAGGGTGGTATTGAGGAGACGAGCAGGGAGCCTGGTCACGAGGATGATTGTGTGAGAGGCCGAAAGATTCTGAAGGACTTGACCAAGGAGTAACGTATTGATTAAGCATTGAAAAAGGGCCTTGGGTAGAATAAAAAACTAAGTAATGAAGAAACCCAAGCCCTTTTGTGAATAAGTTTCCCGATGTTTAGTTTTCCCCAGAGGAAGTTCCAGAGAAGCTTAGATATGCCATCTTGGTGAGAAGACGAAACCTTTTCCCCCAGATGATAAACTCACCCGCAAATACAGTGATAATGAAAGACAGAAAACAGACCAGAATAAAAGTATCCTGCACACCCATGCTGTCAATCCAAGGCTGAATGCCAAATGTTATTGCACAGCCAATGATGTTTCTGATCAAGACAACAGTCGTGATAGCTTCACCATCGACCTCCCTATAGCAGTCAACAACATAAGCCATTGTAAGCGCAGCTGCAACAGTCAACCCAAGGCCAGCGAGTCCTATATATTCCGAAATAACCAAACTTAAAAGTCTATACATCCTATCTCTATTGAACTCTGCAACTTGTCTATTTCGACTAACACTGTAGACTGTGTGCCAAGCTTACTCAAGCTTGACCATGGTGCTCTTGATCTGTCCAAGGGCTTTATACTGAGCATACGCCTCTGCGGCCTTAGGATCCCCATAAGCGGCCTTGGCTTCCTGCACTTTAATTAGCATCATGGCTGTGTCTGGGTATTGACCGAACTTACCTCGAGACTATCCCAACCGATCATACCCAAGCCAACAGAAGGCCCATCTCCAATACTGATGCCGCCCCAAGTCTCCAACCCAAGTGCGGATGCAAGATCGGTCCAGGCCTTGCGTAGCTCCACTCGTTTCTCCCGATCGTCAAGAAGAACCGTCGTAAACTGGGTGAAGGCTTTGGCCGACGCGTTGGCTGGAAAGTCAGGGACCTCAAACTTGCCAGCCACAGGCTCGCCGCCCACACGCTCGTTGTACCTAGCCTTGTGCTCCTGAGCCCAAGCAGAAGATTGGAAGTTTTCGAAATCTTGTGCCGTCTTGAAAGCTGCCCATGTTCAGCATCAACACAACTTGTAGGTCTTTCTTCTGCACCTACCCATGGTCTGGACAAACTTGAAGCCGGTGAAGGCAGCACCGTTCTCCGCCACGACAGGTCCGGCTGATACTCCAGCGACGGCAGGCTGAGACTTGAGGTCCTCTTTCAGAGTAGGCCAGGCTTCGAGGAAGCGATCCTGGCTCTCGGAAGGAATCTCGGGGACGGTGATAACGAAGATAGGCATTATTGCTGAGGTTTGGAGAAGAGATGTGTGTTGGATGTATGTGGTTGTTTTCACTGTCCCATATTACTTGGGAATACATGGATTTTATAGCTTCCTCAGCGGTGAGCTTCACATGTGTCGGACTCGGGAGCACTGTCAAGTACCGCTTCGGGATCGGGATATGCCTAGGCCCTAACTGATTTAAGCTTGTCTCATACGAGCCAGAGTTTAGTGTTGCTGTTCTTGCATTGACTATCCCTTGCCCCGGTGGTAGTTATTGGCGTTAGATACATACTGAGCTGGTTTCGCCAAGCCGTGGCTTACAAGGAAAACAGTTCGCTTTCGCTTTCGGTGTCAGAAAGGACCCGACAATGGTTGATTCCGAAGATACGCGCGTATAAAGCGAGAAATAATACATTTTATACTTTCGCCATCGGATAAGCTAGTTCCGTATTACCGCCTTTTCATAATTACAAGCATGCAAGAAGGCTACCAAAGCTTCGCCGTAGATACAGTCGAAAGGCTGAGACCAAAGGAGGCCCGAAAGCGGACCCAAAAGTGCAACTGCCAAACTATTGAGACATTTTGAGCGTGAGATGCTTCAGCCTTTTGTCTAACCGAGGCCACCAGACTACAGCCTTCCGTTCAGGTGCTGCACTGAGGGTTGAAAATACAACATTGAAAAGCAGGCTGTGATTACGCGACCCGAACGTGGCGAATCAGAACATCCCACTGCCACCACACAGCTGCGATCAAGCTGACACACCATTAGATCCCGTACTGAGGGATGGGGTGCTGGAAGCACTGCAAGCTTCAGGCTTCGACAGAGATCATAATTATACGTATTCGAGTTGAGGTTCTGCGTTGTGAATTTGGGATTTCCCTGAATGGCTTGACTGTGGAATCATCAGTGCCACCAAGAGGTAGAATCTATCATGTAGAGGGTGGTCCACAAGGCACAGCTTTCAGCCCTTCAGCATATGGTTGTAGCTAGACGTCGTCAACGAGGAGTCTCAAGTCGAGAAAATGGCGGGAAACCCCCAAAAAGAGAAATACCATAGTCACTTCTTTCCCTTCCCAGCCCAGACACCGACAATTATTGTGCGCATTCACCAATTACCTCCCTCATCAGAATGTCGCAATCAAACAGTAACCTCGAACCTACTCTAACTATCCTCCAAAGCAGATAGATCTGTCTGTGGCATACTGCCACAAACCTTGTGGTTACCGTATCTTAGTTGCCCTTTCTGACCGCTGCGGGCTGTAGTTTGTATAGCTTAGGTAGTGTGCTTACTGAAGTATATATTAAACTTATCTTTCCCGCACTTAGCATCTATGAAATCATGGAATCTTTGTAAATGGAGACTCTGGAGTGGCGACCTTGGAGCCTCCGGAAAAGCGGAAAAGTATTTACAAGGTAGCATTAGATAAGGGATTTGTTAGTAAATTTAATCCCTCAGTACTAAGCCCCACGTGGGAATAAGTTAGCTTGCGGGGTATTATAAGGATTATCTTCCGTATTATAGAATGCTATAGGCCTTTTTTCTCTCAACCTTCTATCTCTCAACCGGTCCAATTTTCTAATGCATACCTAAGTTCGAATAACTCTTAAAAATCCACTATGGACTGGAAGTCTCTTGCGGCAAAGAAGAAGGGGGAACTTGAGGCTACTATCCCTCAGGAATGGCGCATCAAGAACTTTCCCACCGATAATTCGGTCATGTCATTTCCCAAGGAGAGCGGGATCCTCACTTCAGAAGAGCTTGTCATCACCGAATCACCAGCCACGGAGCTAGTCCAAGATTTAGCTGCCGGCAAGCTGACCTCAGTTGCCGTCACCACCGCGTTCTGTAAGAGAGCTGCGTTGGCTCATCAGCTGGCAAGTCGATTGCTCCCTACCATCCCTCATTAAGATGTCTCTTCTAAGATATTTAGACAAACTGCCTTCATGAGTTCTTCCCAGAGGTAGCACTGGCCCGAGCTCAGTATCTAGATGAGTACCTCGCCGAGCACAAAAAGCCAACAGGTCCCTTGCACGGTTTGCCGATCTCTATCAAGGACCAACTCCGCGTTAAGGCAAGCCCGTAAAAGATATTTACACAATCCCTCCAAGGCCACTGCTGACGATTACAGGGGCTGGAAACTACCATGGGCTATGTATCGTGGATCGGCAAGAAAGAGACAGAAGACTCCGTCCTAACAACCATGCTTCTTAACGCTGGCGCAGTTCTCTATGTCAAAACCTCAGTGCCTCAGAGTTTGATGGTGTGCGAGACCGTCAATAATATCATCGGCCGCACCGTGAACCCGCGAAATAAGAACTGGTCTTGTGGAGGCAGCTCTGGTGGTGAAGGCGCCATCGTCGGGTTTCGCGGCGGTGTGATTGGTGTAGGCACCGATATTGGTAGGCCGATGTCTCGCTTATTCTGGAAGAGAGTCGGTTGCTAATTGAACCTCAGGTGGCTCTATCCGAGTTCCTGCTGCCTTCAATTTCCTTTACGGCTTGAAACCTAGCCATGGAAGACTTCCGTACGGCAAGATGGCAAACAGCATGGAAGGCCAGGAAACAATCCACAGCGTTTGCGGACCAATCTGCCATTCCGTTGCTGACATGCGGCTTTTTGTTACCTCTGTTCTTAGCCAAGAGCCATGGTCTTTCGATTCTAAAGTCATTCCGATGCCTTGGCGACAGGACGAGGAAGATGCCATTAAGACTAAGATCTCATCTTGCGGATTAACTCTGGGTTACTATTCGTGTGACGGGAATGCAAGTCTATACCCCCTCTGTTCTCTGTCTTTCTTTGACCGTAACGTGGTTTGCTTACGTCAATAGGTTCTCCCCCACCCTCCCATCTTGCGAGCTATCCAAACGGTTGTCGATAAACTTAGCGAAGCTGGCCATACAGTTCTTCCGTGGGAACCTTACAGGCACTCGCATGCCCATGACTTGGCCAACACTATTTACGCTTCCGACGGAGGAGTTGTGAGTCTGCTTCTCAGGCGTCTAGCCGTAACAGCCGCTCATTGCCTCTGCCTTTAGGATATCTTTTCAACTCTCAATGCTTCGGGAGAGCCGGCGATCCCGAATATATCCGATCTTGTCAAGCCAGATCTGCCCAAGATGAACCTCAACGAGCTTTGGGACGCCCAGCTCCAGAAATGGAACTACCAATCAGAATATCTGACTAAGATTCGAGAGTTTGAAGAGAAGAATGGCAGACAGCTAGATGCTATTATTGCCCCTATTACTCCTACCGCTGCTATCCGGCACAACCAGTTCAAATACTATGGTTATGCGACAGCTATCAACGTCCTCGATTTCACCAGCGTCGTTGTTCCCGTTACGTTTGCTGACAAGGCTATTGACCATCAGAACAAGCAGTTTAAGCCACTCACTGAGCTAGACCAGATAGTTCAGGCCGAATGTGAGATCACAGGCACATTCGTAGTTTCAAAGCTTACACCTCCCAGATGATCCGGATGCATACCATGGCGCGCCAGTGGCCGTTCAGATTATTGGGAGACGACTTACCGAGGAGAGAGTTATGAGTATCGCCGAGGAAGTAGGCCGTGTGATTAGAAATGGGGCGATATCCTAAAAGGAATATTTATACCAGACTTTTTATAGCATAGTGTATATTCTCACTATAAGTATGTAAGACCTGCTCTACAACCTCTTTTCAAATGGAAACCGACTTCAACAATAGTGAAGAACAAGTTTTCAATTGTTATTATTTTTATCTCGACGCCATTATAACCCAATACTCACACAAGTTGAGTTTTCGAATCTCTATACATTGTTCAGTCAGAAGGACCCTGTTTTATGGAAGCCGTGTGCCTACCTCAAATACATGCAGTAAAAGAACAGTCGCGATACTAGAATCCTACGTAAGACTTTCCATACTCCACGTACTTAACCGAAGCTGCTCCAATGCATCACTATGTTGCTGCAGGGCGTGAATACGCCAGCTTGGTTGAAGCTGCGAAATAATGATAGCCGAACACGCGAGCCAGGCATGAAGCATGCTGCGGGAATTAACCAAGGATTCAAAACCTTGAACTAGCATTGAGAAGTCTCGGCCTTGGTCTAGCCTCGATGTTGCTTGGTCGAGGACCTCGAGGAGTCCTGTCATTGAGCATGAGGGTAGGCCTTGGAAGCATTCGTTGAAGGCCCCTGTGTTGCCGATGTGTATCGGGGAAGAAAGGCGGTTCCCGTTTCGTAAGACCAACTCCTCACCGAGGGTACTCGGCGTGCCAGGTTCGCTGGTATTGCCATGACAGCCTTTATCTAGCTGAGGACTCAAACTCCTCCCTCCGGCTCGGGCAAAGAGCTTCTGGCTGCGTCGCTCATCATTTCTGCGCCAACTACAAGCCACTCTACGGCTCGAACAGCTACCGCACGTTGGACGGCATTCATTGCATTTCTTGCGTTGACTTCGGCCAAGAGCAGAGTCAGTGATTTCGCCACGGTGATGAGACTGTGGTCTTACATGGGATGCAACCGCCTGGGGACCGGCGATGCGTCACACGCTTTTCTGCATGAACCCAGCCTCCTGAGTAGAGTTCAAATTGCGCAAACATTGATCAGTTGTCGTCGGATCTTGACGATGTGAAAGGGGAATGGTTGATAACGTTACTAATCCGGTATTGCGGGGTTAAGGTGATGGTTTAGCCTATGCTATCTCGGGATAGATCCAACGTCTGGAGTACAGGTAGAAGAGATCAGCCTTGACTAAGGCATATTAGGAAATCCTATACATCAGATTAAGGGCCTGAAATCGAGAGGCCTAAAAGTAATGCAAAAAAGTAAGGCATAGAAGTAAGACTATGTATAGACTTCAAGTCTTCAACGGTCTCTGCTAGTTCGGGCATATTGATAAAATGACAGTTGCAGCGGCTGGGGGAAGTGTCTTGTTGAAGATATTGCAAACAGAAACAGTTATAGCTCTAACAAGTATACTTAAATTAAAGCGAGAGACCATTCATTGGGTGGTCGATAAGTATGAGTGAAGATAACACCGGTTCGGTTCGGGTCATGTTGGTGATATACCATGGTACTAGTCAAGATCAGGTTAACAATTAAGGAACCTCGGTAACCTTTCTAAACTATTTAATCCCCTCTGAGCCCCAAAAGGTCGAAAATTATCGCACTTGAAAGTCACTGGCTAAGAAAAACCTGCCTTATCTAATAACCACACCGCTCGGAATCTGAAAATGACTCTTAAATACGACCCTGAGTTTCAGGCCGTCCACGATGCATTTGCGAAAATGTTCAAGCTTGAGCCTCTATCTTTAGATGATATCGAGGGCTCTACCAGAAGACGCGAAGCGTCCATGGAAGCCTTTATTCCGAAACCGGTAGCTCATCCCGGTGTGGAGCAGATCACCCACCCAATCGATACTTCCGATGGCCATACTATTACAGTCGTCAGCTTTAGAAAAAGAGACTCCCGATCGAGCCCTGGACCAGCTCTTCTTCACTTTCACGGAGGAGGCATGATAATGGGCTCAGCCGAATCGGGAGCAAAGATATTATCAGAACTAGTTGTGGAAACTTCTATCCCTGTCTTCAGTGTCAATTATCGGCTTGCTCCTAAAGTCAAGGGCCCCATCCCTGCTCAACATGGCTATGCTGCTTTGCTCTGGCTACAGAATAGAGCAGGTGATTTCAACGTGGACCCGGCAAGAATCGCTCTACTTGGCTATAGTGGAGGTGGAGGTGTTGCTGCAGGCGTGGGTTTAATCGCCCGTGACCAAGATCTACAGCCTCCTCTAGCCAAGCAGATTCTAATCTACCCCATGCTCGACGACCGCAATCTGGTAGAGAATGAGGGCTTGAAGCCCTTCGCTACTTGGTCGGCAGCAGAGAATCGGGTAGGGTGGACAGGACTTCTTGGAGACCACGCAGGGAAACCAGATGCCGCTGTTTCGCAATACGCGGCCCCTGCTCGTGCAACAAATACAGCCAATTTACCACCGACTTATCTTGATACCGGGGATCTTGACATATTCCGCGATGAGGTCGTCACATATGCTGCGAGACTGCTCGCGCAGAACGTTCCTGTTGAGCTACATGTTTATCCTGGCGTGCCTCATGCGTTTGAGTTGATCGCGCCTAATATCGAAGTCTCGAAAAGGGCTTTGGAGAACAGGCGGAGAGCCATGACAGACTTTTAAGTCTGTCCCTAATACGGCATCCTTGAAGCACGCGGATGGGAAAGGGAGAGGTCGCACAAGCGGCCCCGTCTCAGACTTTGAGTCCCCGAGCCACAGTAGCTGAAGGCGGGTGAAGATTGTTGGTTTTGTATCTCGGGTGCTTCAGTGTTGTGATGGTCCCATGGATTCCCAATCAGTGGGGTTTATCTAAGATTAATACAATAAGCGCCTACTCGGCATTGCGAATTATATGTTTTTGGAATTTTCCTTTGTTCCCACTAGTGTCGACTTCTCTACCTGTATTTCCCCACTCCACTATTTTTATCTCATTATTGAGACAGAGTGATTTGAACCCTTAAATCCTTGGATTCGAGGAGAAATAGTATCGAGAAACAACGACCGAGTGGTGTCTGTACATCGTTCTTCAGAGTACTCACCTTCGCAGTTTCATCTTGGGCCCCGCCGAGATATCAGTCGAAAATGAATGAGGTCCGGCCCGTGGGCATAGTCTGGGGAACGCCAAGTTCCTTCAGCAAAGTCGCCGTGATGCCAATAATGCGCACGTCCATTCCTAGCAAAGTTAGCTTCTGCTAATAATAGCTATCGGCAGATAATTACAGGCTCACGAGTGAAGCAATAACTCCATAGCTATCTTCCCGCTGCCTCAAGGATGAGAGGATTGGCAGTTGACTCACGGGGGAAATAATGTCAGGCTGACCAGCCAGGGGTGTCTGATAGACCAGCCTTAATCACCAGCCAAATTCGTCCTCATTTGTCCACCTTGACCTTAAGGAGGAGCGTGGAATGATAGTAGAATGCGTCGAAGCATCAGTGTGATCTGGTAGCTGAGTAGAACTCACTCTGCTCTGTATTCGTCTCGACGATCGGGCTCCCCAAGCTTGAACGACGTAGCCAAGATGGTACTTTCGTCAAATATACCCTCGATAAAGGCTGGAGCTCTTGGCGCTTGGACTGTAGTCTTTAGAAGTTTATTCAGTCGTGTTGCTGCCAAGTTTCCAGTGAAATCTGGGCAGTGGGTTGACATAGAGTGGACACCTAAACTTGGCTTGGTACTTATTTTTGAAAATAGATTGCCCTATCTATTGGCCTGGTACGGCACTATCTTAGAATGCTTCCTTGAAGTATACTATAATGGTTTCGGAGTTAGGGTGGGACATCTTCTACGGTTGATAGAAATCCACATTACATCTCGTCACACCCGGGACTTCCTGAGTGCGTCAAGTGCTTTGTCCTAAATCTTTTGAACTCTACCTTCCCTGAAGGGTAATAGGTGGCTAGGGTAATTGAGGTCAGGGGTTTATCTAAGGTTGTTTTTGTCTTGTCGGGGTAAAGGTGGTAGGAGATAATATGAAGGACGCCGAGGTTCCTTAAGGGGACAATAATAGCATCGATATCACTAATGCCGAAGCAGGCATGGTACACCAGTCTCCTCAGGCTCAATATCTTTCCGCCGAGGCTTACCTATGGATAACAAGAGTTCCCCCGACACTCAAAGCTTCCTTTGAGGGCCTGAGGCTTAGACCAGCTGGCTAGCAGCCGGCCGTCTTACACTTCCACCAGCTGCTTCATTTCAGCAAAATCAATCGAGTGAGAATTTCTGCCGAGGCCTACTGTGGGTGTGAATTGTAAAGTCGATCCAATCGTGGGCACCGACTGTAGCATGGGCCATGGCTGCTCCCACCTGGGGACCTGATAGCGTCACCGCGAGGGTTTCGGGGAGCAACAACGTCAACAAAGTCAACGGTGGGATCCTCAGCGTCAGCGAACTGGCCCGTGCCCATCTCGCTTTCAATGACAGCGCTTGGATCTAGCAATTGCTGAATGGCGTGGGCATTCTGGGACTTGATGCCATGGAAATCACCATAAACTAGAGAGGAGGCAAACGTTATGGCCCCAGTGGTATAGATGTTGTCCTTGGATCCGACTCTGAGACCATGCCACGGCTTTTCGGAGTCTAGCGCGAAGTCAAGTCGGGAGGAACAGCGAAGGCTTAATCAGGGTATGCATCGGCTGTTGTTGCGTTTAAGAATTCGATACTTTTATGTATTGTTAGCCAAGAGGGGAGGACAGGGCCGGGCAGGGCATGAACTCAGATCGAGGACTCAGGTTTTGGGGCGGTGACTGAATGAGCGAGACAGCAAATGTGAGTGAGTATCTGGAAAAATCTTCCTCACTGGCAAAAGTCCCGTGGCAGTGGCAAAGTAGGAACCCTTCATCAGAGAATCGAGTTCCAGATTTGATTGACTAATCAGGGCAACTCACTTTGTACCAAGAGATGGCAATCGATCCGCGAGTGCCTGCGGCAGCCGGGATTTAATGGGGTTCACTGCATCATGATGGGTAAAGACAGCAAAGGAGAGAACATGGCTATACTAGATGTGGTCTGTTTGATGGAAGTGGTGGAGGAGGTCGTCCAAGTCTTGCGCTAAAAGTTCAGTAATGCTTTGGGCCAACAGGATAAATGTAGCTGGAACAAGTACAATTGAGAGGTCAATATAAGGTAAACCTATCAACAGAAGTTGGGGAGAGGAACAGCCCAGGTATGGATGGGTACGTAAATGTGGATGGGTTCCATCAAACGCACAAAACTAACAAGAAAGGTGCCTCCCTGTTAGCTATAGTCAGATTAAGAAAAATTCATGAGGGCAAAAACGCTGTCATTGCTAGTGCTGTGAGAACATCGTGAGCGGAGAGCGTCGGTCAAAAAAAGGCCGTTCCCGCTGCGAGGTTCAATGGGCTCCCTCAATATTTAGACCAGTCTTATAAGGATGGCAAGCGGGAGCCATAGCTGCGATGGACATATTCAAAGGGTCTTTAATGATGTTGACCGTTGCCAAGTATTAAATAGGGGCGGCAGCGGCTCCATCTTGCTCATGATAGGGATGGTTTTTTTTTTTGGTGAAAGCAAAACAAGTTCTGCGACGGCCGTGGCAGCGGTAGCGGTAGCGGCAACGACAGCAATAATATGATATGTAAGGTATGTATGTTCTTGCTTACAAGCCTTGGCCGGGCGAGGGCTTGTTTGGGCTTTCACGACCTTGATCATGCGACGACAAACAATTTTACGTGGTACAATCAAGCAAAAACAAGAATGAGCGAGCGATCAAGTGGCACTGTCTTTAGGTACTGTACCTACTTGATAACAGAGACTGACAGCCAGGGCTAGCCAGGTCACCTCACACTAATCACAATTTCTATCAAGTACTTATTATAGAAGTCACTTTGACATGGACAGCAAAAGAAGGCCGAGATTCAGCAAGAACTTGGATGTCCACTGTCAACTCAAACGGCCGGAGTCTCAAGTTGTTGTACTATCTATTATATCTACAGCGTCAACCTTTGTACTACACGCAAAAGCCTTGCTGTATCAACTTCCCGGTCTCGGAATCCAACATAGAAGGCTTCCCTCCACAACATAATGTTCTTCGCGGACAAGTCCACCACATTAACACTACTGTTATACGGAGCCACGAGTCTGAAACTTTGTCCTTGATCACACCGCTTTGAATTTGATCACCACTAGACGAGTTTGAAAAGTCCCAACCGGCACTTCTATACTGACAACAACATGCAGACCTGGCTAACATTCCTTACATCTGTCGAATAGCTGATGCTTTTGCTTTTAAGGCTTTAAGAAACCGGAATCGTGGCTCTTAGGTCTGGTACAGAGAGGGACCCTCGCCCCATACACCAAGTATTCATTCCAAACACAATGCCGCACCCGTTTTCTCAACTTCTACTTCACGTTCACGTTCCTTCGAATCGTTTCCCGCTTGTTTCATGTAGTCTTGGCTTGAAACCGAGCATTTTTAACAGTGAATCAATGGATTTTCGTCACGACTGGCTGGATCTGGAGCCCAGCCTTGCCAGGGAGTGGCTTTAGCTATACCATTCTCCATGACTGTCGTTGCCAACCACAGGTGATTAGGGTTTTGAGCTTGGAATAATCTTTTCCAGGGCTGTTCTCATCCATCTAAAGTGTATTCTTTATAGTAGTGACCATGTTTAGGAGAAGAAGCTTCGAAATGGTCCAGGACATGTTGAGTCACAGCCGGTTTTTAAAAGGACTCTGTCGGGTCTTTGATCAATAGCTGTTACTGATTGGTGCGCTGCTCAGTATTGCATTCAGATTGGTAGCGGCAGGATGTTGCTGAGGCTGGAGAGGGTCGGTGTTGATTCAAGCGTCACTGGCACAAAGCAAACTCCAGCTTGTGTGCGCGTTTTGCCAGAGTGAAACAGGGCTCGGGAAATTGAGACACCGGGAAACCGAAACATCGGGGACATGATGGCGGATTACAAGCATCCGACTCTCAAAGTCGGCGGGCACGTTGTCCGCCCCAAGCTTGACATCTCGCACGTGATAGGCTGCAGCCTAATTCAATTGCTCAAACAACAACATTGAGCCTTCATCCTCTACCCATTTCATCAACTCATCACCTTATGTAATCCTCTCCAATCTCACAGCTAAGGAAACTTATAAAGGCGCTTAAGTATGCCTCCTTCTGCTAGTAAAAGTACCAGCAATTCATCAATCGCCTCTGACGAGTCCTTTCGTTTTGAAACCATCCAGATTATCAACACAGAGGAGCCCGAGTTTTATCGAGAAGGCGGCTTCCACCCAGTTCATATAGGCGATCACCTTGATGATGGGCGGTACCGGATCGTCCATAAGCTTGGTCATGGTGGTTTTTCCGTCGTATGGCTAGCTTATGACTCCTTGGAGTCCATCTGGGTTGCCCTCAAGATTGTGGCAGCTTCGGACTCCCCTTTGGTGCAAGAGAAAGCAGTCATGTGTCACAGCATCATCTCGAAAATGGATGACGAAAGATTCGTCACTTATAAGCGCTTCTTTCACATCGAAGGACCGAATGGCCGGCATCTATGTCTAGTCCTACCACCTTGTGGTCCATCTTGCAATACCATGTCCCAATACCTTCAGAGTAGGATTCACCCTTGACTAGCGCGTCACGTAGCTTCCCAAGCTACGAAAGCTATCGCAGATCTTCATTCCCGAGGGCTTTGCCATGGAGGTAAGTGGCGTATTTCCCTCCCTACCTTCACTTTACTGACCCTCTATAGACTTTACCCCGAGCAATATGGTGTTTCGCATCCGTAACCTTGATCATCTAGACGATCAAGGTATATACCGTCTTTTTGGTGAACCTCAACGTGATCCCCTGAGAACGATATCGGGTGAGCCTACTGGTGCAGAGGCGCCGAGGTATATCATTGGCAATCTCGACTTCACGTCAGCAGAGGACCTCATACTTGATGACATCTGTTTGATCGATTGTGATCAAGCATTTTTGTCTTCGTCTCCCCCAACGAAAAACACTTGGAATACCTCCAGGCTTTCTGGCGCCTGAGGTAGCCGTTGGAAAACCTGCCAGCCCCGCGAGTGATGTTTGGGCTTTGGGCTGTTCTATCCTACAACTCAGGTCAGGCTCTTCTCCTTTCTCAATTCCCAACGCCGATAGCCCAGCAAACATGCTTGGATGGGTCAGCGAGTACCTTGGCCGTTTGCCGACATCATGGGGAGAGCCACTATTCGACAATGATGGCCTCCCGACAACGGACACGACCAATGGCGAACCGCTGGGTGAAGTGCTGGAAAACACGAGATCTTTGAAGCAGTGGATCAGCGAGATCTGGGATCAACCGGAGAATCTTGAGGAACTTCAATCAGCATCAACTACACCAGAGAAAGTGAGAGATGAGAACAAGCCATATATGAAATGCTACAGCAACAAATTTTGGAAACCCGCCGCGATCAGAATTGATGATGTCTACCTTGGAGCATACTCCGACAAAGTTGACAAGATCATTGAGTCACTGCCGAAAATATCTACGCACGAGGCTGACTTGTTATATGACTTGATATCCAAGATTTTTGTGTACGAGCCTACACAGCGAGTGTCTGCAAGGGATATCTTGGCTCATCCATGGTTTCTCATGGACGATACAACATGAAGATTTGCTTTGACCTACTAGAGAGCGATGAGACAATGATTAGAGGAGTCAATAGACAAAATACAATTACGGATTCGGAGTAACGCGTTGTGTCATACCAGGCCTGTACACCCGGTGGTTATTCCCGAAGTATCGTGGTCTAGAAGCCGGCTCTGAGCCGGCGGGTAAGCTTCCGGCCTCGTCTGGGGTTGCCACGCCGGGATATCCAAGATCTTATTCATGCAATCGTCATCAAAATAAGGTGACTATTGACCGATATACGGATGCTCTCCGTTTTTCGGTGTGGCTCATCAGTAAAAATTCTCGAGATAATCCTCAAGGATGAGAATGTTGTTTTCGCGATGCTCAAAGCTCCTCCGGCTTCGCTATTGGTGGGGTGACAGTAAGATGATGGGAACGGAGTGAGCGAAATGCCGCTGAGGTCGGTGCGATTGGGCGAAATGAAGAAATACTTTACAACATATACAATTAATTTGATGCATAAAGTATTCATCCTTTACAAATATTCGGTCAAGAGTCAATGGTAGCATTCGTGGAATGTTGACCATCCTGTCACACGATACGGTCACGTGCTTTTACCAAGATCCTGAGTCATCAGAATCACCCCGCCAAAATCTTCGACCCCTCCAAAATCTCGGGCTTCAAATTGGGGCAACGAGACCTACTTCTACCAGACGCTTCCCGCTCCGTTCTTGCATAGACGAAGACGATATCGAAAGCGATACCGATAGACGCATACAAACGAGACGAAGCTACAGCTCACAATTGCCACAGCGAATACTCTACCCGACAAACTTCTCCTCCTCCAACCCCGCCATCATGAGCTTCGACGCTGAGAGCGCGGCTCCAGTGCTCGCCACAGCCGACTTCAAGACTCTCGGTCCCTTGGCCGCTGATCTTGACAAGCACCTTACTCTCCGAACCTACCTTGGAGGCTATACCCTCAGCGAGGCCGACGAGAAGGTCTGGACTGCTCTCCGCACCAACAAGGTCGCCATTGGCCTGGTCCGAAAGGGTGCCTACGCCAACATCACCCGATGGTTCAAGTTCATCGAGGATGCTCACCCTGAGCTGAAGGAGAAGCTCAACTCTGGCAAGGAGAAGCGCGTCGGTGGCGCCAACTACAACATTGGCCTCCAGAACACCGAGAACGGTGTCGTCACCCGCTTCCCTCCCGAGCCCAGGTACGTTCTTCACCGAACAAGCATCGCGTGACTTTACTGAGATTTCGCAAGTGGTTACCTTCACATTGGTCACGCAAAGGCCGCTCTCCTCAACGATTACTTTGCCAAGACTGCCCCCGATGGCAATGGCAAGCTCCTCGTCCGATTCGACGACACAAACCCCTCCAAGGAGAAGCAGGAGTTCGAGGACTCTATCCTCCACGACCTCGAGTTGATGGACATTAAGTACGTCTCCGTCACTCACACCAGCGACTACTTCAAGGAGTTGTACGAGATTGCCGAGCAGATGATCCTCGACGGTAACGCGTACGCCGATGACACCGACCCCGAGATCCAGAAGGATGACCGCAAGAACCGTCTTGCCAGCAAGCGACGTGACCGTCCTGCTGAGGAGAGTTTGGCCATGTTCAGAGAGATGAAGAACGGCACCGACCTGGGCCGAAAACACTGCATTCGCGCTCGCATTGCCTTTGACTCAAGCAACGGCTCCATGCGAGACCCCGTCATCTACCGATTCCCCAACTGGAAGGGCGCCGAGCCCGCTCCTCATCACCGAACCGGCTGGGACTGGAACATCTACCCTACCTACGATTTCGCCTGCCCCGTCGTCGACAGTCTCGAGGGTGTCACCCACGCGCTCCGAACGACCGAGTATGCCGACCGCAACGAGCAATACCACTGGTTCATCGACAACCTCAAGCTCCGCAAGGTCAACCTCTGGGAGTTTGCCCGTATCAACTTTATCCGAACATTCCTTTCCAAGCGAAAGCTCACCAAGGTTGTCGACACCGGTCGCGTCAGCGGCTGGGATGATCCTCGCCTGCCTACCGTTCGCGGTATCCTCCGTCGCGGTTTGACCGTTCCCGCTCTCCGTGAGTTCATGTTGAAGCAGGGACCTAGCCGAAACATCGTCACCATGGACTGGACAACTATCTGGGCCATCAACAAGCGAATGCTCGACCCTGTTGTGCCACGATACATGGCTATTGAGGAGAAGGACGCCGTTACTGTCACCGTGACTGGTGGACCCGAGAAGTCATACAAGGAGGACAGACCCAAGCACGTCAAGAACCCCGACATCGGTACCAAGCAGGTCACCTTCGGACCCAAGCTTCTCCTCGACCAAGCCGACGTTGCTGAATTCGCCGACAACGAGGAAATCACCCTGATGAGCTGGGGTAACGCCATCGTCCGCGGCCTCGACAAGTCCGCCTCGCCCATCAAGGAGCTCAACCTCGAGCTGCATCTCGCCGGCGACTTCAAGACCACCAGCAAGAAGGTCCACTGGCTAGCGGCCGACCCCGAGAACCTGGTCAAGGCTGAGCTCTGGGACTTTGGCTACCTCATCACCAAAGACACGCTGGAGAAGGATGACAACCTGGACGACTACCTGGCCGAGACCACCGCCTGGAAGGTCGATGCGCTGGTGGACGCTAGCATCGCCGGCCTCAAGGAGAACGACTTTATCCAGCTGGAGCGCAAGGGGTACTACCGCGTGGACAAGGCTCTTGGCCAAGGACCCGACGGCCGAGCTGTCCTGTTCAAGGTCCCCACAGGTGGTCAGAAGGGTTAAGCTAAGCTAAACAAAAGGGCGGGGGATTTTTATGAAGTCTTGTGTGATTTGACGACGGACATGTATTTATGAAAAAGACAAAGTACCGTGGTAGAAATGCGAAAAAAGAGGAAAATGATCAGGACCATCATGAACTCCCTGCATGCAGAATATGTCACGCTGTTCCTTTCGCGATGATGATTCGCTCTGTTGATGTCAGCGCTGATGCAAATCCGCCAAAAGCGGTATCCTCTTGAGCACGATGGGAAAATCCCTGCGGAAAAGATGCGCATAAGAATGTACACACAGTGAGATTTGAACTGCAGGTCTGAGGATACGAGAGGGGGCGGGTTGATCGACCCTGTAATCAGCTACACGAGGGGGGAAATGATGGTGCCAGTTGTGATCTCCACATTAGGCGGAGATTTTCTAGAAGATGATCGACTACCTTATGACGTTGGATATGTGAAGTGATTCGGATGTATGTGTCTATTGAAGATGGATGCAACCAATCCATTCTGAGAATTGTCGAGATGTTGGGCCTAAGAATAGAATATAGAACGGGTTCTAGCGCGTGGTGTGCCGCTAACCCCCGCTGTAGCAGTCAGCCCAGAAGGGCTGCTCCCGCATCGTGGCGTAAAAAAAACGGTGTGAAAGGATTCATTACTAACATTGGGCATTTACAGTAGGGACATGACTGAAGGTAACGTGAGATTCGAGTAATACGAGATGCTGCATCGAGCGATGGATTGATCATGGACAATCTCCACAGTTTCTGACGTAGAACAAGACGGAAAGATCGGAAATACTGTACTGTATGTACCCAACGGAAGAATTATCTGATCAGGTCCCATCTGCTATTTTTGTCCTTCTTGCGGGGATGGCGATACCTCACAGCAAAGGCACCACTTCGATACGAGAGCTTCTGCTTCAATTATGCCCTGATAGATAGCATCACGAGGTAGTAATTAAAGAATAATACTACCGTTTTATGCTTATGCATAGTTTCTACGCCTCCCGCTGCGGTGCGGTGCGGTTCATCGGCTGATGTCGGTGGGTGCGGGTTTGGAATACGAGATCCAGCTTCGGCTTGTCGATCACCTCGTGTTGCTCAACGCATGAGGTCTCTACTGCAAGGTAAAAGGAAGCTGGGAGTTCGCGGTGAGGTATAGCACGGATCAGTATAGCTTGTGGGACTGAGCTGGATGTTTTATGTCATAAGTTTAGACCAGAGGTGTTGAACATCTATATAAACAGCCCTCAACCTCTCTATCCCATCTCACCATCACAATCACACATCTCATCTTCACCTAAACAAAAGCACTTCCACCACAAACAAAACCACTTCCACTCCCAAACAAACAAACACACTCAAAATGAAGTTCTCCGCCGCAGTCTTCACCCTCCTCGCCGCCACCGGCGTCACAGCCGCACCCGCCGCAGAGTCCGTCAACATGATGGCCGCAACCCCCCAGTGGACCATCCGCGACGCCAAGCGGTACTGCCGCTCCGACGACTCCATCTGCAACTGGAAGTTCGGCATCGACACGGGCGACGGCAAGCCCTACGAGTGCCGCTACGACGTCAAGGGCCCCGGCGCGAGCAAGAAGCGCAGCGCTGGCCCTAGCACCTGCGGCGACTTCACCATCACTTCTGGCTGGAGCGACCAGTTTGGCGCTGACAATGGGTTCACTACGCTTTCGGTTGTGTCCAAGTCGAAGCGTCAGATCATCTGGCCTGCTTATACGGATAAGCAGCTTGCTGGTGCCAAGATTGTTAAGCCTGATCAGTCTTATGCTCCTGCTTCTCTCCCCAAATAAGCGACAATGGATTGGAGGATTGGGGATTGACGTATAATAATTGCTTGTACATATTTGAAGCATGGAAGGCTTGGGGTCACAATACATGAACGCATTCAGCATCATTGGTCAATTATTTCCCGAAGTGAAAGTGAAAGTGTGACATCCATCGCTTGGTCGGCCGAGTGCCGTCGGGCTTTCGGCCGGACGGTTCGGCACCTTGTAACGCAATCATTATTACATCAGTTGAGCATGCGCAACAATAACAGCCAGTAACTGTAACATTGGAGATGTTGTAACAGGTAATGATGATAGCAAGCCGAACTGTCGGATAAATACCTGCTAGCGGAAATGTTTGTCCTGTCAAAGTTACTGATCAGATATGCAGACGGAATATTAAACCAGCGCTTCTCGTTGACGGTTCAGCGTTGCAGCAATGCCTAACAAGAAAACATGCGTCGAATGGGTTCACTGCAATATCTCCGAGCTCTAAATGTGGATGATGATTGCCCTGGGCTAACTTTAGAGCGTGACGCCTGGTCACACCAACTTCAGCTTTTAGCTTGTAAAAAGCCCGGCTACCCTGCAGATGGCACATTTACAACGTTTGCCCGACGTTGGGTGTTGCTATTGATACACAATTGCTTTGATGACCAGAAGCTTCTCAGTTACGTACAAGTATTGGATCGAAACACGCGACGACGAATTTATATCATGTTTGGAGGTGCTCGCTACCAATCTCACGAAGATTTAGTCTGCGTCTCCTGAATCATTGACAGTGTCGCACAAAATGAACACCAAGATGGTGCACTCTCAGCGCAGAGTGTTAAATTGTCTCATGGCCAATCAAGACCCGCGGTTTTTTAATACCATGATTATCAAAAAAGCCCTCCTCTTCATTTGTTGTTTTCGCGCTGTTAAACGCCGGCAGTTCAATGCCCACCGATCATTCGGCGCAACACCAGAAAAGTGAGTGCGACAGAAGATCCCCGCCAAAAATTTAGCTTCAGTGGAAAGCCACAGAACTCATATGCCTCGCCTGATCTACAAACACACCACCGCCCGGAAGATGTCAGGTTTGTGATACAGGACAGTGCCAGAAAGATAAGATCAATGTTGCACACTTATCCGCAGACCGTTCTGGCCGTTTCCACAAATGATGCGCGTCCAACCGTCGGGAAGCAGATCACTACACTAGCCTCGCACACACAATTCTAGAAGCCTGTGCTGGAAACTCACCACGATAAAAAATGTGGCTGCACAACCCAACCTTCAAAGGCAATACGTCAGAGAAGCGCCGTGACGTTGACGCCGTGGAGGGGACAACCTCTCACTATAATCCCGCACGCAATCACAACAGGCGTCAGCCTCACACTCAACCAGTACCAGCACCAAGAGGCCTCATCGACGCGTCGACAATATATACTTTACCAAGATCTGCAAATTAAGATCGTCGAAATAAAAGTCAATTGAGGCGTTCGCCAAGCTGAAACAAGATGAAGACCGGCTCACCAACTCAGAAACGGTGGTAAAACCCAAGACCGACGACACGCGTATTGTCTTGGCTTGGCGCGTACCAATTGACTTTCCGCCCCCTTCTCTACGTACCGGGAGAAAGTTACAGCCCGTTGCTGGGACACATAGCCACACGGGTATTTTATACGAGCGCGAGTGACAGTTTTGGCATGTGAGGAGCCGGGACGCTCGGGGAGGGGGGGGAAAATGTCATGCTGTTTACCTTACCTTACTCCCGCCAAGTAATGACGGTGCTGCCAAGAAGCCCCTTTGATCAAAACTGGGCATTAGCATCACGAGGTCTTAGCACCAATGCACGAAGCCTGTTTTTCTCTACAGTCATGTCAATGACTGTATTAACAGCTCACTCCTCATTCCATGGTCGAATATGTCTCGCGTGTCCTTGCAGCGACCGTGTTTCAGTGGTCGCGGAGGAAGAATAAGGTAATATTTAAGCATACCAGGGGCTGGGCCAATTGGGTGGAGATGGGCGCATTAAAGTTTAGCGCCCTCTCTCTGTGAAAGGGGGGAATATTTTAGAAGAGTACTTTGTAACTGTCATAGATTTGAGGGAGAGGGAGGGTACTTTGTTATCGTGCAAGGACTTGCGTGGCCCGTTCAAATCTCACTCTAGCACAGGAGATCTTGGCTTTCTTTGTGATTGCGATAGACTTTACCTCACCTTGTCTCATCCATGGGTTCGTGATGTTTGTTCCAACAAGTTCTCCTACACTGCTCGTCTTGCCTTCAATTCACCTTGAATTCATCATGCACTGCAGTTCAGGTTCAAATGTCAATTACGTGGCTCCCCCCCTCGCCAAGACCTGACCATTTGCCAATAAAGTCATGATCCAAACACCCCATGTCACTGGCGTCTTGGCCCTTCAACCTTCTTGTCTCGTCGATAGGCTCTAAAACCCGCCAAGCAAATACACCTCCTCGTCGCAGCGCCTGCACTGCCCCGATGCCCAGAGACTTGGCTCGTACCAATAAACTTGCATTTTCCCCCTTGGTTTTTTGTAGTTATGTGCGTACTGTACTCCGTAGTAAAGAATAGATCCCCGGCTTTCCGTCCCACCTTTGATCTACCCAGATCTCTCTTTTCTTTCTTACCTTTTGCATTCGCTTTTTTTTTGACCGTAAAGTTTGACATCGAAAACACTCGTTTTTTTAAATCCCATTTGGACTTTTATTTTCCGGTCCTGTCTTCTTTTGGCGGGAGGGTTTAGTTCACACGCTGAGGTCTGGTGCTTGTGTCGCTCGCTTACAAGCTACCTCGATTGACCACCATATCACGACATCGCCTCACATCGACACCGATTTCTTGTAGAGGATTCATATTTGATCACGGCGACACCATGTTTTCGTCGCCGACAGCGTTTGTGGCCCAGGCTGCGCTTCTGGGAGGTCTTCTCGTTCAATCGGTCGACGCACAGTACTACAAGATTGGAACAAAGGGTACGATGCCGACGACTGCAGTAGATGGAGGAGGAGTACTGACTGTAAAATAGATGAGATTAAGCAATCGGCGCGAACACTTGCGTATGATCTCATGTTGCAATATGATGGTAACCAGACTGGCATGATTCCCGGTATCTTGCCTGGTCCTCCCACAGAATACAAGGGCGACTACTACTGGTGGGAAGGCGGAGCGATGATGGGAACATATATCGGTGCGTCAGCATTGACACCTCACCGAGATGGAATGAAGACTGACCGGGGGCAGATTACTGGAAGCTCACCGGCGACGAGAGCTACAACCACGTAGTGATGGAGGGCATGCTTCACCAAACAGGCGACGGCCACGATTACATGCCCAGCAACCACAGTGCATCCCTCGGAAACGACGACCAAGGCTTCTGGGGCATGTCCGCCATGCTCGCAGCAGAGAACAAATTCCCCAACCCACCCGACGACAAGCCCCAGTGGCTCGCCCTCGCACAGGCCGTGTGGACGACCCAGGCTAAGCCGGAGCGACATGATGACGAGTGCAACGGTGGAATGCGATGGCAGATTCCCTTTACCAACTCTGGATACGATTACAAGAACAGTGCGTTTTGTCTGAATGATGGGGAGGTGTAGCTAACCTTTGCAGCTATTGCTAACGGATGCTTCTTCAATATTGGGGCTCGTCTTGCGCGATATACTGGGAATGAAACGTATGCGAAATACGCTGAGGAGACGTGGGAGTGGCTATGGGGCGTCAACTACATCGATCACGAAAAGTGGCTGGTCTATGATGGCGGACACGTCGGCAAGAACTGTACCGACATCAACAAGGCCACCTTTTCCTACAACGCCGCCATTCTCATCCAAGGCGCTGCGTTCATGTACAACTTTGTAAGTCCACTCACCTCTCACCCATAACAAACACTTACATTTGCAGACCAACGGATCCACTGTATGGGAGGACCGCATCGACAAGCTCCTCGACGCGACGCTCAAGAACTTCTTCCCCAAGGACATCATGTACGAAGTCCCCTGCGAAGGCCGCAAGGGCGCCTGCTCAACCGATATGTTATCCTTCAAGGGCTACGTGCACCGCTGGCTCGCCGTAACAACACAAGTCGCGCCCTTTACAGCAGAGCGCATCCTCCCCGTGCTGCAGACATCAACCGAAGCAGCGGTCAAGCAATGCACAGGCGGAGATTCAGGTCGCAAATGCGGTTTCTACTGGAGCGGTGGTGAATTCGTAGATCCAGCTGTTGACGAGACGAGCGGTGCGGGCGAGCAGATGAACGTGCTGGCAGCGGTGTCGAGTCTGTTGATCGGCGATGCGGAACCGCCTGCGACGAATAGCACTGGTGGTATTTCGAAGGGTGATCCAAAGGCGGGAGAGGATTCGCATGATAACCCGGAGCCGGAGCCGATTACGACGGCGGATCGGGCGGGAGCGGGTATCCTGACGTTCTTGGTGCTTGCGAGTGCGGTTGGAACGTTTGGATGGATGTGTTTTGATTGAGCGATCTGAAGCTTTTTGAGTAAGGCGTTGGTTTTGTAAACATGTATAAGAAAACTCGACTGGGCGAGCGAGGATTACATTTTTTTGTTTGTTCTTTTGTTGGAGAATGGAGTTGGCCTGTGTCCCATCGGATTGAAGGGATTGTCAAGACCTTGATGGGAGATGCCCAGCGAAAGGCAGCATTCTGATAGACTTTTAAATACAGATGCTTGATAAGTTACTCTCATTTTTGCGCTTGTCGTGACATTTGGACGTGTCACAATTAAATGTCATTGGGCTTGGGAATTATGCGACCATGCTGTATACGGACAAACTGAACAATCATGGTTGTTAAGCACGTTACATGTTGATGTATCGCCAAGGGAGAGAAATAAATTGGTAGTGACGGTCAGAATTGGCTGCGATGAGGCTCTTGTGTTGCCCTTGAGCCTTCGCTGAGCCAAAGAGGTCAGTATGACAAGGCTGCATTCGATGGAGGGTGCTGGATGGAGACTTGTGGCTGAGACCTTTCATCGCCACAGAGACACTTAGCTGCTGGTGCGAAAATGGCTGACTCATCGCAAACTGTGGAGCTGGCGCCACCTTTAGTTCAGCCTTTCGCCTTTCGCCTTCCTTTGGACCAAGATTTATCAACCTTCATCACCTCAACCAGGCACGCGGCGCATCAACCCCTGATATCACCAGCAAAAGCCGCCCCTTCTATCGAGCTTCCGATCGACGTGACGCGACGCTATGGCTGAACTATCCACTACTGAAACAGCGATGCCCGCCCCCGTCGCTTTCAAGCAAAGGAGCCGACGAGCCAAGAACAACGTGAGAAAGCGACCTGCCAGCACCTTGCCAGCACATGGCGACTCCTCTTCCTCTTCTTAAGACGACGAGCGCGACGTTGCAGACGGACCTCGGATCAAGCGCAACAAGAAGGCAGCGATCTCAGCGTCCTCGACGAGTCAACGAAACCCCGATCAAGATCACGGCCCTACAGCCTTTCGCGCGAATCGTGAAGTGCCAATATCAGATACAAACGATGCCACGAAGCGGAAGGACTGGTATGATCAGCCAACAACCAAGGGCCCCGCTCGCGCTGCTTCCAATGTGCGCATCACAACAACCTTCGACTTCAAGCCTGACGTTTGCAAAGATTACAAGAAGACCGGTTTCTGTGGATTTGCAGAATCTTGCATATTTCTTCACTCGCGAGAAGACGATAAGCAAGGATGGCAGCTCGATAAAGAATGGGAAGTCGTGGTAAAGAGCAAGAAGAAGATCAGTGAAGCTGTCGAGGATGAGGGAGGCGCAGAAATGCTGGACAAGATTCCCTTTGCATGCATTATCTACGAGGGGCCTTACAAGCAACCTGTCGTCACGCGATGTGGCCATTATTTCTGCGAGGCATGTGCCCTCAAGAGGTACAGGAAGGATCCGACATGTAAGAACTGCGGAGCTGCGACCATGGGAGTTTTCAACACAGCGTCGAAATTGGAGAGGCTGTTGCGGCGGAAGAGAGAGCGGGAAGAGAAGCGGGATGGGGAAACACAAGAACCTGATGGCGAAGGGGGCATGAAGAGTTGACTTGTATGAACAAACGGTAACTTGCCCTTTATAGAGTTATCTAACAATCAGCCTTTCGGATCTCCTCACGGAAGAGCGGCAAGGAACGACACTGGTAGGTACGGCGCCTAGCATGAAGCTGAATCGCAGAGCAATCTTGACTCATCAGGATGGGGGCAAATAAAGATGCTTGCGTCACATCAATGCAACTGGTTCAAGCTTTGCGGCAGTGCTGGCAAAGGCTTCCTCCGCAACAGGTGTAGTTCCTCCAGAAGCAACTGCGGATTTCGGGAATGACGATGGGAATCGAGCAAACCCAACAGCAGAACCCACCAAACATGCATCCCTTCCCATCACCAAGTGGCGAAGACGACACATTAGATGGCCAGTAACTCAAGCGTAGCAGAAACGCGAACCTTGCAGCTCAAAGCAATGCCTACCATGCCCACAACTTGAGACCACGGCCCGATAAACTGCTGAGCATGTCGATCGGCTTTTGCACGAAATATCTGCAGAACTATAAAAAGGCAGCGCGGTATGGTTGCGTGAGCACTGAGTCGTATGAATCAGTGGTACCAGCTTGATGAGGACTGGGGGATCAATGCTAAGCGGGAACTTAAGAGGTGAAGATGCTAGAGATTCCAAGGAATCTGTTTCGCCCGCATGTTGGATCTTTGAGAAGAATAAATAATAATATTACCAAAGAATGATAGAATGACCCGTATAATGAGAGTGCTTTTATCCTTTCTGTCTTTGCCAAAGACAGAAAGGAGCAGAGTTGAAGATTTGTCATATGTGATGATAGGGTTTTGTAACAAGCTGTTGAAAACATGGGCGATTGCGAAGAGGAAGAAGGAAGAGCAGGACAATTTGGATACAGAATGGAAAAACAAGATCTGAGAGCTGGACAGACTCCTGACGAAGGGGCCGAAGCTTTTGTAAGAATAAGAAAAAATGATAACTGTTAGTACAACTTTTCATCTCCAACGTCTCCGGTAAAAGCCAACAAGTGAAGGGCTTATCTAACCCTCCTTTCTGATAGAAAGGGCACAGGAGCTTGATGGATCCAATGAGAGACGTAAAGCCTACGTTGCTGGATAGAAGGATAAATGTTTTCCAGCTGGATCTGTTCTCAGCGTCAAGTGTAGGACTCTTAATACCTACCCGTAGAGAAGTTGATCCTAGACAGCAGCCGGCCAAGCGATGTCATTAGAATGATGAGATGTATTGTGAGTCGTAAATGAAATATGATGTCTCTCTATTTGAACTGTAATGTACGTATCAGCATGGGATAGAGTGTTTAGGTCAACATTTCGAAGCCCCTCCTGGTCAATGATGATGAAACTGTACGAGCCACTTCTGCCCTGAAATAATGAGAGTTGACCTTTCAGCCAATGTCGTAGTCATAGGCATTAGTTGTAATGCTGGATATAGGGGAGCTTGGAAAGGTGGAAAGACAAATCGAGGTTACCATACATAGTGTGATGGACAAGTTCATTTCGTGGTCGGCAACTTCAACGTCCCGCAGGATAGATCTAAGCCACTCGGCACAACAAGTACTTTCAAGCTATCCCGTATTTACCAACGTCATTTCCATAACAACATTAGTACTCAATAACCTCTGACAGTTGTCCAGTACAGTACTGTTGTCCTGCTCGGCATTCCCGTCCTCCCCTCACAACCAAGCCAATCATTATCACCATGCGCCACGCGTGAGTTACCGCATCATCAAAGCATGGAAGTTACCGAACGCCCAGAGACACCAAAAACACGCACTTCCCCTACAACACGTTCCTCATTCTTTCTCCTCCTGTTACCGTTCAACTTTCAACATGGCTTCTACACCAGATAACGTATACGAGTTCTACCATCCCTCCAAAGTATTGGCGCTCGTCGCGTGTGTAGTCTTTGCAGTCTTTAGTCTTGTTCATCTAAGATATGTCTGTCACTATCGGAAACCCTTCTGTCTGGTTCTTGTCCTTGGAGGACTCTGTATGTATCAGCTCATTCAAACACTATGGACAGTTGTCTGACACTTGTGTAGTTGAGGTTGCGGGTCTTGGTGCGAGGATATACTCGACCGACCATCTACGAGACCAAGGAGCGTACGGCACGCAAACACTCCTGATCCTCCTGGCGCCCATCTTCTTCTCCGCAGCAATCTACATGTTCCTCGGCCGAATAATCCGCGCTACCGAGCATCCCGACCTTTCCATCATTCGAACACGATGGCTTTCCAAGTTCTTCGTGATAGCAGATGTATTATGCTTCGTCGTTCAAGCTTGCGGTGCAGGAATTCTCATCAACGCTGATACTACCGCTGATCAGAACAATGGAGAGAATGTTATTCTCGCTGGATTAGCGCTTCAGGTTGTCATCTTGATCATATTTCTTATTTGTGCGGGAGTATTCCATGCACGACTTGCGAAAGGAGGACTCATTAGGACGATTAATCCGAGACTCTACTTGGTTATAATGCTCGGTGAGCTGTATACCTGCGCGATACTGATTCTGATCCGAAATGTGTTTCGACTGGTTGAGTTTGGACTTGGGGACGATGGATATTTGCAGCGGTATGAATGGCCGATTTATGTGTTTGATATTCTCTTGATGGCTATGGTTATGGCGCTGGCGTTGAGTTGGTATCCGGCTGATTTGCATATTCATCATGATCCTTATAGGCGACAACCAATGGCCAGCACGGCTTAGATCATTTTGATAGAGTTGCGGACGTTTAGAGGCTAGTATGAGAGAAGAAAGAGGCTTGATGATTTGTGCTTGAGCTTTGTTAGGAGGAATTATGCATGAGATAGAGTTTCAGAAAACAATTAAAGCTTGGTTGACAATCGTCGAAATGGGATATGCTACCAATGTCGTGGATTGATAGACGAGCTAGTATCCGTAGATCCTGACATATTCTGGCGTCTTTCCTGTCAGCAGCTACTGCATGTCCAAGGATATCCCGGTCATCGGGGATAGCACGAAGAAATAGAGTTTATACGACAGCCCCAACCAAGCACGGAGAAATTCTCGTGTTTCGGTTTGTAATATCCACAACATCAAAAGTCCAAACTCTAATAACCGCTCCCAATATCTCCTTGACTCAAGCACGGCGTCTCTCCAATGCTACTCTATATTCCCTCACATCTCCATCCTCATCCCGAAAACTCATCGCCAAGAGCGCACAAACCTGACAGCGGGTGGCTTTAGCACCGTCGAAACCTACGCAAACAGGTGGGGAGAAGATCAGCAGCACCAAGTCTTGAGCTAGCCAGGGGTAAACACAGAAAATCAGACGGTTCCCCACGTTCTCCAGACGTTGGGATGCCAAGGTATGGGGGCACTGACGTCGAAAACGACGACATTTTCCAATTTGGCTGTAACCTTCTCGATGAAGTTACATTGGAGATAGAGTACCGAAGCCAAGGGCTCGGCGATAACATGTCAGCATCGGAGAAAAGTGGTGGAATCGGAAATTTGATCGTGTTCTATGCTTATGCTTGCGTTTATATCGCCTTCTAATATTGAAACATCTAAATAATCGCTCACTTTGCCTCCCATATGTGACTCTACTAAGACTTCTCTACTCCAAACAAACAACCACCGTGGCATACATAACACAAGTTAGTCATCGTGGTGCTCAATCTCATCAGCGACCAAGCTCAAGATATTCTCCTCCCCTGGCACATTCTGAGGGAAGCGAGCGTTGTAGCCGATGACAGATCGGGCCTTCAAATAAGTTCGCGTAGGAATAGACACCTTCTGAGTGGAGACGAACCACTTGACGTTCTCACTACAGGGCGGTGTAGTAAGCGAGCCCGAGTATCTAAGACAACCAAAACCGTCAGCGGGCATTACTTTATTCTTGGCATGCTTAGTACAACTTACGATTGGAAATCACCCTCGTTGAGGAGCGATACAATCTCGGACATTTTGAGAGCCTTGATGTGAGTGGTTTGTCCCAGCGTCGCAATCTTATCCACCGCGTTGAGAACGGTAGTAACGACAGTGGATTTCGTAGCAGGGATGTCTGTCTTGCCCCTACGCGTCTCCCTGAATTTATACGAATCGGCCGCTCCGTCGTCAAGATCGATAAAGACACCAATAACAGCGAGTTTGCCGTCTTCGCTGGAGTGAACCATGTGCATCTCCATCGCTAGACTTGTACCGTTGTCGATGTGCTCGCTGGGGAGATGGAAGTGGAATTGCTTTAGGTGATATGTTGTGTTTTCGATGGTGATTTTACCGCCGAGGCCTTCGGCTACTACCTCGACGGTGCTTCCCAGGTTCTCGAACTCAGCGCCCTTGGTGAAGTTGGGGATCTCGATGTTTAGGTCTGAGGCGGGGATGGTGTTGAATGAACCGGAGGCGAGATTGATGGGGGATTGGTGGTGGCCGGTTGCGCATAGTTCGTTGGCCTTGGGGTCTAAGTTGTACCAGTTTGCTGGGCCCTATTATATAAAGTCAGTAACCTATAAGAAGACCTCTAAAACCCTCGGTGTATAGGGAAACTGTAGATGAAGTATAAGGGGAGCGAGTGGCGTACATTGGCAGCAGAGTATCCAAACTTGGGAGCATGAATAACATCAGCTCTCCGATGAAGATGCGTTCCATACGCACACGACGCCTGGACCTGCGGCGCACAAGCAGCCAGAACAGCTAACAAAGATATCCAAGAAGTCATATTTAAAGAATCTATTCAAGGCAAAATCTGGGGAAACAAGAAACAAGGTAAAAAAACAAGCTTCTACAGATCTCAAACCGAGAAACACTCTTCATTTAAGTATTCCCCCATCCTCATCCCTACAATCCCCGACATGTAATATAAACCCAGGGCAATAATCCAAGGGTCTACGGGCTGGGGCTTACATCAACTGCAACGATAGCTAGCTGACTGCCGCCAAAGTCACGCCACAATTGCTCTGACCAGCCAAGCCGGGGGCGGTGGATCTAAAACGGGTGTGTTTATTGCCTGGATGGTAGGTAATCATTATTGCTTAGACGGTAATCAATATTGCTGAAGAAAGTGTCGCCGGGTATACCCTGTTAAGTTATGTCCGAGTGTCCCGTTGAAACTGCGCATTTGCGGTTAGACGAGACCCTGAAGTTAGCATTAGTCTGCATGAATCAATTATGCTTTTCTCCAGAACAATGCGTCAGAACTGCACTCAAACTTCACAGCGTTACACTCGTAAATACATTTATCGGTCTTCACTCCGACCATCGTAACTCTGGGTAATAAAATGACGTGTGCCATGTTATTACCCACGCCCACAAGTCCCCGCGGAGTAATCGCACGCTCTCCATGGAGATGAAGAGCAAAGCTTTGACTGGCTGGAACAAAACCTCCAGCAAAACCGTTGCCAAGCGCCAGGGGTAAGGGTAAGGGTCTGGGAGGCTCAGACGGGGCAGAGGTTCTGGACTCGCTTGGCAGTGCATTGGCTGTAATCTGACACACGGCCTCGACCTGTGGCTTGACAATGAATGACTCGAGGGCGTGGAGAATGGTAATTTCGTCTTCTCACTCTGTAAATCTCTCAATAATGGAGTTTTGGAAAGGATTGCGAATAAGCTTAAGTTTTGAACGATGCTACGTTTCTCTGTAGTGATCGAGTCAGGTGACTTGGCGATAGTGGATTCGCGATAACAGAATCCAATGGAATCATGACGACGACGATAAATCCGCTCAATCTCATTCACTTGCAGTACAATCTCACCATAAACTCTATCACAACCGCCAAGACTTTCTATATCAAACTCACTTATAGTCTCCTTCCTATCCTGCACAACCCAGTCTAGCCTCAACTTACCGATAATTTGGCTTCACTATCCCACTTAACCCCTCGTCCAGCATTACCAACCACGGCAGTTGATACGACATACGCAAGCCTGTCACCTGTCATTTCCCCCTTCGATTCCATCTCGCGATCCTTCAGAACTCAATCTTGACATGGCTCCCTTGTACAAAAAGACCCTCGTGCTCGGTGCTTCATCCGGTATTGGAGAGGCCCTTGCCGCCAAGCTCATCGCCACAGGGACAAAGGTCATTGTCGTCGGTAGACGGGGCGATAAGCTTGAGGAGTTTGTGAAGAAGTATGGAGAGGATAGTGCAAGGGCTGTTGTGTTTGACGTTACGGATTTGGATGGAATCAAAAGCTTTGCCGAGTCTATCACTCGGTCTGATCCAGATCTGGACTCTGTCGTTTTTAGTTCGGGGATTCAGCGAGGATTTAACTTTGCGAATCCTGAAACTCTGGATCTATCTGTCCTTGGCGAGGAACTCACCACCAATTACACATCTGCCGTGCATCTCACCGCAGCATTCCTCCCTCACTTCAAGACCCAACCGCAAAGCCATCTAATCTACATCAGCGCAACCCTCGGTCTAATCCCCTCCATGATCCGAACGCCCAACTACAACGCATCCAAGTCCGCGCTTCATACATTCATCCTCAACGTTCGAGAGCAACTAAAAGCTAGTGGAGTTTATAATATCCGCATGGTTGAAGTTTTTCCGCCGGCTGTTCAGACGGAGTTGCATGATGAGAAGCATCAGCCTGATTTGGTGAACGGTGGAGAGATTGGGATGCCTATTGGGGAGTTTACGGAGAGGATGTTTGAGGGGCTTGGGAGGGGGGATGAGCAGTTTGCTGTTGGGCCGGGGGAGAGTTTGTTTAAGGAGGATGGGTTTGAGACGCAGAGGATGAAGCTTTATGAGGCGGGGAGGGAGTTTATTAACAAGTCTTTGGCTAAGTATCTGAAGAATTAAGTGCATAGGATTATTTCAGGACTGGAGAAAATAGTATGGGCAATAGTGTGCAATAGACTATCAGCAACCTATACTGTAAGAATGTTAAGTAGCAACCCCGATTTCCCTGCATAGTTGCATAATCGATCATAAACCTAATTCTTTCCACTCTGATCTCTGATAGCCTACGCTATTGTTGTGATCATATAGGATCTTGACACTGAATTCTGAGGCATTAACAACATTCGACTGACCGAGCATCTTCCTCAAATTTCATCGCATGCACACTCCCCTCCACCTAGCCACATTAATTGAGCTATATGACATTTAAACAAATATTTCGGATGGAGCCGGGCATCTATGAAACAAACCTGCATGTTCTTCAAATCGCGCATCCTCAGCTGGCCCGTTCTCGTATGATATTCAAGCCACAGCAGCATGGCCTCACATCCCTGTCCTGGCTTACCACTCAACTACCTGACTGTCATGCTTATATTCTAAAAACGTATGTAAGAAGCTAAAGAGGGAAGGTAAGCATGCGGATGGTGTGGCGAGGATTACTTCAGCTATAAGCAATATGCTGGATTTGGAAATGCAGGGCGCCAGGTGTCAGAGCTGAAGTCACATGTAATCAGCCACGATCAATAGTCTCATTCTTGAGCAGTTTTGCGCTTTATGTAGACCAGGTTTGGTGGCCTGACTGGGTTCAAATTAAATGAGTCATTTCGTAATCTCCATTAACTATCTTAGCTACATCATGTTGTCATAGCCTGTAGTACAAATCGTGCATCTGTAGATGCAACACTTTACATCACCACAGCGACATGATCATCCATGTACTTCCCAATATCTCCCAAGAAAAGAGAAGCAAGGACTGAAACCGCACCAAAGGCAATGCTCACATAGTACACCCACTTGTATGCCTCAGCATAAGCAATCTGGCCAGCCTGGATCACAATCTTATACAGCGCCTCATTTCCCTTGATACCTGGTACCTCTGCAATCTCATCCAGCAAAGAGATACTAGTCAGCCCGATGACCTCCCCGATGACTTCGGTTGAGGTGATGTTGCCATACTTGACCATCGCGCCACCGATGTAGTGAATAGCAGCGGGTGTGAACTTGGCCACTAGGACATTGTAGTAAATGGTGTAGCCGATGCTTCCGCCAATGACGCGGATGCTCAGAGTAAGCGCTGCGATAGTCGCGATGAGATCGTCGGGGCAGATGATTGTCGTGATGATACTGGCTGGAACAACGATTCCTCCGATACCCAGACCAGCTAGGACGAGAATTCCCCATAGAGTGGACATGTTGTCGGGTCTTGCAACAGACATGGCGCCGCACCCAGCCGTCATAAGAATACTCGAGATAACCATGAGTGACCTGTTTGCACCCCTAAACACAGATAGAAGCCAGAGGACAATGCATGCACCAGCCATGATGCTGAAACCAACAGGAATACCTCGGATTCCGACTTGCACGGGATCATGACCGTACACGTTAAAAGCCTGCGTAGGCCAAAACATGAGGATGGAAAAGAAGTTGGCGCCCGAGATGAAGGTGATGATGAGCGTAAGGGTAAGAATCCTCGGTGCCTGGTTGATACGACGAGGGAACATGGGATACGGCGCAAAGAAGCCCTCCCAGACGACAAAGGCGACAACCAGAGCCGCTCCAAGAATCAGAGGAACAAGGACATGAGCTGACTTCCAGGGATACATATATCCTCCCCACTGCAAACCAGCCATGAACAAGATCATACCAGCGATGCTGAGAAAACCGCCGACGAAATCAATGCGCTTCAGGATCTCTCCTCGCGTAAGACCCTCTGAGTTGGCGCGAGGCGGGGGGAAGTAAAACAACGCTGTCAAGACTAGACCGACGAAGGCCCAGAGAGCACAGAAGAGCCCGATGTATCGCCATGTTGAGTGGGCGGCGATGAGCTGTGCCCAGAGAACAGAAGGGCAGAAGGGTACGATTGTGAAGATCAGGATGGAGACGTATTTGCCGCGCTGGGCAGTTGGTGCCATCTCAGACGTTGCTGCTAAAGCGGTGAGTTCGTTGATACCAGCTCCAATACCCGCCAAGACCATGCCACCTGAGTCAATAGTTAGTTTTGGTATTCGGGGTGAGAAGAATGGAGGACGTACCGATAAAGACATTCATGTTGTGAGCGGTAGAACAAACAATCATTCCAAGGACAATAAACGACGCGCCGGAGAGTGCAACGTATCGACGACCAAACATGTCCGATAGAGATCCCACAAACGGACAGACCGCTGCTAGTGATAGAAGATTGGCTAGAACGAACCAGGTCCAGCGATCGTGGCCTCCGATGTCAGCGTAGATGTATGGTGGGACACCGCCGAATAGATAGACTGGGATCTGGGAGCCTGTCCAGAGAAAGGCTTGCGAAACGAGGGCCATGAATCGTCGTTTTGTCATCTGAGATACGAGTGTTAGTATGCTTGAGTTTCTGGGTTTGTGGTGTGTATACCTTTACATCTTGACCCTCTCCCGACTCATCCGCATGAGCTTGGAATGCATCCTTCTCATGATAAGTAGCGGCGGCATGTTCGGTTTCTACATGAGTAGGCTTCTCGCTCTCAGAGTTCTGCCCACTGGCGTCCAATTGCGTCGGACCCATGGCTTGTCTTCAATAGAATATGTAGTTATGAAGAAAGTTGACTTGCTCAATGACTAAAGGGAGAGGTGTTGTTTAAATTGCATATTGTCATGTTACACTGATCGACCGTCTATCCTACTTATACAGACTCCTCCGATCAAGGTACCGAGGCATCCTGTCGCCAAACGAGGGGTTGATATACGCTATTGAGAGTCTAGACTTGATTTGAACTACAGGAATTGATAACAAGTCACGGAGAGGAGATGAAATGGGAGAGTTTGTGATAGCAAATGACCCCTACAAGTCATTTGCGATCGGGTCTTCGGCACCTTTAACACGAATCTAGTCTAGCATCGGGAGATGGAACCCACACTTGCAGGAAAGCCACGTCGTCCGATCTGCCAATCGCAACTTTCGTCTTTTTTAAATTGATGCTTAATCTTGAGATGAACTATGCAGGTTGGCTTGACTTCTATGTCTGGTGCTTCAGCGAGGTAGAACGAGTCTCTGAAAGGTATATCTTGTTTAATTCACCTCTTCTTCTTGATCTGTATAGACTCTCAGATACATTTACAGCAGCAAGAGAAGGAGTACAAGTAGCGGGTTGCGACCACGGAGTATATCCCCGTTTCTGTCTTGGCGCAACCTCGGCCCCGCGGACCTAAGCTTGCTAACCCACGGGGTCGAGCGCGGGGAACCCTGCTTAGCTTGGAGTATCGTGAGGGCTTGCCACGTTCCTAAGCAGGGTTTCCCCGTATTCGACGTCGCCGAAATTGTATAGAGAATTGAGTGCCATTGACGGGTTGCCAAGATGTCGAGATCTATCGCACCGAGAGATTGTCATGCGCACAGACTTAGACTTTGCTAGTGATAAGGATTATTGGGTTTCGCGGTTAGGACTTGGTTGATATGCAGCGTTTAGACAGGTCTGGGGCCGAGCCCTTGGCCACGGTAGTGAGTCTTTGCACTAGATCAGATCATTACCTGGCACTTCATAAGATTACATGGACTGGGCTATGTCGTTGATTTGGCATTGCCGCTTCCCTGCTATGGGAAGAGGCACTAGATGGATTACTCTGTATCATCTTAAAATGGTATAGAGGCTGAAACTTAAAGACAACTCTCCATCGTACGCCGGTAAACATCAGCTGCCGTACTCGTTATCGTTTAGCCTCTTTGAAGCTAAGAATCTTGACAGCAAGCGCAGAATCCAGCTCTGCGGAACTGAGACTTATCTCGGAAGATGTCCGTGGGATGTACTGAAGACTGCAACCAGTAAGCTCTTCAGCAACTGATACCCTCAAAGAGAGGCACTAGTTGTACTCGGGAACAATATTCTCAACCGGACATGCCGCCAGTGCACTTACAAACCTGCTCTTCACATCCCGCCACTCCGGCCCTCCGCGCTCCTGACTGATGACTCGATATCTCCTCTCCCCGCCTACCGCTCTACATATCAGAGCATTGTTAGCCGCGTACCTATTCCCATGAGACAGGTCACCAGCCACAATATATTCCAGCGACTTAATCCCATCTGGACCAAAGACCCAGTTTGCAAAATCTCGGAAGTTTTGTTGCAGAGGTGGTGTTCCCCACTCTCTTCTCTCCCTCACAGCAGTAGCGAGCTCTTCAAGACTAAGACGAACATTCTCTTCAGCATCGGCGTTGAATGAGTTGCCGGCCTTTGTTGTGTCGTCGATGGGTACGCCTTCGTTTTCTCCTTCTGTGATCTTGAGTTCTAATGCGTGATTGAAGACCCATGATGCACTGGGACCGGAGTTCATTCCTGTGTGTCGAATGTGAAGCACTTTTAGTGATGACTTGGCTACAAAGGGTAGCAGAATATCTTTCTTTATTTAGAGTTAGACAGCCGTGTACTAGTAGTAGTTGCGATCACTTACAAGGTACTTTGGTGCACATGTCAACCCAATGAAGTCGAGGTTGAGTCTCGAAAGTGGGTTCTGAGAAGGATCATGCTGAATGCGGTTCCGGTCCTCAGATGATAGCCCCAAGTCTGATGAGTCTCTACGTAAGCGCGAGTTTAACAGCTCTTCATCTTGGTCTGTGAGTCTGTGATGATACACAAATCTCTTCAGAGTTGTTCCATGACTCGCAACATGCTCCCAGAACTGAAGAGATGGCGTCGGACCGCAAATTCTAATGAACAGCTCTTCGAGTCCTTTGAAGGAACCAATGAATCTAGTGATGGCAGCTGCTTTGCTCGTTACAGTTTCGTGGGGCATGTTCAAGTCGAAGTCTGATATCTCGAGAGTCTTGAGTTGAAGTGGTGTTTGCGATTCCATGATGTCTGTTAGGAACGGCATCCAATACGCGCACATCCTCAACGACAGATACCTAAGAGCACTGAAGTTAATTGAAGAAGCTGCGACTTGCATCCCAGTGTTTTCATCTCTCAAAGGAACCCTGGTGAGTTTTAAGCTTCGTAACTTCGGGAACTGTGTTCGCTCAGCTGCTTCTGGGGTACCCGCTTCGAGGCCAAACATCTGCCTAGCAAGCATAGTACTCGCAGGTATCTTATCCCACACCTCCGGGTTATCTTCATGGTGAATAACCGTGGACTCGCGACTCTCTCGATCCGAGGACCAGCCCTGCAGCTCCAATTCCAGTTCTTCAAGATGCGTCACATTGGCCTTAGCAAGGCTAGCAATGGTGTCGAAGTGGCAGCCCATAGGTGCTTTCCAGCTAAGTCGCCGAAGGTTATTAAACGCCGAGAGGTCTATGTCAGATGTTCGACTCCAGCGATTGAATCTGCTACAGAAAGGATCTGTGACGAGTCTGAGGCTCTGGATGGAGGGATGCTTGAGACTCAGAACCTCGAGAATCTCAGAGGGTATGCAAGAAGTATAGTTCCAGCTAGCAGACATATCAGACTTGTCTTGTATAAAAGGAGTTGTCTTACCTGAATGATTCGAGTTGCCCATCATTGAAACGATTAAGCAATAGCACAGCCCTCTGAGCAAGACACTCAAACTTGACCCTCACAAGCTTTCCACCTTCTAACCCAAAACTATCGCCCCGAGCCTCCCAAGTATACTGATGAAGAGGGACTTTATCAGTCCAGTTTGCCATGTAGCCAAGCCAGTCGCTCGCATGGATACATCGCTTCGGGTCAACGTCGACACCAGGATCAAAGCGAAGTTCTTTCGTATACTGAAGACAATGCTGCGGCGGACCAGACGGGTTAATACAATGTCGCTCGCTTTCGGGGTATGGTCGAATGGTGATGGAGCGCCAGAGGTGGCGAAATGTTATTTTGTGTAGCCATTTTGCCGTAAGCGAGAGCTGTTGGAGGTCGATACCATTTAGCTATTACTGTCAGTCCAAATCGGTACCCATCAGTGAGATATATACCTTGTCGCAAATATTTTCGAGGATTTCTGGTGGGAGAGATGCTAGCATTCTGGCGGTCGTGTCTACAAAATGGTGAGAGCTTGAGAATCGTCACAGCGACGGGAGAGGCGTGAGTGACCTAATATCTCACGAGACAGACCACCAACTTTACCCTCACGCATCCTCCCCATATCACAAGATGACGTGCGTCAGCACATTCTCATCTCAGCACATGAAACCCCTCAAAATCAATCACTCTAACTGGATCTCATCATCAGAGGGCACTATGCGCCAGCGCTACTATTTGCCTAATATCCAGATAAATGCCAAGTGGTACGAATGGCGCAAGCATAAATGAAATGGGTTGCAAAAATGATGTAAGACATGAGAATTGTAAGTACATAGAGAAAACTGATACTGAGATCAAGGTCGAAAAAAATGCAAAAAAGAATATGAGCTCCCCGAAACCTGGATCGAACAAGTGACCTTTCGGTGAGATGCTTAACAATTACAGCCGAACGCTCTTCCAGCTGAGCTATTCGGGGAGATCTCCGGACCGGAGGAATAGCTATTGGTGAGAGCAGAGCCAGAGGTTATAGTATATAGAGGTATCATCAAACTTTAATCACCAATGCCGCTCTTCATCCACCATCAATCATCTCCACAGGTGTAATTGACTTTACGGCACAGAATACCACGAAACCCAACTGTTCTTCTTCTCTTGCATTACCTCATCTTGTAAGTTGACTTCTGTTCTTCTGTCCGATTTTTCTATCCGTCTTCTCTATTATCTATCAACCGCCGAAGCGCTCGTAAAGAATTTCAATGTCTGAGCACTAACTACCCTGGGTATCATCATGAATTACTTTCTGTCGCTCCAATGACTTTTGATCGCCTCTAAATGCTCTTTGATCGAAGGACTATCTTCGCTCTCGCCACCAACATCCATCTTCGACCTTATCCTCCCAACCAGCAAGTCGCGTGCAATCTTCGGTGACGCAAGTGACAACTCCTCCTCAAGCTTTGCCTGGCTGATTACCTTGCCGTTGCAAAGCTCCTTGACAAGACTGTCAACTAAATGCTGACAATTATTCGATAATAATTTATACCGAGGATTTAGTCCAATGTGATGTTGTCCTGTTAGCGTTAGAGCGTGTCACACAGCAGTTTTGTGCAACTCACCTATCACCTGAATCTCGTCGTGCGTCTTGGTCGTCTCCCCAATATAATAACACGAACTCCACGTCTCAACAAACTCCTCCGTAATGACCGCCACCCTGAAATAATTCTTCCCCAGCATCGTCAACTCCAACCGATCGCTCATCAAATCGTAGCAATAGCACCTCCCAAGCGCTCTATCGATAACGCACACGGCCCAGTGACTCACACTGTTAAGACTCATGCCTACATGTCTCGCTAGCAATTTGTAGCTTGCTTCTGAGACTTCAAGTACGCCAAAGGAGATGGGCGTTGTGACGAGGAATACCGCTCTTTGAGTTTCGCGCGGATTGCATTTGCATTTTAGAGGTGCCATTTCGAGGGCTGAGTCGCCTGTCACTTTACTCGTGACGAGAGATAGAAATTCATTTCTTCGACGGATTTCTTCAGCGTGTTTCGCAAGCCATGCCTCTTCCGCCTGTCGTCGCTTTCTCTCGTCCCTATTCGCAATCAGTAACTTGATCCACCAGTGGAGTCTTTGGAAATCACCATTTTTTAGAGATGTTCTGGTAGACAGCCTCACCGGCCGCTGCAAGCTTGTTCAGGGCATCCAGTCCCATTTTTGCTATAAAGCTACCATACCGTAGCAAATTGTCGAATTATCGCACGGAAATATTGAGGATTGAAATGTTGGAATGGGTGATGGATGTTTTTAGGGGAAATTCTGGGGCGGTAAAATTCACAGCCACGCGGATATGCCGGTCAACTGTAGTGGTCCCCACGCTTGGCATTATGCGCCTCTTTTGGCGCTGCAGGTGATGACGCGTGACTGGGCTGAAAGACGACATGACATTAACGTAGGGCTGTCTTCGAGGCGCAGTCATGATCTTCATTCTTTACGACTTCTATTTATTCTTCTATAAATTCTGGTTCATTCTAGTAACAGAGGAATCGCGCGCCCGATGTCGCCCTGAATACAAGTGCTCAGGCCTTCATCTTCCTGGTCCCATGGCACCATCGCTTCAGGGCCCATGCCAATGCGAATCAGCTTGACTTGTCCTTTACTTCGCATCACCAAATCTTCATTCGGCCATCGCAAAACACCTGGAGTATTCATTCCGACACCAAGTTCCAGAATCACCACATTCTTCTTTTCTAGTAGAACCCGAGACTTCCAAGCTTTCCACTGAGCTTCGCCTTTTTGGAAAGGCGTCTGATTAAACCAGGAGCCTGCTCGGACACAAATACTCATTTTCGAACCGCAGAACCTGCACGTCGGAATCTTGCTCGAGTCTAACAGTTTTTGCGTCTTGTCAATGTGAGGCATTGCATCAACTACAAGAGGAGCCGATGGCACAACAGCGTCAACTCTACAGTTATTCAAACACTGCAAGTACCCATACGAGCCCTGCGGTGTAGAAAGTTGCTCCTTTGGCCAGCCATTTGCGAGGAATAGTCCGTCGGCGTTTGAAGTGCGCACAAATGCATCTTGCCCAAACTTCCTCAGCCATGGGATCAAAGTCTGGTAAGTTGGCGTATTTGACCAGCTGGCCACCATGTTCAAATGAGTGAAGAAATAGCCCCAGCGATGCTCCTCTGAAGGCCAGTCGTTGAAGCCAAAGACACTGTACAGTGACGTCAAACCGAGCTTGAGACAGCCCGGGAAGTTCTTCTTGAAGAGGTCTCGAGAGTGGTAGTCCAAGCCTTCTGCAGCTGATAGACCTGCGCCGACTGTGACGAGGACAGCATCTGCTGAGGCGAGCCAGTCGCGCGCTAAGTCAAGAGAGCTTTGTGGCAGGCTCTCGGTAAGTGACAGTGTTTTCGCTGAGGATGGCCCAAGAAGTTTCGAGTAGATCTCAGTGTCTGATTCGGTGAACGTGTTGAAGACAACGTCTGTAATTGTCGTTGACGGATGTTTCTGAAGCCAATATATGACGGTTGACACTGCAATCTCAGCTGCCTCTTCTGCTGGAAATGCAAACAAACCGGTCGAGATGCAACAAAAAGCGACTGACTTGCTACCGTCCTCCTCGTACGGCAAAATCTCCAGCGCTTCAAGAATCGACTCATAGCATTTCGCCAGTTGCTTCCTCTCAGCCTCAGTAGGTGAAGCACCCCTCTTGAGCTGTGGTCCGACGGTATGCATTACTGACGAAGCAAAGAGCGCATGGCCTTCAGTGACAAGTACTTCTCCAGGCTCAAGTTCTTTTCCTCTGACTTGCATCCGCTGGAAGCACTCTTCACGTAGCCGCGGTCCTGCTTCAGCATGTATGATGTTATCAATGCATCGATGAGTTGGTTGAAAACATCCCAGGCCCTGGCTGTTGGCGGCGTTGGTAATAGCTGTGACGCCAGTCAAGGTCGTGATATCGCCTCTCCAAAGATGAATTCTCGTTGACCCATGATCGCTATGTTCTATCAAACGCGAAGGCGAGAGCGAGGAGACTGGAGTGAGTATCTTGTGCTGATGATGCCGTGTGAGAATGGTGTCGATATCGTGAAGTAGATCCTCTGGCAGAGGTGGCAAAGGCGGTCGTACGCATAGACATTCTCGAAGCAGAGCTATCTTTGATGCTGTCTCAAGATGGCTTAAGTGGTGTTTATAATGCTGCAAGTGCTCGTCGTCTGCAAGAAAGCTCGACCCATTCTCTATAACATCGTCAATGAGACGTGTAAGAGTTGTGTCCAAGACGGAGGCGGTTCCTGTGCGGGTTGTTCTCATGGTAATCTTTTTTTACTGTAGATGACTTGTACTGTAGGTAAATGCAACCCGGGAACTGTTCAATAGCTGGTCCTTTATATAGTGTAGTAATTGTAAAATGGGAAAGGAATAATCAGCATTGACAAATTTGATCCTTTGATGAGGTTTGCTTTATCCCACTCGGATAAGGTGGGATACCCGAGTGGGATAGGTTGTGTTGAGGGGTGAGACCGAGCCCCCTACCCTATCCAAACCACTACGAGGGATGAGAAAAGGCCCTTTGACCGCAAATAGGCTTGCTGAGAAATATCTAACCTGCATTATGATCATATTGATCTCAGCCCACCTGATGAAATTGTCTCATGATCAACTGGACACGCTCCGTCCGCAAGAGCGACGAGGCTATATTCTCTGAAAAATAAAATGACATCTGCTTGTCTTGTCAAAGCATCACCTCGTCTGCGACACTGGTGTGCTCTAGATGATACGTAGGTCGACCAGAATTCACGCACCATAGTCCGCCAATTCGTATCTATCTTTCCATAACGCATATAATCTTCGTGGAGGAGCGTCGCGTGTAAGGGTTGGATTCGTTGACCTTTGGCCTTGGCGCTCTATCAAGCATCGCAGGTGTTGTGAGTCATGAATGGCTGCGCCTATTCTCCTCGATTGATGGTCCGAGAGGTGACAAGACATGAAACAAAAGAAAATGTCTCAGGGAAAGACAGTTAATAAAATACCCGAACAATCCAGTATAAAAGCTTCCTCGGAGGGTTTCTACTCTTCAGTCTCGACCAGGGAACTTAGCGGGGCCTAAGCTTATTGTGGACTGACGTTTGCGAGCGGCGTACCAAGTAGACCACCATCTTAACCCCTTCAGGTTAAGTGTAATTGTCCGGCTCGGAGTGATGAGTTGACGGGTAGTTGTTCCTCCGATTTCCAAACATGATTGGAGCATCACAGCTATGTCGGTAAACCGAAAGCGATTATTTACTAGTCGGATACGAAATATAAATCTGCGAACCCTCACAATATACCGATGGTGCGATCTTAAACTCCTGCTTCAACTATTCGATCCGTCACCATGTCGTCCCCTCCCAAGCTCACACCCACCGAGCACTTCAACAAGGTTGCAGAAAAGTACGAGGCCATTACTGGCGGAGCTACTCGTGAACTCGCCCATCATGCCATCTCCTCCATCGCGGCCCTAAAGCCGCTGACTTCAGAGTCCAACATCCTCGACAACGCTTGCGGCACGGGCATTGTCACTGACATCATCCTCAAATCTGGGATCAAGCCTGAAATCCACGCCGTCGATGTCGCGGAGAACATGGTCAGCATTGCTAGCAATCGGTTCTCTTCTCATCCAAACGTCCACACGGCCGTCATTAGCGGCGAGGAACTTCTATTTCCTGATGATACCTTCACACGCTCTATTACAAACCTCGGCCTGATGTACTTCACCGACGCGGCAAAGGGTGCAAGAGAGATAGTGCGTACACTTAAGCCTGATGGAGTAGCCGTTGTCACAGGCTGGACCGCGATGGGACACATCAAGATTATCCAGGAGGTCCAGGCGCAGATCCGCCCCGATGAAACGCCGTTCAAGCCGCCTGTTCCTGAGATCTGGCTCGACCCTGAGCATACCAAAGCCGTGCTATCAAGTGCTGGGCTCGAAGTGACCAGCACTCCCATTGACGTGCATCTGGGCGGCGAGACGGCGGATGCAGTCGCTGATCTTCTGTTTCATGGGTTCGGCTCCAAGGTATTTCCTTCCTGGAGCGTGGAGGAACAGGCGATGGGCGCTGAAGTTATGAAAAAGATTGTGCGGGAGCAGGTCGTTCCGTTCACTAGACCCTTTGGATCTGGTGTTGGTATCAGGGTATCAGGAACTATCTTTGTTGCGCGTAAGAGATCTAGCCGTGGACTAGGTTCATGAGCTTATTCCTGATTAAAGAGAATCTCTTTAAAATCGCTACTACTGGGTTAGGTAGTTTGTACAATATATTAGAGATTTGGCCGGTATTTATATCGATACGCAGTGCCTCGAAACCCTTTTATGCTTCAGAAGATGTGATCTCTTGACGCAGGTTCCATGGCCAATCCAGCAGACCCAGAAACTCCTCGATTAATCCCAATCCCTAACCGTCACCCAAACCATCCCATTCCCCGTCCTCTCTGGTCAACCCTCCAGACATTGTGTCATACCCTCTCTTCTTCTGTTTCAGATTTGTCGGGAGGTGAGACATATGTACAGCGCCAGAATACCTGCATAAAGCTGATGTAGAAAACAAATTTTACAACGACTAGCTATTTTATCTTGAGTAGAATTGTTAATATAAGGAAAGACCTACTAAATACTCTCAGTGCGCTAGCCAGCCTGATGAATAAGAATTCAACTGACAGTCTGATCGCGTTGGATATTTAGGTATTGGTGGAAGGGATTTTATCAGTAAATTTAGACAGTACTTCAGACAGACGTAGAAAGCCTAAACAAACCAAATAACAATTATGACAAAGCTACACTACACTATACTAAATTCACTGAAGGTTACCTAAGTTTTCATAAACTAACCTAACCTTTGCTAAGAACTCTCTTGCTATTCCCAAAATGGACCGGTTTCCCACTCGGCCTGATATACAGCATGAGACCACATCAATGCCCCAGTTGCTTGGTCAACGCTGCGTTGGTATCCAGACGGATGTGATTTTTGCCTTTGGCCATTGGCGTTCCAGATCGGCAAACCGGTATAATACTCTCGCGAGGACATTGGAAACCCACCTATGTTATAGACTGTACCCATTTCTGCCTGACAGCGCCTCCACCCTTGAACTAAGAGACGATACAGTGCGTATCTGAGGCTGCATGACGTATTTCTAAGGTTATGGCCCGTTAGCCTTCTTGTGATATGATTGATTCAAGGGTTATATATCTAGGTACCTACTTCACGGGGATCATCCAGCAGTCAATCGGACACGTGTCGCTCTTGATGTCATCAACCCGATACGCTCGGAATTGCAGAAGTACCAATCTAGATCCGTCGAAGCAAAAGACCTGAGGACACTGGTATTTGCTTGCGTATCTGGTATAGTTCATCAGCATTAGAAGAATAGCCCTTGAAGAATGCAGCTGGCTTACCCTCTAAGCTCTTGCGATAGACTTCTTTGTCCACTCCTGGTAATGGAGCCACTCTGCCATTGTTGCGGGTCAATAAGGTTGCGCTTAAACTCGCCAATGGCCACAGTATATCTTCTCTGGCCGTACTTTACAGAAAATGTACAGTCCACATTCTCGGATATGTTTTCTTCCGAAAGGGGTTTTGTGTGAGAGGTCTGCATAAGCGGTGGATAGTCATGCCATGCAGAAAGGACAACGTTTGTTATCTCAGTGTTGAACCAATTCTCGCAGTCTGCTTCGGTCTCCAGTCTCCAGTGTCGTTGATTTGTCCGGACGGCTGGCTGACGAAAGCGTAATTCGTCGTCATCCTCCATGCCCATGAAGGCATCCTCAAAGTTAGCATCAGTAACACCATTTCTTATGACGGTATGCACAATTGTCGTTTTGATAGGGTTGTAATCGTGGGCCCAGGCTTTATCGGATGTGGTCTTGTACCCAGGATTGGCCACTACGTTGGCGGGGTGCTGCTGAATGAGTTCTCCTGCTGTGGACATGGCTGTAAATGGTAAAGGGGAGATGTGAAAGGGCAAGTGTAGAAGACAGGTTCTATCTTGTCCCAAGCTTCTCTTCGGCTCTGGCCATGATATATATACAAGTATGGACAAGGCCATAGCCGCCCGTTGCACGGACGTATTAAAAATAGCGCACAAGAGAGCAAAAGAACCAGGACATCTTTAACCATTGACAAAAATGCCTCTGTGGACTTGTATGAACTTAGTAGGTATTTTGATTACTTTATTTGCGGCACCTAAGCTTGGGGTCAGAGTTTTCTTACTCCCTGAAGCAACACAACCAACAGGCACAGATGCGGGCGGTTGCAAAGTCTCATCTAATACGGGTCAAACAGAAGCTAAATAAAGTCATCAATTGCTTCATGTATTTTGCCGCTTGATGGCCGTTCTTTTAACAAGACGTTGACCAACATGCATGAGGACATCTGAGGGATGATTTCATTGGGTATACTATCCACCAGTGGAGCTTCTGCCTGATAACCCCAGTCGCCCTCAGGAACTGTTGGTTACTCAGCCACTGATGGCACGTGCGCATTTCGACGGTTGGTTTGTTGTCGACTCCTGAAATTTGACTTCGAGACACAACATTACCGCTCTTGCAATCCCAGCATTACCGCATAATGAAGGAATCAGATCAATTACCAACCGCCCTATCCTTTGGAATAGGAACTGCTGGGATTCGAAAAGCAGAAACCATTGTAAGTCTCGCCAACGCTCCAAGGTCAGTTGGTTGGCTGACACAATTGAATCTAAGCGCTTCCGATTTGGTACGAGGACTATCACAGCTACCGGTGAATCTTCAGACGACGTGCATCCTAATGTCTTGCGCCTGCGAGTTATGAGAACCTGCCTTGGACGGGCACTTCAATCCTTATTCTGGATCATATCTGGAGTCACTGGCCCGTGGCTGCAAAATAAATTCCCAGAATGGTTCCTACCAGAGAGAATTGTCCTGAAATCCCAGAAGCCAAATTGGGAAGAGGAATTCGACAAGGAACTCAAAGTATATCACAAACTTCAACCTCTTCAAGGCACCTTCATACCTCGCTTCTTCGGCATGATCCAGTATAATAATATCCGTACTCTGATCCTTTCAGATATTGGAGGGGAATGCCTCGCCACCCCTGAAGGCGCAGTACTCGACAAACGAGATCTTCGGGTCTTGTTAGATCAAACCTTCAAATCCTTGGCCGATCATGGTGCTTACCATGATGATATGAAGCTTGACAACTTTCATCTGGTGACTGACCAGGGAAAGGATAAGATTATGGCTGTTGACTTGGAGTCCGTTGAATTTGACTTATCTGGAGAGGAACTTACTACCGTGGCTAAGGGAAGCACCGACTGGATCATAGAACAGTATGAGAATCACTTGGAGTGCATGGAATTCGATTCAGTGATTCTCCCCAAGCGGGCTCTTCGAACATTAGTGTAGCTCACTCCGTCAGTGCGCCGCCTTGATTTCCCAGACTAGGGTTAGATACAGATGGCTTTGGACGTGCCACTGTCTTAATATTGTCACATGTCTTCGTGCTGGCGTTGTGGATTTTAATAGTATATTTATCTCCCCAATTGCTACTTGGCATGGATTGTCTTGCTGCTCAGATGGTGAAGATTGCTCAAGACTCAACGTTATTCTTCAACCGTTCTTAGGCCAGGTGCCAATAACGGACCAATCCTCACCGAAGACTCCCGTCTCCCCCCACTCCGGGCCACCGTGGCATCCCATATCCTAAACTCCAAGTCAGAATCAAGAAGCCTTCATTACAATAGAGAGACTTACCATCTATCCCTGTCTGCAGTCAATGTTGCCCCACTGGTTCTTAGTAGCCCAGTACCAAGAATCCATGACGGATCGCGCCTGGCACCCGCTTCCAGTGGTAAACGCCCAAACGAGCGAAGAGCCGCTGTTGTCATAGCCGCAGTACTGGTCGCTCACACCAGCACACTCAGGGTATTGGCCGAGGTTATTCCAGAGATTGCCGCAGACAGCATCGGCATTGGGGACCCAGGAGTTGGACCAGGCCTCGTAGCGACGGGACCAGTCGTTGGTGAGCTGGTTGGTGCAGCGCTCGTTGGCTTGAACGTGATCGGTCACGAGAGCGGCGAGGAAGATTGCTGAGATGCCGGTGAAACGCATGTTGAAGAGTTGATTGACTGTTGTTTGGAAAGGATTGAGTGAGTTGATTGAAGATGTTGTTGAAGATTGAAGAGAACTTGAGTGAGTGATGATTGTTTTCCAAGACGAGAAATAGACTGATATTTATATACAATGAGATATCGAGCCAGACGACAATCCGCAGAATTGAGTTGCTTGATGTGTTATTTACAGCTATGACCTGTGGCTGAAAGCTTGTACCGCCCGCATAACAGCATACCCCTGCAGAGGCTCGAGAGTAAAGTCGGTAAGATGCTAGGACCTTCACGGTTTCCTGTGCCGCATTAAAAACAAAAGCCGTGGCTGAAACTTATTTTCGCCGTCGCAAATTGAGCATCAAAAAGCAATTACTAGCTTCTGAGTAGTATCCGAGCATGTTCTAAATTTAATCCATAACTGCCGATAGTCACCTGAGCGGCAGTTAACTACTCGATATCCTTTCGTACTTATGGTTCATTTGCTTATGCTCTAGCAACTAGTTCTCGTCTTGTTGTCAATTGTTCCGCTTCATCCGAAGATAATCTCTCAGTTTTGTTGAGATTAGGTAACTCGGGCCACTGGAGTACTGCGGCAGATTGTGCGGTTACGGCCTGAGTTTGACGGTTCAAAGTGTAAATTGTGCTCGGAATGAGGATCTACAGAACCTCGTAATCTATGCTACAAAGCGTAAAAGCTAGGCAACGTTTCATGCCCGGAATCTTCGGTCTCATTGAGCGGTGTTGAGTGAGGTGGTCGTGGTGACTTTGGGCATAATAGAATATTACCATTCGCTAGGTATGCTGTCTCATCTATATAACAGAAAAAGAATGTCCTGCTCTAAGTGCATCCAGATATTGCCGAAACAGCAACGATGCTAACTATACAGAGATTGAGTAAAGTTAGCCATGATCCTCTTCTTCCTGTTGCGAAAATGTACAATAGTAGCCATCTGCCCAATCCCGGCAAAGGGGCCACCAGCACTCATAGCCCAGACATGTTTATTATGCGAAGAATCGCACCGACTGACAACCTTCTTCCTCTGCTTCTTGTTCCCATGCATATACGTCTCTGAAAGTACTTGCATAACCACCCGCGCAAGCCACCAACAGTTATGCCACTGGAGATGATACTGCGGCTCTTCATTGTGCACTATCAGTATAAGCTTAGCGATGTCGCTCAACCGTGCAGCGTTGATGTCCAGGTCAGCCTCCACGAGAACTCTATCATCACAAACGAGATTTTCTCGTGATGGCGCAAGAGTCACGACCAGTTGTGCCTGGTCTGTCAGGGCGTTCCTAGATGCCGAGCCGATGGGTAATTCGCCCATGCGCTCGATCCGCATCCAGGAGAGCCTTCCGTCGTTGGTCTTGACGCACATCAGTAGGTACTCATGCTCAATGATGCTTTTCTCTTGGAGCCAGACGACTTTTGTGACGTAGCCAGGAGTTTTGTGATTGATGATGTGTTCGATGAGAGGACGGTTGTTGTTTCGCCAGATCTCGGCACCTTCCCGCTGTAGTTGGGTTTGTAGTGATGAGCCTTGTACCAGACTTGGGAGCGGTGGTCCTCTTGATCTGCTGTTTGACATTTTGACGGGACTGTAGTGATGATCTGTGTGTGATGATCGATGTAAAATATGAAGATGTGAAGGATAAAAGGTTTGTTCCAAAGCGATTGATGGGGGGGGTTATGCTGTATCAGCTTGTTCAACATCGAGACTGAAACAACTGGGAAGTTACTTACATTTATATTATCATGTTCGGTAATGTCGCAGAACGAAAATAGTCACTTGTTTAATCCATTATCAATCGGCACAGCCTTATGACACTCAGCCACAAGGACAGCCAATCGCATCCTACCCTACAACTCCAAGTATACCCTGGTATGTCCGTCGGACTTCAAACTGTGCGGCTCGCAAGTCAGCAATCCCCCCGCATCAGGTAGGCTTAGCACTCGCACTCGGTTCAAATGTTTCAGCTAGGCCACCCTTCCAGAACAGCGCCTACCAGCGGCTGAGAATTCCACCTCGAGGGCCTCAATGGGTGGTCAGAGACAGGGTTTGGACAGCCAAGAATAGGGCGAAGCCTTATGCACCTACGGAGTAGTGATGGCCAGCAGAATTACAGGGCTGAGTCAGATGTGTAATATGCCATGGAAAAGAGGAATATTTATAGGTTAACGTATAAAAGAGCATTTTTATTTATACAATGACGCTATCGCCGCTTGGTAGGAGAAAGTTACCGAGACTATAGTATTATTTAGCCGATATCACTACAAGCAATGTCCGCAAAATTTCAAACCAACGAACCCGCTATCGAAGGCACAACTCCACCTCAGGATATCACCAACCCAGAGGAATATGGTAAAAACACTGAAGAACTCTCCCGGGAGATATTGTACCATGTCCTCCACCAACTCGAAAACCAAGCTTCAAAACAACCCTCCATCCCCTCATCACCCAAACCCAACAGCGACGACCTCGAAGTATTCCGCTTCTTCGTCGTAACCATGATCGCAATCTCCGTCTTCGGCGCCTCAACATTCGCCGTCATAGTCGGAGAAATGACCGACCCTGCAGACCTTTATACAACCCCAACATTTACCCTCAAAACAGTCCGATTATTCCTCTCAGTATCATGGCTGTCGTTTGCAGTGTCTATTGCGCTAGCTGGTTATAGCGGGAGCTTTTTGGCGCTGATGCGACAACAGGCAAAGGGGGAGATTGATGAGGAGACGATAAGGAAGTGGACGCCGCTAGGGCTTGTTGTTTCTGCTGCGTTGCATTTACTCATTGTTACGGGGTTTTTGTTCATGGCGCTTAGTTTGGTGGCGTATGTTGGAGAGTTTGGATGGGTTATTGTTGGGTTTTCTGGGTTGATGTATGTTGTGGTTTTTTATTTGCTTGGTGCGCAGTTTCGCGCGTTGTGAACTGATATGACCAATGGGCAAGCTATCTAACAGCGTCATGGATACTCACGGTACCACTCTCAGAAGATTATTTTCATGACACGATACTTTAAGCTTCTGCCTGAAATGGATGCTCTCCACGATTGTGTATGGAGGTTGAAAATGAGGCTGACGAGCGAATCCCCCCAAGCCATCCAGCAGACCCTGCAAGATCGCCCTGCTGACAGCCGCCACCACGAAATCGAACAGCTGGTTGAGCTTTAACTCCTAAAGCGAGTTATATTCTCAGTCGAGACTTGTGGATGACAGCTAATATCAACGCACGGAATTTGACCTTGGCCAGCGGTAGAGAGGATGTGATGCGGCAAGGAACCCAAACAACCCATGGTATGGTGGGAAAGTATGACGAGGATGGTGTCTTTTAAAGAATAGTCAAATTCAAAACCACTCGAGTAAAGAAATCTCCTAGGCAGGATGCTTCAAAGAGCAAGCGTCCAGATACCGAGTAACATATACGGCGTCATCGTTTGACTGAGGCAGTCTCACTCAGTAATAAGAACATATGCGAGAACAGCGAAAATGCATTTGGAGAGAGAAGGATTAGTTTTAGTTGTGGTTTGAGATAATTACTGGGCTGAGAGAGTTCTGTGCAAATATGAAGTCTGGTTGATCTCAGATTACTATGTGGAAGGCTTCTCCTGTCGGAGCGACGTCCCGAGGCTCAAAGGGCCGCGTTTCAACGGTTCTATCTAGTCCTTATGACATATCTAGCAACTGCTTTTCAATCACTTGGATAGTTATAAATTTCTGAAATAATTGCTGAATAAAGCTAGCAACCAGTAGATTGATGGGGTATAAACTAAGATTCCTCAAGAAGAGGGACTAACTACACAGATAGACTATTCTGTTTCCCTATTCATGTAGCATGAGACACTAAGCTCTTACATGAACTTGTGGAAGAATCGGCGCCAAGCAGGCCAAGAAGCAACCTTGGCACGGTAAGCGTTGATCTCGTCCCAGTCATGCTCACGAAGACCAGTGTCAAGATCGATCTTATCAACTGTGAGCCACTGAGGCTTCTTCCAGAAGTAGCCAATGACCCAGAAGAGGAGCACGACAGGAATGGCAAGGCAGGCCTTGAAGAAGTCCTCGGCGTTACCGTAACCTGTCTTGCCTGGGGGGCAGACGGCGACAAAGATCTGCATGGCGAGAATAGCGAAGCAAAGGGCGAGACCCAGCCAAGAGCCGTAAACGCCACCAGCAGCCTTGAAGGGGATTTGGTCGAGGCTTCGGCCTTGCTTCTTCCAGGCGGAGCGGAAGCGGATGTGAGCCTACAGGATCAGGTCAGTAAAGTGGAACAACAAGACGGCTCAAGGGTGAAACTTACGTAGCAGATGGAGCCCCAAGTGAAGAGAGCAGCGAGGGCAGAGACAGCCAGGAGCCAGTCGAAAACGAGACTGCCGGATGAGGCGAGGACGATGTAGGCGAGGGCACCCCAGATGAGGTTGAAGCCGACGGAGACGAGAGGTCGTCCGGAACGATCGATGTATGTGAAGATCTTGGGGGCGTAATCTTGCTCAGCGAGGGCAGTCAGAGTACGGGAGCCACCATAGACGGCAGAGACACCGATGGAGACGACTGAAATGCAGATGACCAGGTTCATGAAGCTGTCGTAGCCCTTGAGGCCAGCGTCCTTGGCTGCGAGCACGAATGGAGAGGTACCGTCCTTGTAAGGGTTGGCGCTGTTGAGGAGACGCTCATCTGTGGAGCTGACGAGCATGCCGACGAGAGTGAGACCAATGATGTAGAAGCTATCGCACGTTAGCATGAGACGAGGAGAATTGAGTCTGGTGAAGCTTACAGGGTGATACGCCAGAAGACCTGCTTGATGGCACCGGGAAGGGCCTTGGCGGGGTTGCGAGACTCGGCAGCCGCGAGACCGACCAACTCAGTACCGGCGAAAGAGAAGGCAGCTGTAACAAAAACACCACAGAAACCTCGGGAGCCGTTCTGGAAGGCGCCGGGATCATACCAGAGCTTGGCACCCTGGTACGTATCGAAGTCGCCATTGGAGGGGCCACCACCGCAGATGAGGATGATGGCAACGATCATGAAGATGACAATGGCAGCGAGCTTGAAGACGGAACTCCAGAACTCTTCTTCAGCATAGCCGAGGGTACCAAAGATGTTAATGACAATGATGAATATCCAGAAGACGGTGATCCAGACAGCTTCGTTGATGTCTTTATTCCAGTATTGCACCGTGAACGAGACGACTGTTAATTCGAGCGGCAAGACGATGACCCATTGAAAGACCTAGAAATGTCAGTGTTTCGATTGCGCGATACGGGATCAGCGGTGCTCACGTAGTTCCAGCCCATGGCGAAACCCCAGGACGGATCGATGAAGCGAGTAGAGTAGGTGTAGAAACCACCAGAGACGGGATACATGACAGCGAGCTCACCGAGAGCGTGGACGACGTTGAAGATCATGACACCAGCGATGGAGAAGCAGAGAAACACGGCGCCGGGACCGCCCTTTGTGAGGGCACCGCCGGAGCCGACGAAGAAACCGGCGCCGATTGAACCTCCAATGGCGATCATGTGGAGATGGCGCTTCTTCATGGAGCGATCGAGTTCGACGACGCCAGTGCCGTAGTCACCTGCGGAAACAAAGTTAGGGGATTGATTGAGCGGCAGTGACGGGCAGTGCATGCGACTCACGGCGCTGGAAGGACTTGAGGTTCAGACCATTGCGGGTCATGAAATCGTCCTCGCGGAAATCATCGCGAACGCCCTCAACATCACCAGTGAAGGTATCCTTGGTATGCGCCTTGACATGATGGTCATGATCAGGCGACGGGGGCGTCGCGCTGCCGACGTCGATCTTTTCCTCCTTGGAGGTCATAGTCACAGAAGAAAAAGAAGAAGAGAAGCGTGTGAAGAGTTGTGAGGGAGAGGGGAATGAAACCTGACGAGCTTGGGGGGGAGAAGTAAGAGGGGGGAATGGCAGTGGTTTTTATCTCCGAGGAGCGGAGGCTTTTTGTGTTACAGGGAAGGGAAGCTACCTTACACAAACACAGGCGATGGCGAAAAGGGCAGGAGATTGGGAATTGGAATCCAGAAGGTGGTGGGAAAGTCGTGTAGCGTGCCAAGACAATGATAAGCATCGAGACGCGGAGGAAGAGGGAGAGAGAAGCTGCCAAGTAGTTCTAGACGAGGCAAATGGAGGGAGAGTGCTACATCCCCTCGAGCAAGGGTTGGGCGCTGTTCTGTTGGTGCATGCATCTTTCCAATATAATTGAAGCTGTTGGGTTGTATTTCTGCATGATCCCATGTCATGTCGTGTAAATAACCCCTACCTCAGCACATGTATTTTACTCTGTACAAAATGTTCAACTCCATTTCCCCAGGAAGCTTTGACAGTTAGCGAGTGAGTAGCCACTAACTGGGCTGATTTACAGTGATGACAGTGCCCCGCACTTCAGTGCACTACCCGACATCCGCTCACCAACTTCAGCATCAACATTTGAGTTTCAATTGACAGTAAATGCAACGCGTGATGCAACGGACATGATACTGAGAAGGGAAGGTGCAACGATCGATCTTCTCACTGGAGAATTGCACGGGTTGGGGTCCGTCTTGGCGCATTGCATGTCTTGGGTCTGATTTGGGGTTTCCTCTCTCTCACTCAGACTCACCATGCACAGGCTAAGCTACTAAGGTAGAGAGGTGGACCGTGGCGCTGGGAGGGAGGGCGAGCTAAACAACAAGCTTAAAATGTTTATCACGAGGTATGGGTGGGTATGACGCGCTGGCTTTTGTTTGCCTTGCCGCCTTCAATCGATCGTTTAATTAAGTGGCGAGCAATCATTCAGCAATGTTACACATGAGTTTGACCGTTGAAGCATTACAGTTACTCCAAACTCGCTTCCAAGATTGAGTCCTACGCCCAGCTTTTGCCGAGAAATCTGTCAAAAAATCCCGAACGCTTGGGGCCTCTGACACGCCAAGAGATTCTGTATCATCTTGAAAGGGAAGGAGATAAAAATGACATGAGGATGTTTATTCCCCAATCATCAGCTAAACTTGTCAAAGGTTGGTGGCTGGGTCAGCCAATTGTGCTGAGATGCATTATCTCCATCCTCATTGAGATTGGCCGTGCAAATCCGGGGATGCGATCGGGCAAAGTGGGAATTTATTACGTTAAATATTGCCAGAGGAACTGGGGCCGTTGATGTTTAAATTAGAGCCTGTGTTATTGGTTGGGCATTTGAGTCGGGATAAACACTCCTAAAGACAGTCTCACTTCTCATCGCCACGACTGCACGCATTCTTCACACTCAATGTCAAGTGAGATTCGCTCGAAACAAAAGATCATTCCATTCTCCAATCGTCTCCCTTATCTCTTGGCCAACTCCAACCCGGTAAGATTACAACCGTAATCTCTCTCTCGCACAAGCCCCAACCAACAGAACATGCACTTCTCCTCAGCGCCAAGACAGCCGAGTAGTCTTGGCAGTGATAAAAAACCAAGAATCGAACAAAAGCCCAAATTGACTCCCCCAAATGGGGAATGTCCCGTGGTAATCCCCAACACCGCAAACCAATAACAGCAAATCTTCGTTTCTTGGCGAACAGCTGGTCGGCCGCACGTAGACAAGCCACTCGCTGTAACACTAGCAAAAGGGCCCCAGGAATTCTGTCACTATGACAAACGGAAATCCCAGACTTGGGAATAATCTACGTCAGAGTCTGGGGAAGCTTTGCGGGGTAAACAAAGGACAGTGAAAATGGTAGTTAGGCGTGAGAGCGACACAGTAATGATATGGATAGAGAGGAGACAAGAGTCGCGGTCGAAATAAGAAAGCGCCGTAGCGGATCAGAGACATGGAAGGGGCCCTGCTGTCATCACTTAAAAAAATGCACGACTCTTTTACCTTTCGGAGACAACGTCCCCTTCTGGAACGGCAGTCAGAATCATACCACCCTTTCACGGCGTAGTAGTTTCACAGGGGGGATACAAAGGGTTGCAGCCGATAAGACCTCTCATTCGCTTTATCTAAAGCTGACTGCAAAAAAAAAAAAAAAAAGAAAAACCCCGGCTCAGCGAGGGAGCTAAGGTATTCTTAGCTCATGCGCCTTCTCGTCGTCTTCGAATGGTGACTCGGCGCGATGTTCTTCCAGCACCGTTTTGCCTCGCATCTGCGCCCAGACCGTTTTGTACACTGGCTTGGCGAATAGCGCGTCCATGTCTTCGAGGGTGATGCCTGTGATTATATGCATGTCAGTCACATTGTAGAATACGTCTAGAAGGATTTGTCACGCACCTTTTGTTTCGGGGACGAAGAACGTAGCCCATATTCCCATTAACACGAGGATCGAGCTGAAGAAGAAGTACGCGCCGTAGCCCAAGTCAGAGATCATGTAGGGCGTCGAGCGCGCGATGATGAAGGAGCCGAGCCATGTATCTGCTGTCGTTATGGCGACGCAGAGCATGCGGATGTCGAGGGGGAAGATCTCGGATGCGTATGTCCACGTGATGCCCTGCCATGTCGCACAGATGATGATGGCGTTGATGTACACGCACACGATGGCGAGGTATCCCCAGCCGTCGCGGTTCACAACACCAGCTGCGGCTGCGGCTGCGGGGTCTGCTTCCATCACGTACCCGCCGATATACCACATGGGAATACAGCCGAGTGCAGCACCCCAGACGAGACCCTTGCGACGACCGACTTTCTCAACGACCCAGAAGGTGAAGAGGACCATGCCGAGAGTCTTGGAGATGCCGTAGAAGCCAGTGGAGAAGAGCTTCAGTGACGTACCGGGGATACCCAGACTCTCAAAGATACGGGGTGCGTAGTAGGTGATGATGTTGACGCCTGTGAAACTCTGCAGAAACATGAGAGCCATGCCGATACCCATGCGGTTACGCACACCCTTTTGGAAAAGCTTCTTGAACTGCTGCTTCTTGCTCATCTTGTTCGTACTGCGCTCCTCAACCTGCGCACGAATATCACCCAGCTCCCTCCTAACATACTCATGGTCCGCAGGAAGACCCCTAATCTGCGCGAGGATCTTCTCCGCCGCTTCAAAGTGATCACCACGCGCCAACCATCTCGGCGATTCAGGACACCAAAGCATACCGAGCGCAAGACCCAATCCAGGGAGGAGCTGCACCGCCAGGGGCACAATCCACTGTGTTTTTGTGTTCACGTCGATGGTACGGTCAGTAGCGTAGTTGATCCAGAAACCAAGCATGCCGCCGCCCTGCGAGGCGATTTCGAAGATACCCACGAGACGGCCTCTGATTGATGGAGGGGCTGTTTCGCTGATGTACACGGGGACGGTGAGGGAGGAGGCGCCGAGGCCGAGACCGGCGACTGCTCTGCCGCCGTAGATCATGTTGAGGTTGCCGTTTGCAGCGGTCATGAGAGCGCCGCCGAGAAGGAAGACTAGGGCTGCGCCCATGATGGTCTTTCTACGACCCCATTTCTCGGCGATGGGGAAGGTGAACAGCGCACCGAAGAAACAGCCAGCCTGGAAGTGTCAGAGAAGAGACAAGAGAAGAGGGAGGGGATGTTACCTGAAAGGTGGAGACGATGTTTCCCTGGATGGTGTCGCGTTGGGTCTTTTCGACGAGGTCTAGGCCAAAGTCCCTCATGAAAGAGGTCAATGCCATGGTACCTATCTGGTCAACACGGGTTTGTTATATAGTACGGGTAAGTGGTACAAACCTCCAATAACAGAAGTATCATATCCGACTGCTCAAATCAGTACATCGCCTTTCAGCACAGCTTGTGAACTCACTGGCGAGGGCGGACATGCTAGCCACCGTGGCAATCAGGTGGATTCGCCAGTTCCGCACCTCAGGCGGATCATTGGTGCCCGACGCATGAGTATTCCAGCCCATAGATTATCGAAATGAACAAAGTTGTCAGTAAATATCAAGATGATAAGGTCAAGATTTGTTTGTCAAAGACAAAAGAAGCAAGCAAGTAGATAAACTGCAAAAGTATCTGTCTTCCCCTCTTCTGAGCACGGGGGCATTACGGCCTTTTTATCTTTGCCATGACGATATCTCTCTGTCTGGGGCTGGTCCCCCCGTTGGAAAAACAGCTCGGGGTCTATTTTGCTCCACGTTTTCCCCGTGGGGTAGGTATCATGGGTGCGAGTGTGGAGTTGCCAAGATTGGGATGAGGGGATGATCGAGGGTGTCGCTTTTCCGTGGTGATATTGCATTTCCGTGCGAGTTTTTGTTCATATGGGTTGCAGACGTTCTTATCATCTCACCATTTTCAATGATGTATGTGGAACGCCCTCGAGCACCACACTCAGAAAAAGGCTTTTCACAGATGTCAAATATCGACCCATTCGCTGTACAGAAGTTGTAATGTCTCTATCTTCGATATCCTTTCTCCCCGCCAAGTGCCTCAAACATAAGGGTCTTATTGCCGACTCTTGGAGATCTACCAACCGGCCCGCCATTCAGAGTTTAGCTCCCGACACAAGCTTCAAGCATAAATTTAAGCGTTACCGTCTCCACTCCAACACGATTGGTCGTCGGCGAACAGAACTATGCTCCGAGACGCACCTCTTCCCCGCCTGAATCAGTCGATTGCTTATGGCGAATACTACCCTGTGCTTTATCCTCTCACAGGGACTTTTACAAGCGTTTACTTGGCGCCAGTGAAGACCTTCGTAGATGAGTCTTTATGTGGACTAAGCTGCCTCCGCTGCCGGTCTTGGCCGTTGCTTATCATGAAGGGTCTTGTTATCCCCAACCTGCAGCCTGGTCTTCGTGTTGTACAACTGGTTAGTTTTACGCACCGAGATGACCTATTGGCTACACAGCCACCTGTTTGCTCGCGTGAGAAGTCATTCCTCGGGATAACTCGGATCCTGTCGTCTGAACCTAGCATGACTGCAACATAGATCTGTAACCGAACCCAGGATCATCATGTTGTCGTTACATCCCCGCACTCATGGCCCCATATCTCGAATAAGCTTAAATCACTTGGCGCCAGTAAACACCCCGAAGAAGGTCAACAACCTGGCTGAGCCTGTGGAGATAACTTCGGAGGATCGGCGTTTAAAGGAATTACCCCACGGGGATATCGTCGAACCGACGTTGGTAGTGTCTGATAGCTTCATGTTACGGGCGTAAACAGGCCTCAGTTGCGGAAATCAGTATCCGTCGTTAGTCATTCGTAGTCAAGTGGGTTGAGTGTGCTGCATGCTTGCATTAGTTGCAGGTTGTGAGCAAACGCACTGATATGGACCGCTCTTGACTTATGATAGAAACATCTTGTTTCTTGAATTCTCGGCGATCTCTTAGTTAGGTTCCTTTATGTGTCTTGCTCTCTGGATAGGTAATTCTTCGCAATGCCAGATGGGGCTAGTTCTGGTCGAGGGATCTAGCATTGATCAGAACAGCTTCCGTACCGAGGCCTCGTTAACCAATTTCTTCTCTTGGGTTTCTTCCCAGATGGATTTGACTAGGCTTTTGACCCTGCACAAAAGATCCCTCGTTGGGAGCTCTTTCTTTGACGCTTCTACGGCTCAAAACCTAGAAGATTTTCAAGACTTTGCCCATGGTGACAGACTGGTGAATACTTGTATGAGGCCCTACTTCTTACTCTATCTAGTTTCATTGTATGCTTTCGTCTTCTGTATTGTTCTTTCAAGGGAACAAGATGACAGGTCAAGCTGGCCTGGTATCGTAGGCTGGGCGTGAGGCCTGACACTTCACGTTATGGCATTCTTGTATTCGCTCGGTCAAAGAGAGTAGCTTGGCGAAAAGCTGTTCCCCTTGGTTACCTAACTCTTGTTGGCTCAAATCCAATTGTACAGAAATAATCACCAAGATTTCGTGAGGCAACGGATTAGGAGTGCAAACAAAGGATTGAGCCCTTGGCGGTCACAGGCGATAGTACGAAGGGTGAAATTCCTCTCATTCTAGCGTACTAGGTTTAGTCTGCCAGATCAACCCTTTAAACTGGTTCAACTTCATCATGTGTGACCAGCTCCAACAGTAATTAACTTCTGTTCGATTTGATCATGTCGCGCCTGATGGTGAAACAAGACCTCACGACCGACATAACAGCCAAAGCTCCAGCACCTTTGTATAATTACACAGCCTTTCCCGAGTGTGAGAGTAAACAATTTCTTTTTCTTACCCATTTCAGACTTGACATGCTTAGAGCCACCGTGTCTAGTTCACATAGACGTAGTAATAATATAATGGTGTGCGAAGATGGATCTGTGCCTAGGTAGCGAAAAGCATAAATGATGTCTATTCTTTTTGTCGTTTTTTCAATATTTTCCCTGCAACAAGTAACTTATCAAAACAAATCCAAACAACCTATATATAATACGAAGAAAACGGCTACCCCTGGTGAGTTTCGAGCAATTTAGTGATCTCAGTGTGCCCCTTTTTAACAGCTGGGTCCCGCGCGGTAATGCCTTTGCAACCCTCGGCATCAACCTCAGCCCCGTGTGCCAATAGCACTCGGACCACATCTTCATGTCCAAACTCAGATGCGACTGACAAAGGAGCCTGATGCATTATAGGATCAGAGGCTTTCGTGTCTGCCCCCTTCTTGAGGAGTAGCTGGACGACATCAAGGTATCCATTTGCCGAAGCTACATACAGCGCCGATTTGAATCCCGTAGCAGTGGCTTCGATATAGGCTCCATACTTTAGAAGCAGCTCTACGTTCGCCGGTCTGTTTTTGAAAGTCGCCCAGTGGAGTGGCGTTCTCAAAGTCTCATGGTCTATGGTCTCGAGATCTGGGTTGGCATCAAGGAGAAGCTGCAAGAGGTCTTCGTTTGTTGTTGAAGCTGCCAAAGATAGCGGGGTGTGATTCATATCATCGGCTGCGTTAACATCCGCACCTTTCAGGAGTAGTACCCGTGTAACGCCAGTGTGTCCGTTAGCAGCGGCCCAAGACAACGCCGTGCGCCCATATGGCTCATCTTTGACTTCTATCCGGGCACCATGATCCACAAGGCACTTGATAGCTTCTTCATGGCCTTCACGTGCTGCCCAGAGCAAGGGTGTATGTCCATCTGTATCGGCCAGTTCAACATCTGCCTGCCTGTCGAACAACTTGTGAATGGCCTCAACGTCGCCAGCTTGGGCAGCAAACGATAAGGCGGTTCGACCCGTATCATCCCGAAAGTCCACGTGGGTAACGTCTTTGGGAACCACTGGGTTTGGATCAAAGTCGACCGTTTTGTAAGGGACTTCATCTAGAGGAGGAACAGCCATCATAGACAGAGACTTTAATTCACTGGCAACATGGTTCAGGACCAAGCGTCGCACTTGATCTAGTTCATGTTAACCAGTTTCCAGCATCTTCTGTGCCTCTTCGGGGATTTTCTCGCAAAGAGGGCAGGCGAATTCGTCCCGATAAAAATGCTTCTGTTTCCTGGCAGAATAGGCACCAAGAGTGCGTGGATCAGGAGCCTTTAGATATTCTGGGTGAGGCTCAAGGATATGGCTGCGCCATTGATGTTCGAACTCAAAGACCATCGGGCTTTCATGGCCGAAATCGCAGTACCATGAGCGTGTATGGACTCTTTGCAACCACTCTTTTGAATGCTTGGATTCCATATGTTTTATCCAGTCTTTACGGTACGCAAATGACTTGAGAGCTTTTGCACACTCAGGGCTAAGGCAAGGATAGGGTTCGACGTGTTAGTTGATATGATGTATCCAGAATTCCAGCATGTCATCGTCGGATCGCCTTAGCACCATTTCCTTGGTGCAGAATGGGCACCGAACTCCATCTAGCCTGCGAAGGGTTTCGGGCCAGTTGGGCTTCAGTCGCGCTTGAATCTTGACAATATGGGGCAACGGAGGATACTCGGACAAATTGTCTTGTAGATCAGTGGGAGTGTCCCAAGGCCATAATGCTGGTGTTGGTAGTTTGCCTTGCAAGATAATGAGACGCTTTTTGACAACCGACTCCACCAACTGGTCGCATAAAGCTTGGCGTGCAGCTGGAAATCTATCACGAATCAAGCGCGAGGTCTTTTGTCGAAAACCTATGTCTTTGTCACCTGGAATAGTCGTGAGCGACAACTCGGTTTGTTGAGCAGAGGATGTTTCAATTTCGGCAGCCATGAGGTTTAGCTGATCCATAGCAGACTTTGCGGCGCATGCAGCATCTTGCCAGGTCAACCAAAAGGCATCCTTTGTACCCTAAGAGGAGGAATTCTCGATCTCTGATGTGGCTGTGACTGTTTTCCAGTAACGAAATTAATTTCATGCTTCAAGCGAGCGGTGGAAGGCGGAGTAAAAGAACTTACTGCGGTTCAGGTTTGCCAAAACCACTTCTAACAATTCAACGATCATGTCAGAGACATGGTTCATCCCAATGAGCTTTTCATCGAGCGAGTTCATCAGTGTCAGTGCTTCGGTATTCTTGACCCAGTACATAAGCTGTTGCGAAGCCCGAGAATGTTAAACGGCGAGCGCTTTCCCTTTCCCAAGGGCGTTGCTCCATCGTCTGGATAGATCACGCGTTTGAGGAGTTCTTGGTCATCAATCTCCTCGATTTGACTAAGGCGAGCGATGCATTTGTAAGCGATGGTGTAGATTGGCATAGGCATGACCGTGTCTGTATAGTCGCTTGTTTCGTCCATGGTGTCGTGTTTGACTTGAGTGAGCAGCGAGGCAGAGATGCGAGACAGAGATGCAAATTATGGACGCCGATTCAGGTTTATATCGTTGATAGGCGGTAAACAAATTGATGAGGGGCGCAGTTGATTGAAAGGGCACAAGAATTCCTTTGTGAAACACGAGGGATGTGTTGGGGATTGACAAAGCTGTGTAACAAGAGTGTAGGAATTCGAGTGGCCCCGAGTCGAGGGCAACAAAGCCCTGATCAAAGATATTCGCAGAAAGAAAGAAAACCTGCTCAGAACTGGCGTTTTACTAATTCGGGCGTTCTTTGTTAACTGTACCTCTTCTGTCGAGCCTATTGCAATTGTATCGCAGTGCCCAGCACAATGTCGGAGACGTCCCGCTCCACCGTGGCTGAGAAGTGGAAAGTGCTACACGCTGTCCTCCCAGTGTTCTATTCTGCTTCGTTGGAACCAATCGATGGCGGTGTGAATCACGGCGATTCAGGCGCCATGGGCGACGTTGACAGTGTCCACCTTCAGCATTCAATCACGGCTCTTAGGACGGATCTTAAACTCAATATGTTAAGACAAGGTCACATTGGCACTCAATGGCTAATACGAAGTGACATAGACTTGGAGAGCCTTGCAGGTGGCCTTCAAATGCTTTTCGAAGTCATGGAGAATTTATTCAATGAGGACTTTTATGCCTGGCCGAGATATGAGGTAATCACCTTGCTCACGAACTGGCGATCATTGAAACCCTCTGCTAACGTAATACTGATTATTACAAGGTCCACATTGCCTCAGCTGATGGGAACCCGAACCTAAGGAAATATCCAAGACTGATGTTACTTTGGGAAACTCTTCAGATGCACGAGATTGGACACAGAGGTACCAATGACCAATCCTACGTTACCTGGAGGCAGAGATATAGTCTTGACTCAGTGCGAGAGCTGTCCAGACTTAAATCCTTCCCCAGGGATTACGAACGACTCAAAATGCTGCGCAAAAATTTCAGTCACTTTCGATTAGAGATGGACAATATTACAGGTCAACGTATCCCAAGATACAGACCCGAGGTCAGAATAAATCCCTTCACAACTCTAGACGCACAAACCATTCAACAAGCTCACGGGATTGCCGCTGCGTGCGAGTCACTTTTCATACAGATAGCGGCCAGTAACGCATACGGAAATCATCACGGAGCGAAGCTTCACCTCCCTGGCTTCAAGATGGATCAGCTCAAGTTGGACATCAGCACATTTCAGGGAACTGACATGGTCCCCGCCGTCTTCACAAGGTAAGTCGCTTCCGCGCACACAGTAATGTCTCTGCAAGGTCTAACGATGGGGAAGATCCTTCGACCGCCCTCCAAATGTAACGTTTGACCCCGGAGATATCTTCTTCCTCGAGTCTTCCAACCTAAAGCGCTCTGGTATATTGCATTTTGCATTCAATGAAGACTTCATATGGATTCAGAATGCCGGAGGGGAAGTTCCGTCACCAAGCAGTTCTGTAGGTGAAGAAACTCTTGATCTCCATCTTGGCAACTTGTATACCTTTCCGCCTATGCACCGCAGGATGACTTCTGTTCTTTTCGCGGCTTCAATGTTCCAATTAAGCGACACGCCCTGGATTGACCCGCGTCTTGACCTCGCACGGGCTTTCCTGCCGATGCCCATCGACGAAGACCTCCAACAGTGGTATCCCAGGATCTATTGCAATTTGGAATTGGGTCAAACCACGTCGCCACAGAGCGACAATATCGCCGCCCTCGGCGTGCTACTCATGCAATTAGAGGCTGCTCGCAAGTCCGAATGGTTGCCCGACGCCGACGAGGACTGGCTTACTGGGCAACGATCCAATCAAATTTCCGCTTGTTTCGAATGCTAAGGGACGTGAGATTGAAAGGCCATGTCAGCGATGGCTATCGTCAAATTGCTAGAGATTGTCTCGAATTTGATGGCTTGGTTGATGACCTCGAGCATCCAGAAATTGGTGTACAGAGGAAAGCACTAACTATCATTTACAAATGCATCTTGGGACCTCTGTATGAGCAAGCCACTAGCCACTTTGGGGACTTGAAAGATAACTTCAATGGCGTAATTGGGTGTGAACCCTTTTCCGTCCCAACAGCGGGAAGTCACTTAGCAACGGCGAAAAGCATAACCCTCTTCGACGATGAGGATTCAGGACCAAGTGAGGAGAAGAAGTAAGGCATTGCACCCCAAAAAAAGCACAGTGACTTTTGCTAAACAAATCTACTCCGATAGGAAGATGTCTAGAGAATTTCGCGAAAACCTCGAGGCTTTTTTCAAGTACATCGGGGTGATTGGGCAAGAAAAACCACAAATGGGGCAGATAGCCCCCCCAAGATACGAATTGCTGTTCTGGATTCAGGTGTTAATGTGAATGACTTCGCGATTCACTATGGTATCGAGCAGCGTCCAATCAACTACGAGAAAAGCAAAACCTTTGTCCACCCAAACGAAAAAGGCGCAGACAACTGGCGGAAAGACACTTGCGGTCATGGGACACACGTCACCGAACTCCTTCTTGAAACAGCGCCCGCGGCTGAGATCTTTGTTGGCAAGATCAGCACTGACAAGGTAATCAACCAAGAATACATGCCAGGAATTGCAGAGGTGAGTTGTCCGTTCAGCCGAAACACCTGGCTGTGCCTTGTGAAACTCCGATGCTGACATGTCTGCGCAGGCAATCACCTGGGCTGCGAATGAATGCGACGCTGATATTATTTCACTGTCCTTCGGGTATGAGGATCACGACGAGCTGATTGAACAGGCGCTGAAGAATGCAATTTCTAAAGGCAAGCTCATCGTTGCTGCAGCGTCCAACAACGGAGGCTTGAAAGGGCGGTCCAGGCCTGCGCGCCGAGAGGGTGTACTGTGTATTCACGCCACAGACGGCAAAGGAAACAGTGGTGACATGAACCCTTCATCCCTGGAGAGAGGCGATAATTTTGCCACCCTCGGTGTCAGCGTCTGTTTCTACAATGCCCAAGGGGATCTTTGGAAGTCGGGTACCTCGTTCGCAACACCTATCGCAGTTGGGTTCGCAGCAGCAGTCCTCGAGTTTGCCAGGTATAGAGAGACCATTGGCTTCCCCATCAAGCGGGGCAACCTCTTGCGGGAGAAGAGGGGTATGGAGGCTGTTTTCAGAGTGATGGCTCAGAAAAGGCATGGGTACGACTTCATCCATCCCTTTCGAATCTGGGGGGATAAGCACTGTAACTTGGCACAATTGTCAACAACCTGGAGGAATATTTTTTCCATTGAACCAGGGGCTCAATAACGTGGTTCCCATTCCTGATGAGCAACGCTACTACGATATGACTTCTGATACCCTTGCGGATGTTCAACACTCTCGTGATGGTCAAGGAGGCCTACTTGTCAGCGCACTCGATGGCATCATTGGCGGCAATGCCAGTCTCCACCGGGGAAGACACGACGGCGACGTATACAGAATCGACAACGTGGAAACTACCCACTTCTACCCGGAGGACGACTACTATGAGAAGTGCCTTCAGCTTCACCAAGTGGAGAGATTCAACAAGAAGTTCAAGTACAAAAAGCCCATCTATCTTATCACGGGGCTGAAGGTTGCCCACCGTGCATCCATCACTATGGGAAGTGGCCGCCAGACCGGGGGCAATACAGAGGCCAACGTTCAAGTTCCCACAGTGCCCGTCGACCTGGAAGTTGGGGCTCAGGCTGGAGCATCCTCTAGCTCTGAGGTTGTGTCTTCCTTCACTAAACCTGACGCCTTCATTCTTGCCATCCAAGTCCGAAAGATCTACCACAAACGCGCGTTCCTTTCCGGCGAAACCAAGCTTGTGACGGAAACGGTGGTCAAAGGCGCTGTCCTCGTCGACGATGATGACATTGAGGACAAGGACGACGAAGCTGAGGTGGTCGGCTATGAGCTTCATGATCTGGATGAAGAAGACTTGAAAGGTCTCACTCTTCTGAAGGGCGAGGATGGGGATGAGGCTTAGGTTCTTCATGTCAGCGAGCTTAATGCTTGGCTTCGAGACACCATGAGGAGCTACTAGACAGGAGATAGCACTAGATTGAATACACAAGGATACGGGCAATCATGTCAAATTTCCACTCGCTTTGAGGTGACACCATGAGAGAAGGCTATTTTGAACGATTTCACCCGTCACATCTGATCAAGAGTGCTTGATTTGTTTGAGGGTTAACGTGCGCAGCAGCTTCATGCCCAGAGCTCATCTCTTCTACCAAGTACGTCTCCTGTGAAGGCGAGCGCGGCCGTGCCAGCCAACGAGCCGCTGTTGTGATCACCCGCCAAGGTCTCAAGAGGGCCCAAGTTGATGCATCGGTTATCATGGACCCTTTGCAAAGGAATCATGGACTGGAGCATCAACCTTCGGCTGGGCGCATGGAATGGCTGGACACTATCGGCAGGGTATTGGTAATCGATCGGCATGTCAAGGCGCTGAAGGGCCACGTATCGCCAATGGGTATATTATCGACGACGGTTCGGTCCTGGGATACGACGTGTCGGGATAAAGTCCTAGAGTCTCGGACCATCGGGGTGCGATGATTCGCCAGCTGTCTGGGAGAGAGTCTGGGGAGTTTTCAGCTGAGGACGGGACAAGAGCCTGTGGCAGGGATTACTCACCGACAATCATCCCAATGCGTTTCTCTGTCCTGAGATGCGCGCGGTGTTGCCTAGTGACACTCTGCGGCTCAAGACGGCACGAGAGCCCTGATACCCTCCCTACGTTCGTAGGCCTGACGTGTCGGAAGCTGGGTATAGCGCCAGCTATTGCCGCAGATGCAACGATAAGGTCGAGACGAATAAATGGTTGATGAAGGGGCGGGTGATTCTGACTATATCGAATGCATTCGCCAGGCGTACCAGTTCCCGATCAGGACTTCAACGCGTGGCGCGCTGCCTGCTTCAAAATGTTGCCATCGGTCGCGAGAACAGAGAAGGATCTCAGCGCAAAGAGAAAACTGGCCCCGCACTGAGTCGATGACATATGGTACGAAGAGACGCCAATCATGATCAATCTTGTGTGGCACAAGTTTATCAGGCTGTCAGAATTCATATTCGCTTATGCAAATACGAGTGACAATTGAGGCAGTCATTGTCACATATCAACATGAAAAGCTCTTGAGACGGGAAACCGCTGGGGGTAGAACATATGGCCTTGGTCCAGACTTTGATGATATCCAATAAATCGGCGTCAATAAGTTCGCGGATCACAAGCAGTGAAAACGGCTGAATGTTCTTTGAGCGTCCAACTAGACGCCCTTCCCCTCAAAGGCCTTTACCTGTCTGCCTGTACAGTGTTGGCTTACGCTGAAATGGCCATTGCAGATGGATGGTTTCACAATACACACCTGCAACTATACCTGGCGCGTGGTATGCCTCTTGGCCTCGCGGTTACTCTCAAAGCGCGAAAGCCGAATTTCGCGGGAGTCTGTTTGCCTTTGTTTCAGCCACCGGATGTCACGACCTGGGCTATGCAAGAGTTCTGTACGATTTCATCCTTGCCTTGATATCTTTGTAGTTAGTCCAGTAGTCCATTCGGGACAGGGTAATGACATCCTTCGCGGAAGCCTTGTTTCATAATTTCCGATGGCAAGGAGATGAACTCCATGTTCGCCAATGAGGGCTGGATCTGGGCCGCATCCAAACACCGACACGATCGAGATAGAATGCCGATCATATGCTGACTTAAGAACCTAATCGAATATATTCCGATCGCCGCACCATGAAAAAGCTCACAGCACACACCCAGTTGAGACTTGTGGCTGAGAGCATATTCCGGCACAGAGAACCTAGCACACCCAGTGTGAGTATTTTCGGGTATTATCGTGGATCGAAATTTGACATATCAAATAGGCAAGCTGGTACAACCACACAACTCCAGAGTCTCAACCTCTTGAAATCTAGATTGACTGTTTGTACCTTCTACGGGTCTAACCAATAAGAGCACGGTAGCCAAAACAGCATCAGTTGGAGTGGCTGAGAGCGTATTCTGGGAGAGAGAACCTAGGAGCGGCTAAGCCTCTTTCTTCTTGCCGTTCTCTCCCCCGTAAGCCCCATTCTCTTCACCTGAGGCTAAGGCACAGCAGTTCACAGACTAGCGCTATAGGGGCCGCTTGGGTGACTCCAGCCTGGCGAAGTATCGAGCACTGCTGTGTCAGGTCACGAGACGAGAAGTCTTTGCACATCGACGTCATTGGCAATGATGTTACAATATGCTAATCCGCTGATTACAGCCTCCTACATGGACTCTGTACCAGAATACCGAGATCACAACTCCCAATTGTTTTGTTCTAGCCGCATATAAACTACAAGACCTTGATGCTGATAGCTAGCTATCATCCCAGGCGAGGCAAACGCCTCCGCCAACCTGGACCCCATGGTCTTCTTCAATTGCCTCCCGCTGTGCTTGTTCTTGCTATGCCTGTTATTCTTCTTGGAGCTATCTTTAGGAAGGGAATTTTGTTCTTATAGGAGCTTTACTCAATCTCAATAGAAGGAATCTCATGACTGCCCTCTAAGGGCCGTCCACCCGGCTTGCCTTCGGGGACCCTGCTACTGGCCTCCTCAAACCGAGGCCAGCCCAATCTGTCGCCTGTCCTCGGAAGAATCTTCTTCCGGCTGACCTGATTGAGCCGGTGCTAACGTAGATCTTCTGGATTTAGATGCTAAGAATAGAGCCGGCCAGTTTGGCAACGGAAGACACATCCTTTGAGTTAAGAGACTGCCTCAGCTTGCACCCTAACTTACAGGCCAACAGGCTCTGCGGTGCTGGTAATTTTGATGACCATTTGTGTTAGCTCATGTAATTCTGGAGCGAGCAGTTGAACAAAGTCTCCCAAAGACAAGCCCCATGTTCCAGGCATTCATTACGAGCAGTTTCGAAGACCCAAGCTATTTGTACTAGTTCAATTTATTCGCCACGAGTCTCAGAACAGATCCAATTCAGAGAACAAGCAATGAAGTGTCCGGTTTTGATCTTTCCAGAGCTTTAGTTCCACCATTGTTCACAGCAGGGTTGCCAGTTCGTTCAGGACATCAAGTCTCGACCCAGAGTGTGCCATAACTTAACCTGATACTATGTTCAGAGGCAATACATTCTTGTGATATATAAAGCGAGTTCTTTCTCCCATTTCAGTTAAAACAACCATCCTCAATTCATATCAATCTCTCAACAGCATAAATCTCAATTGGTGCTCACTTTCTATTTATCTATCTTACAGTTGATTCGGGACCTACACGCGACCATGGACGAAGTTCACCATACCGAAACGGCTCTTCCGATGCCTATTTATACCATCACTCGCCAATGCCTCCTCTGCTTTACACGTATCGAGGAGAGCAATGACAAGCTCTTCCTCCAAATGATCCGCTCGAGCGAAACTGTGCCGCTCTTAGAGGATGGAAATCGCAGCATCAAGCTTGACTTTCCAGCGCTACGCCAAAACTTCTTGTATTGGATTGGAACTACAGGTGCCCTGAAGCTATCGCCCTCCCTTGATGAGAAGCTCAAAGGGCGTGATCGTATATCCGCAGAGGTGTTGGATTGGTTAAATGTGATTTTGAAAAATCTGAATCGCAGTAAGTTCTATTCTCTCCCTACACCACTGGCTTGGATATTCAACTAACTTTAAACAGTCACAGACAAACCTCATCCAGATACAACGCCCCCAAAATACACGCAGAAGGACAATTGGCCTATGTGGAGGGATTTGGTGTTGACCATAGGGTCCGCTCTAGATCATCTACGCCAGTGTGCCATCGAAATCGCACATTTCTCAGCTCAACAGCCCATTGTGATGGGGAAGAACGGATCATTCCGCAGGGATATTATCGCCCTTATTCGAGATCGATTTCCGGCTGCGCGTCAAGCCTTATGCAGGGAGCTGGGAGAATCAATCGCGAAAAGACGAGAGCTTGTATTACAGGGCGCATACCCTAACCTTCCGCTGCTCGCTAGCACGAGCAGCGTGTTTACTCTCAGTCCTCCGTATGATTCTATCGAGTACCCTCCCTTGCCTAAGGTATCAGAATTTGAAACCTTGGTAGGCCTTGGCTTGGACACAGTCCCTCAAAAGCTGCCAGGAATCCAGTGCCCCTTTTGCTACTGCGAGTTGGTGCTGGAAAAGCCTGAAGATGATATACTTGCACTATGGAGACATCATGTCGACGAGCACATCCAGCCGTACACATGTATCTTCCCTGGTTGTGAGAAGCCTACGAAGTACTTTATGCACCGTGAAGAATGGGCAACACATATGGGAAACTTTCATGATTGGTCACGAAAAGCCAATGCCTGCACGTGGTGGCAATGCGATACTGGCCATGAAACCCCTATAATCTTCGAGTTCAGATCACAGTGGTTGAATCATGTGCGGGATTGTCACCCGGAACTTTCGTGGTTCGCCTCCGATCAGGGAAGACGCGAAAGAGAGAGGTATTTTTCTCGTGACAGCTTGGTATGCCCCCTATGCGACCAGATTCCTGAAGACGCGAAACGGATAATGGAGGCAGGCCAATACCTCGACTACGACGAACGTATGTGCGTCTGGGACCATATTGCCGATCATTTCAAGTCTCTATCCATGATGGCCATTCCTTCTATTGGAGACCCCGCTTGCGAAGCGGCCAAACAAAACCAAAAGCTAGCTATTGAAGCCAAGGCCTCACGCTGGACGCTTGGGAGGGCGGAGGAGTCCAGATTACTGCCCCGCGCTGCCCCTTCCGTGGCCTTGGATAACCTTGTGGAGGTCACTGAGATACTCACCGCCAATGGGCCAGACATCGCGTTGATTAATCGAAGGGGAATTTTATCCCTGTATAGCGCGGCCGAGCTAGGCCTTAAGGCTGCTGTCAAGCTTCTCGTAGACAGCGGTGCTCGATTAGAGGCTAGAGATAGTACATGTGACCGAACTTCATTGGCTTTGGCGTCTGAAGTAGGTCATACTAGCGTGGTAAAGATATTATGTATGAACGGTGCGGACCCTAGTGCTGTATCCGGGAAAGGGAGGCAAACTCCGTTATCCCTGGCAGCAATCAATGGACACGAAGATACTATACGGGTTCTTATCGATGCCGGTTCAGATATGGAGGCCCAAACCGCGTTTTTCAACAAAACTCCACTCCATTGGGCAGTTTTCAAGCACCGTGTAGAGTGCACAAGGCTACTCCTACAGCGTGGCGCTCAGGTCAATGCCAAGGATACGATGATCGGGACCGCATTGTGCCATTCTGCTGGGGAGGGGCACTTGGATATTGTCAAGTTGCTTCTCGAGCATGGCGCAGACACAGAGCTTACTTCCGGCCGTGAGGAAGCTCCTTTATCGTTAGCAGCTCAGCGTGGTCATGTGGATGTGGTGCGGTTACTGCTAGCCTATGGGGCCAATATTGATGCAAAGAACTTGGATGGCAAGACAGCACTAGATGTGGTCCGAGGAGATTACTCCAAGCGCATCACGTATGACGAGGTCCTAGAGGTGCTCAAGTCTACTAGGTGCGGACTTGTACCTTATAGAAGTCGTGTTTGAAGGAAGCTGATTAAAAGACCAAAATTATAACAAAAAAATAATAGATTTCATGTTCCATATAACTCGGATTGAGTAGCGATCACAGAATTTGAGTGACTAGCCTCAATTGTGACTAACAGATCTGGTCCAGAGATATTTATATTCACGGGCTTTCGTCATGATCGAGCATCACTCATACGGAAAGCTGCTTTCTACTCACGCGTACTGATAAGCTACCCAGAGAAAGAAGCGATTTATGGAAGTAGGGGAGCAGATATATATAGGGCCTGGCCAGAATGGGGGTAGCGGAGATCTGTAATGGCCGGGAAGTTGTTTAAACCATGCTGGAGACTACTGGTAACAGTGGTAAGGCCGGCTTCGACTTTTAGCTCATTTCTGCTTATGCGGTCTCGACTAACAAGTACATATATCCATATTCCTCCAGTTGCAAGTCAATATCAAGCAGTCATCACCTCATGCCGCGAAAAAGACGAAGTTAACTCACAAGTGAGTCGCATGATGTAACCATCAGATGCCAGATCTATCAATTCAAAATAATACTCTACTGAACTAGAACTGAACTTGCGAACCTGGCCTGCTATTTCGCATGAGGTCTTGAGTCGTGGTTGTATGGAGAGTCAACAACATGACGGATGCACTCATTGGCTTCCGGGCCTGGTCTATAGCCGATCACGCGGACGATAAGTCATGGCCCACGACGTGGACAGCAATATCTCGGAGAGCAATACCCCCAGAGATAGTACCGCTAATTAGAATTTCGGGCCAGGTGATACAGTTGGCTGTGGAGTAGACTTCACCCAGGGTGGGTTGTTCTCTATTCTCAATACATAGGTCGTTGATACGTCAGGACTTCCCTACGTAACCTCCTGTAACTAATTTAGATAACAGCTACTCCGATGAGAAGATAATTCAAGAAAAGTTGTACCCTGAAGTCAGTCATGAATGTAATTCCTGCAAAGTCCAGATGATCTTCGGCAATGCCAAGTGCTTATCGCAAAGAGCAAGAGCAGAGCTCGCTCAACCTCTCACGGGAAGACCGTCGGTGCTGATCTTTGAGAAATGGCGGAACCGTTTCCATCTGTATATGCGACGAATTTCTTTTGTTAGTGTGGAAAGAGATTGCTATGTCAACACTTCCAGTGGTAGACGGCCTTGTATAAGCTGTTGGGCAGTCTTTCTGCGACAATATGATCATTATCTTTCTTCAACATCTTTGGCTACTTCCATGGTCGCGATCACTTAATAACACAAATTCCGCCAGTGTCTTGTTTGCTTAAAACAACTTCTGGAACGGTCACGCTTCCAATCACACGTAATATAGAACCGTGCGGGTCGCGTTCTTGGTAACTTGGGATGATTCCCTATGGTCTCTCACTTCATGGAAAATAAGGAAGCTCGACGCGGGAATAGTACTCGAGACAATCACAAGTTGGTTTGCAATGCCTGAGAAGACTGCGCTGCAATCGTCAATTGACAGGCATTCTTGTCAATCATGATAAGTTGACAGCAAGAAACGTAGACTGGCGGACCAGGCGTGATATCGTTGTTTATGTACATCTTACATTAAACTCCAATACACAATTATCCCCTAAATAAGGCCCGACAAATACTGGTATTGATTTCCTCTGGTGGCCGACAAATGCTATGGTGATAGCAGCTTGACATGCCGTTCACCTGAGCATCCGAAAGCTCCCGCAATTCTCTCACTTTTGACTTGAGTAACGCTTGTTCTCCGTAGGACTCCTCTATCTTGTGCTGCTGGCACAGATGCAAAAGCATGACCTGTTCCTTGAGATGATAAATGTTATTAGAAAACACAACCGCGGAATTCGTGGTTCTGGCCACCTGCACTGCGGCCCCCTCGATTTGAGCTAGTCCGTGCAGTATTTTGTGAAGATGATGCTCTATAAAGAACAGCCATTTCCTGGCTTCTACTGTCTCATTGATTTGATTTGTAGCGTCCTGGATCTCTTGGCTTATGTCCTCTGTATCTGACAAGTCAGACTCTGCCACGGATAAGTCAGACTCTGTCACTGATCGCGTTGACGATTCATGGCGCGACGAGTTACAGTCCTGTGTGCAATCAGCTACATTGAACTTAGAAGCAGTAAGTGAGAACTTACAGAACCTACGTCGATCTCATGAGATATGTCTATCATATCTCCGTGATCCATCGCTGAATCATTTGCGAAAGGAAGGACAGCATTGGTCTCCGATGTGGGAAAGTGGAGATCAATGGCCTGCTGAATTCTTGATGATAAAGCGTCGGCGCTGCTCTGAGGCGATAATTGCAAATGTGAAATAGGAGATATTGGGTTTGTTGGAGCGGTAGCGGATGACATGACTGCAGGCTGTGCTAGGGGTTTTAGGCGCGGGTAGGAGGGATATGGGAGGATCTCCGCTGCTTTTCTTTTCCTACTTGCGCTGCCTGACGTTGGAGTACGAAGAAACCCCATCGGAGTATTGGACAAGAGCGGTGTTGACATATTTTAAAGTAGGAAGGATAATTAGCTGGTGGTCCTGAAACTCGACTTTTCCGAGTAAGTTTGGTGTTACTTATAAGAGATGTCAATGCCTTGTTCTATTCTGAGTTGCATGAACTGCTCCGAGAGCTGGTCATCTGGAGACGGGCGCACATTTCACGAGTGGTGAACCATGACCAATCATACTGGCAAGACTGAGCACAGTGACAGATCGGCGCTCTGAGACATAACAGCTAGTACAACTTGGGAGCCGTGTCTTAGCCACTAGAACGGAAATAACTGGTATAGCGACATTTTTCGACCTGCCAGGCCTGCATCTAGACTTGGGCAAAGCAGCAGTCCCCTACATATCTAAAACCTCATGAACCTCGGAGGGATGTGCAACGATTGTAAGCGCAGGTAGCCTATACGTACGGAGGATTTAGTATTTAGGACATGCAGTCCTGAAGTAGTATATAATATATCAGCGTACTGGCTAGTGTTGAACCCCAATCGAACTTTTACTTTAGTCAAACTTCAGCTTCTGTATCTCGTTTCTGTCCCAGTTGCCATAGTCTGGAACGCAGAGTATTATGAGCTATATATAAACAAGTATGAGTATCACTGCAACCCTACCATCTTACAGTTATGCAAGGAATTTGATATAAGGGCAGTTGAGCGTAGGGCTAGCCGTATCTCGATATTTGTGGCGAAAGTGTATTCTGAGACACGGCTCGGTCATGCCGCCAAAAGAGACTATGTCACCGGCCCGTGTCCCAGCTCGGGGACTGGACCCTTTCGGGCCCGGGCCCAGCCACTATCCCATCTCGATTTAGCGAGTGTTTCTTCTTGGCAGATTTCCTTCTCTTTTATAGGTTCAAAGTCTTCTTGCGTTCATGCCGGCAGTAGACACATGGAAAATAACGTGGCCTCTGTCTTGTAGTCCCTAGCGATTTTTGGGTGACATCTCGCTTGTTTTAGCCACTTGCGGAAAGGGGGACTTACACTAGCGGCCCCTGGTAGCCTGCAAACAGCTTTCTTAACTCTTGCATACTGAAGTTCGCCGGTATCAGATCTTTGTCTGGTCAACAACATACAGTAGTATCGAGGATCCGCCCAGCCATCTATATCAGCAGACCCACCCCAATCGCAAACTATTCCGCAAATATCGGAGTATTATATGTAAAACCATGCAAAATATTAAGTCCTAAAATGGCAAGACCGTTGAGTGTCAGATTTTGCAAGGTTGTGAAATTCTCCGTAGAGAGACTTACTCATAGTAATAAGCGAAGGGCACGACACGAACCCGGGAATATCACCTACACCATCGCTAAGGGTAGCCAATGACCAGCGGCCTGGCCCGCGGAGACCCTTACGCTTTCAGAAGAGATTGTCAGACCCTCCGATACCAAGATCATCGATAAACAATCGCCGAGGCATCGACCCCATTGACATTGCCACTAGTAGGTAATAATCATTTCAGCAATACCATAGCTTCTACATTGATAAATCAGAGCTATCACTTTATAGAAAGATCTTTTTTACATCTCAAGGCATAGATATGCTTCCAGTCAAGATTGGCTTACTATGAGCATTCTGACCCATAACTCTGGGGTATCATGTTTAGCTCCGCATCAAATATTGACTATTCGTGGTTCCCGTGTCTAGCCCTTATGGGAAGCATTTTAGTAGACCTTGGGGTTCTGCTGAAAGTCGCCAAGGGACCAGTATAGAGCTGAACCCGAACATAGCCCCTCTGGAAACGGTAGGATAAGCTAAATAAGCCCAAGGGAGAAAGGAGACGTCCTTACCTGGTCTAGAATCCAGTAAATCTCGGCAAGCTTCCCTAGGACCTTTTGCTACTAAGAGTAGGGGTCCTAAGCCTCCTTGCCTCCCCGTTACCGGGTTATGGTCTATGTGGCTTTCCGACCGTTATTTACACTTTGTGACACGTCAATGGCCTTGGAAAAGCTCCTTGCACGCTATTGACTTCCTGGGGTCCGTTACAGATGAGATTCTCTGGCAGCCTTGCCAGTTAAAACAGGAAGATTATGTCTGCCTAGTACGAAGCGCCGAGGTGAACACATTGCTAGAAACCAGAAAGGTTATCTTGCAACCCGGCAAGAGAGGTTTGGCTAAAAGATTCTCTCAATCAGCTTTGTTCTTGCATATTTTTACATCGGCCCCCGTTGCCCTTCTGAGACCTCAAGCTTTTCGCCCTGCATGTAGGAAATATTGACAAGAAGCCATCGCTACGATGGACTAGAAAACTTGGTTTAATGATACGATCCATCGGTATGATCGTCGGTTCAACGATCTCAGGTGCATGTGTATGAACGTCGAGATCACTTTTGCATTCTTGCTAAGCGTAAAAGAACCTTGCTCAGCCGATGAAAGCCTGGGTACATTGATTCTTTCAATTGAAAAATTATAGTTAACGTCAATAGGCACTTTAAACATAACTAATGCTTATTGTCATTCTCCTGTTCGCGGCAAAACAAGTCTCCTCACTAATATCACCCTTATCCTTATGATCTGGCCCTTATCTTTGTCTCTATGTTATTGTTCTAAGTAAGACCAAATTTGATCTGAAGATTGCTTCAGTCTTTCTACTCTCAGCTGCCATAAATATCGGCGGAGATGCCAGGCACGGAGAGGGCCGGGACATACAGACAATTCAGTACGACAGCATTTCCAAGTTTAGATTCTACATCTGGCTCCTAAATGGCATATACTTTACCCAAGCGTTTTACTCATGGCATCTATCCTCTTCTTTTACCTCCACACCTTTCCCAGTATCGCGCCTAGTCTTATATGAGGCAGCTTCGATGCGCTATTCTCACGCTTCTTTATATTTCTGGAAAGCTCTTTGATGGCTGCAAGCCCAACTTCGCGATCGAACAAGC